TTATTTATTCTATAAAATTTGCATTAGAAAAGTCCTTCATACTACATGTTCATAAAACATGGCAATACACATTCATACATCAGATCACTATTAACCAAAAGAAGCAAAATAAACTTACTATTCTCCCCCCCCCCCTTGGAAAAAGGCGTCAGGGAGGGGCGCGATTGAAGGCACCCAGGGCGTGGCTAAGGGCACCCAGGGTGTGGCACCCTTCTTTTTTGGGCTAAAGAGACCACTGTCTTCTATACATATAAGATGTAATATTCTCATATTTAAACGGCCAACTATAGTAGTCAGAGGCGGATTTAGAGAGTTTTTCAGGGGACCCCCCCCCCCCCCCCCCCTTTTGTGGAAAAACTTTGGTTGATCATATACATGCAGTGAATCACTGAAGCATGACTGGAGCGGGCCCCCTCTAAGAAAGTTTCTAGATCTGCCACTCGTAGTCTATTTTGTCAAGCAGTAATCCTCTAAAGTAAATAATACGTTTTACTTGTCAACTTTATTATAACCTTGCTAACTATAACATAACTGTCAAGACACAGTATGCATGTTAAAACTACTTGCATTGTCATAAAAAGTAAACAATCATATTCCACAAAACAAACAAAAAAGTGTTTGTATCGTTACTCTAGCTATTACAAACCATAAATATATTTTATCATATGTGACTATCAAGCCTCCTTCAATGATAACCCTGATTCACCAACACTACAACTAAAATAACAAAAAACAGAAGAAAAAAGACACTATATATTCTAATGCTTGGAGTGCAAGATTCCAATAAAAACACCTATACCCACAAACCACCGATCTCAATACATGTATAAGCAGCTAAAATACGGCAAGCTTTTTAGAAAAGCTATTACTTGTTATACATATAATCAGTATTGTTAAAATAATTGACACTGAAGAAGGCTATTTGTTAAGCCGAAATATTTGTCAACACGATTTATTAACAACATCTTCGTATAATACCATCTTATATTAGTATCGTTGTGCAAATCTCTAGACTTATATAATTTTTTTCCTTATCTGCACAGTATCAATTCTAGACGATCCGGTACATAGTAAATTTGCTGGTTGGTCCTTTTTATAGACTTCTCTCTCTCTCTATATATATATATATATAGATTGCCTAACAATGTAATTTTAACACACTATTTAGTATGTAAATATAAGAATGTTTAAAATATTTACAAAATGATGAAAATAAACGCAATATTTCGCTAGACTAACTAGCTTTATCAAGCGTGCATCTATCCAGGTGAAATCGGATGTAGATGATAAGAAACTTTTGCAGCTCAATGTATATGTTGCATTTGAATTTAGCTGCCTTGAAAATAATACATAATTTGGATGAAGTTCAAGATTTTTACAAAATTGGTAGTTGAAGTTAGCAACGTCCATTAGCCAATATTACAGGATAAAAAGGATGATGCTGTGTACTAAATTATTCTTTATCTTTCCTGTATCTTTTCTCATCTTTTTCGTTAAGACCATCAGGTTCTAAAGTGTGAAGTTGGTGGATCCAAAAATTTTCTCTTCTCCTTCTCGCCGTGGTGTCCCACTCGGTGTTGACTTCTATGATTTGGAAAGTAACATTATCAAAAGAATGTTTCGTTGAACGAAGATGTCTTGTGAGAGGACAGTTTTTGTTGGTTTTGTACCATGAACGATGGTTATTGAGCCGAATATTAAATTTGTCCATTGTTTCTCCCACATACTGAATGCCACAAGTGTCACATGTTAATATATAAATTTATATAGACAATGACACCTTTGATTATCTCCGACCTCTTGAGAACGAAGCTAAGGCCGGAAGATTCTATATGTTGCCTAAAATACATAAAACGGGCAATCCAGGTCGACCAATTGTTTCAGCAAATAGTCATCCAACTGAAAAGATATCAGAATTTGTAGACCATCATCTAAGACCTCATGTGAAAAGTAAATATTTTAAACATTCTTATATTTACATACTAAATAGTGTGTTAAAATTACATTGTTAGGCAATCTATAATTTTATTTGTGTAATCTCTGTACTGATTAATCCACACTCCCATAGATTTGTATGTCATGTGCTGCTATTTATAGGCACTTATATATATATATATAAACTGTTGACACAGAGATATGTCCCGCCTGTCGGTAGAAAATTAAGAAAAGACAATCTGATGGCAGCAACATTGCTAATTAATTAAAAATTGCTGGACCATGCATGACCTAGGGAAGGGGCCTCAAATAGTCGGCACACTGATATGTATTATTAATAGAAATGCAACCTAATAGAAAATATATTTGACCTATCACAAGTAGTTCCTATCATACTTACCTAAGCAGAATACTTAACATTGAAAATCGCTTATCAACTGAAAGTTGCTGGACCATGTCATAGGGGAAGGTCCTTGAAATAGTTGTCAAGCAGATATCTACTGATAGTAATGCAGCTTTATAGAAAATAGCATGACATTGATGTATCACATGTAGTTCTTATCAAAATAACCGAAGCAAAAAAACAAATTAAAATTGGTGACGACGACGACGACGACGGCACCGCCGCCGTGGTCGGAAAAGCAACAGATATGTCTTGCCCTCTACGACTGTAGTCGCAGGTGAGACACAAATTGAGCAACTATGTTTCATAATAAAAGGCTAAAAACAAAAAGAGCAACTATGTTTCATAATAAAATGAAACAAGTCATCTTAGTGTTTACATCAAGGTTATATAGCTTGTAGAATATGATATGTTTCTTGTGATTGTCTGTTTAAACTAAAGGATACATAACAACATAACTCATCCTGTATGCTAACTGTTTGTTCTCTGCATTATTTAGATCAATAAATGTGAAACCTCAACCTTCTGGTTTTCTCTTTCTATACAGGATACATTCCAGTGTATATCCACATAAAAGCTCATCCTTGTTGTAACCTATATGCTCAGGCTTCAATCATTATTCTTTTTTTAATTGTCTTGGGATCTATTATCTAGGTAGTTCTATCTATTTCGCATTGAATATAAGTTTGCATCATATTATACCTTACCTGGTGTAAATATCTATCTATTACACACTTTTACAGGTTGTATCAAGCATGACAACTCATACTGTAGGCTACCTCAAGGACGTATAACTTACACAACTCTTATATAGTCATTGGCTACCTCTAATTATTCCACTCTGTTTTAAAGTTAGAAAGCCAAGTCAGGAATATGACAGTTGTTCTCCATTGGTTGATATAGCCTAACATTTGAATTTGTCAGGTTTGTGAACTTCCCCTTTCTGAATTTACTTTGGAATTCAGTATTTTTGTTAAAACTTTTTTTTCATACATCACACTGAAGTAGGTGGTTAACTCTATCTACTCCACTATTTAAACAGGTTGAATAGCATGTTTCATATGACAGCTCATCTAGGTGGCTAATTTTTGAATCTTGAATCATATGTTACAACATCCTTGATGTAGTATGATTGCCAATGAGACAACTATTTGCCAAAGTTCAAATGAAGTGAATGTCCCTGTGCAGACTTCAATAATGAGAAAACCCCATATTGTACACTACAATCAGCCATAAAAGACCGGCCATGGAGAAAGTGAAACAATTCAATTTATGAAAAAGAATGACATGAACCAACATCAACCAGTAATGACTTGGCACGTAATCTTGGACAAAGGGATAACAGAATGACAGAAGAACAAAATCAGTTGCAAACGGCTTAACTCAGCATCCCGTTTGTTACCCTACTTATTACCCCTGTAACAGTTTTGAAGCATACATCATATCACACTTCATTTCTTATAATTATGTCAAACATAAATCTATCATGATAATCTGGAGGTGTTTCTACAGCTCATAGTCCAGATTTCATGAAAAAAGTAAAATCACAAAAATACCGAACTCTGAGGAAAATTTAAAACATAAAGTCCCTTATCAAATGTCAAAATCACATTAAACCAATAGATAACAACTGTCATATTCCTGACTTGGTACAGGCATTTTCTTATGTAGAAAATGGTGGATTAAACCAGCTGGTTTTATACCTTAACCTAAGACCATTATTATCTCTATATGCGTCTGTTCCACACTACATGATGATTTTAAATCATGTATCACTTTATTCGGGTGATTACATTTCTCTAAACAATCAGTACTTAGGTTTTAAAGCAGGTATTGTATGCTACCTCATCTTGATGGCTGTTAATATATTCAAGATACCAAGTGGGTATTAATCATGTCTTCTATGATACATACTGAACATCTATTCCACTATAATTTCATAGCATATATAGAATAATATCTCATAGAAGTGACCTTAACTTAAGCCAATCCACTCTATAAATATATGACTGATCATCATTATGAATTCCTTTATTTATCCACTCTGTTTTTAAAATTAATTTTAATGCATGTATTATGCCCATTACCTCTTTTAACAACATACATAACAAACAGGATATTGTATTGTTTTTTGTTAGATCTGCTTTTCATCGTTTGTAGAAGAATTTTGGATTTTTTAATTTTTTGGCCCTGAGCATCACTGAAGGGACATTAATATCAAAATGTGCATCTTGTGCAGTAAATTGGAACCAATAATGTAATTAAGTGGTTGACTCAATCTATTTCTGCCTATGGAGTATATGTCTTCCAGGTGATACCATGTTGCAGGGCTGGAGTTTTAAATGACTGAGGTTAACATCCATTTACATTGGTCTATGATGGGTAGTTTATAATATCTCATTCACAATCATACCACATACCGGTATCCTTATTTTTATATCAAGCTTAGGTGACATATCTGGCTGACAAGGTTTTATCATAAACAACCATCTTACAATTGAGGCGGAAGATACCAAAGTGATACTCAAACTCATAAAACAAAAAACGAAATAACAATGCAATGGCAAAAAGTGACAAACAACAGTCTACGAAGGGTTTAACCTAATTATATAACTAAAAGAAGGAAAACAATTTAATAACATGGACAAGAAATACAAAAAGCTCAGCTTTGACAATTTTACCCAAAGGCACACTATAGCTATGTATATGCCTTAGGACATAGATACAATATAATATATGCTTGGAACATTGTTATGTAACGTTCCTGAATGATGAATATTTTCACTTATTTATCAAAACTAGTAAAAACGTTTGATTTTGTCATTATGTTTTATTTGCTTTTGATGTGGATGCCTCTTGTGACTTGACAACATGGAATGATTTTGGTTCCACAGAATTTGCTGTCATTGTAACTTCATGTTCTATCTTGGCATTGATGGACTTTTCTAATCCCTGAAAAATAAAAAAATATTTTAAAGATATAATACTTTGATTTACATGATTTAAAATCAAACACTTGATTTTCATCATGTTCATCCTTTTAATTTTATGAAATGGATTTTTTTCTACTCACATTTGTAATCAAGTTTTTCTACTTTCTAGGTCCTTGAAATTTTGTCTAAATTATTTTTCCATAAGATAAAATTAGTAAGTGGCATGAAAATATGAATGTTGTTTTATTGAAATATGATGTTATAAATTTTTTGAAATCATAAATTTGCTGTTATAATTTTTTTTATATCATTTCAAATTAAGGATATATATCTCCCTCATGCATAGCTCTGATTCCTTGTCCCTGTTTTGCTATACTTTTTATCATTTTTGGTTTGATAAGATCTCACAAAACATGTTTAACCCTGTCACATTTTTTGCGCCTGTCCCAAGTCAGGAGCCTCTGGCCTTTGTTAGTCTTGTATGTTTTTTCAATTTTAGTTCATTGATATGTTTCGGAGTTTAGTGTGACGTCCATTTTCACTGAACTAGTACACATTTTTGTTTAAGGGCCAGCTAAAGCCCGCCTCCAGGTGTGGGATTTTCTCGCTGCGTTGAAGAGCCGTTGGTGTCCTTTGGCTGTTTAAGCTCTTTGGTCGGGTTGTTGTCTCTTTGACACATTCCCCATTTCCATTCTCAATTGTATCATTAACTTTTGTACTAGGTTTTGGATTTTAAAATAAATCAGTAACAAGAGGCTCTCAAGAGCATGAATCGCTCACCTGTAATTTTTTGCTTAAATCTTTCATCAATGATTATTTTTGCTTTTCAATATATATTAATGAATGGCTTAAAACTTCCATTGAAATGTTCTTTGTATCTGTCATATTTTCTTCAAAATCAAAGAAATGCATTTTACCCCTATGTTTCATTTTAGCTATAGTGGCCATGTTTCTTGACATACAAGAAAATAAAATACAAAATTTATACTAGATACTCTGAAACTCATTCAGCCCAAGTTTGGCTGAAATTGATTCAGCAGTTTCAAAGGAGAAGATTTTTTAAAGTAAGCAAACTAAATGAACAAATTGTGAAAAATTGATTTCAAAGGGCAATAACTCCTTAAGGGGACAATTGACAATTTTGGTCTTCGAACTTATTTGTAGATCTTACTTTGCTGAACATTTTTGCTGTTTACAGTTTATCTTTATCATTAATAATATTCAAGATTATAACCAAAATCTGCAAAATTTCCTTAAAATTACCAATTAAGTGGCAGCAATCCAACAATGGGTTGTTAGATTCATCTGAAATTTTCAGTGCTGACAGAGCTTGGCCTAATAAACATTTTTACCTCTCATCAGATTAGCTCTAAATGCTTTGGTTTTTGAGATATAAGCCAAAAATTGCATTTTACCCCTACGTTCTATTTTTAGCCATGCAACCATGTTTTTTTAGGAAACAGAAAATAAACCCTAAATTTATTCTAGATACCCTTAGAATCATTCAGCTTAAGTTTGGTTGGAATTGGTTCCGTAGTTTCAGAGAAGAAGATTTTTAAAGTTAGAAAACATGATAAACAAATTGTGTAAAATTGTCCTTAAAGGACAATAACTCCTTAAGGAGTCAATTGACAATTTTGATCATATGAACTTATTTGTAGATCTTACCTTGCTGAACATTTTTGCTGTTCACAGTTTATCTTTATCATTAATAATATTCAAGATAATAACCAATAAAATGCTCTGCAGGGCGCAGCTTGATACGACCGCAGAGGTCGAACCCTGAACAGTTGGGGCAAGTATGGACACAACATTCAAGCTTGATACAGCTCTGAATTTGGATTGTGGTTAAATATTTGACACAGCATAGGTTTCTGACACAGAATGAATGTGGTCTAAGAACTTAAAAATTTTAAATTGGACATTCACCTATTATGGTCCAATATCCAAAATCTAAATACATGGTTAGATTCAGCATATCAAAGAACCCCAAGAATTCAATTTTTGATGAAATCAAACAAAGTTTAATTTTGGACCCTTTTGACCTCAATATGGACAAAGTTGATAACGGGGCCCAAAAATAAAAAATCTAAATACATGGTTAGATTCAGCATATCAAAGAACCCCATATATTCAATTTTTGTTGAAATCAAACAAAGTTTAATTTAGGACCCCGATTTGGACCAACTTGAAAACTGGGCCCATAATCAAAAATCTAAATACATGTTTAGATTCAGCATATCAAAGAACCCTATTATTTCAATTTTTGTTAAAATCAAACTAAGTTTAATTTTGGACCCTTTGGACCTTAATGTAGACCAATTTGAAAACGGAACCAAAAATTAAGGATCTAAATACACGGTTAGATTCGGCATATCAAAGAACCCCAATAATTAAATTTTTGATGAAATCAAACAAAGTTAAATTTTGGACACTTTGGACCTCAATGTGGACCAATTTAAAAATGGGGCCCAAAATCCAAAAACTTAATACACGGTTAGATTCAGCATATTAAAAAAACCCAAGAATTCAAGAATAAAACCCCATTGAAATTGATCAAGAAATAAGCAATTTATACAAAGTATCTTCTTTTGCACAATACTGTGCAATTGAATATTTCTTGCTATTGCGCAATACTGTACAATTGACAATTTCTTGCTATTGCGCAATATTGTGCTATTGGATATTTCTTGCTATTGCGCAATACTGTGCAATTGAAGATTTCTTGCTATTGCGCAATACTGTGCAATTGAAGATTTCTTGCTATTGTGCAATACTGTGCAATTGAAAATTTCTTGCTATTGCACAATACTTATTATATAATAATTTACACATCCTGTTTGGTGTGTATCTCCTACCATATCATTATTATTTGCTTTTAAATATAAATCAGAAATAACCAACTTAAAATGGAAAATTTTAAAAGAAAAAAAAAAGGAAAAAAAGAAAAAAAAAAAGAAAAAAAAAAAATCCCCCCCCCAAAATTTTTGAACCCCTTATGATTCATCACCCCCAAACTCAATCCCAGCCTTCCCTTTGTGGTATGGTACCTTGCAGTACAATTTCAGAGAGATCCATACACTTGAACACAAGTTATTGTCTGGAAACTAGAAAAAATGCTTATTTTTGGCCCCTTTTTGGCCCCCAATTCCTAAACGTTTCGGGCAATTACCCCCAAACTCAATTCCAACTTTCCCTTTGTGATATGGAACCTTGTAGTACAATTTCAGAAATATCCAAACACTTACACACAAGTTATTGTCATGAAACTAGAAAAATGCTTGTTTTTTGCCCCTTTTTTGGCCCCTAATTCCTAAAATTTTGAGGCAATTACCCCCAAAATCAATTACAGCCTTCCCTTTGTGATATGGAACCTTGTGGTACAATGTCAGAGAGATCCATACACTTACACACAAGTAATTGTCTGGAAGTTACAAAAATGCTTATTTTTGGCCCCTTTTTGGCCCCTAATTCCTTAACTGTTGGTACCATCACCCCCAAAATCAATCCCAACCTTCCTTTCGTGGTCTTGAACCTTATGGTAAAATTTCATGGAGATCCATTGACTTAAACTAAAGTTAGAGTGTGAAAACCAATGTGTCTTCGGACGACGCCGGACGACGCCAGACGACGACGACGCCAACGTCATACCAATATACGACCAACAAATTTTTAATTTTTGCGGTCGTATAAAAACTGCAAAATTTCCTTAAAATTACCAATTTAGTGGCAGCAACCCAACAATGGGTTTTATCTTGGTTCATATCTGTTTTGAAGTGTAGTGACGTCCATTTTTTGTACTAGTATACATTAATGAATAAGGCCCTGATCAAGCCTCAGTTTATCTTTATCTATGAACAGTATAGAATTATTATTAAATTGGAATTAAGGTAAATTTGTGCTAGGGACATTTTTCATGCCTCACTGTATTCAAAAGGGAATTTGCAAATGAGTCATGTCAACATCATATCCATACTGTACATAATTACTGAGTTTTGTTGTTGATTTCTGACTTACCTTTGTGTAGATGGGTGTAAGTTATCTAGTACCACATACAGTTGTGTCATAAAACTTTATAATGAAGTTAGTTAAACGAGGCTGTATTATGCACAGGGTTTATTGACTGAGGCCATGCCATGTACAGGGTTAGTTGACTGGATATGATGTTGACATGACTCATTTGCATATTCCCTTTTGAATACATGTTAGCCTTAATTCCAATTTAATAATAATTCTAAAATTATTTAATACACTGTTTATAATAATATTCAAGATAATAACCAAAACTGCAAAATTTCCTTTAAATTATCAATTCAGGGGCAATAACCAAAAAATCAGTTATCCAATTTGGCTGAAAATATCAGGGCAGGTAGATCTTGTCCTATTGAACAATTTAACTCATTGTCAGATTTGCTCAAATACCTTAGCTTGGTTTTAGAGATATAAGCTAAAAACCACATTTTACTCCTATGTTCTATTTTTAGCCATGGCGGCCTTGTTTTTTAATGAAACATAATATAAAACACAAACTTTATACTAGATGCCCTAAGGATCATTCAGCGTAAGTTTAGCTGACATTGCTTCAGTAGTTTCAGAGGAGAAGATTTTTTAAAGTTAACAATCATGATGAACAAATTGTGTAAAATTGCCTTTTAAGGGCAACAACTCTTTAATGGATCAATTGACAATTTTTGACATTGGACTTATTTGTAGATCTTACTTTGCTGAACATTTTTACTGTTTACAGTTTATCTTTATCTATGATAATATTCAAGATAATAACTAATCAAATGCTCCGCTGGGCGCAGCTTGATACGACCGCAGAGGTCGAACCCTGAACAGTTGGGGCAAGTATGGATACAACATTCAAGCTTGATACAGCTCTGAATTTGGATTGTGATTAAATATTTGACACAGCATAGGTTTCTGACACAGAATGAATGTGGTCTAAGAACTTAATAAAAATTTTTAATTTACCTATTATGGTCCAATATCCAAAATCTAAATACATACACGGTTAGATTCAGCATATCCAAGAACCCCAAGAATTCAATTTTTGTTAAAATCAAACTAAGTTTAATTTTGGACCCTTTGGACCTTAATGTAGACCAATTTGAAACGGGACCAAAAATTAAGAATCTAAATACACGGTTAGATTCAGCATATCAAAGAACCCCAATATTTCAATTTTTGATGAAATCAAACCATTATATCATTATTATTTGCTTTTATATATAAATCAAAAATAACCAACTTAAAATGGAAAATTTTAAAGAAAAAAAAAAAGGAAAAAAAGGAAAATAAGAAACCCCCCCCCCCCCCCCAATTTTTGGAACCACCTTATGATTCATCACCCCTAAACTCAATCCCAGTCTTCCCTTTGTGGTATGGTACCTTGCAGTACAATTTCAGAGAGATCCATACACTTGCACACAAGTTATTGTCTGGAAACTGTAAAAATGCTTGTTTTTTGGCCCCTTTTTGGCCCCAAATTCCTAAACGTTTAAGGCAATTACCCCCAAACTCAAACCCAGCTTTCCCTTTGTGATATGGAACCTTGTAGTACAATTTCATAAAGATCCATACACTTGAACACAAGTTATTGTCTGGAAACTAGAATAAACTGCTTCGCTGAGCGCAGCTGGATACGCCCGCAGAGGTCCAACCCTGAACAGTTGGGGCAAAAATGGACACAATATTCAAGCTTGATACAGGTCTGAATTTGGATTGTAATTAAATATTTGACATAATATTGGTTTCTGAATAAATGTAGTCAAAGAACTTGAAATTGGTTATATGAATTGAATTTATATTCAATTAAAGATTTCTTGCTGTTGTGCAATACACTGTGCTGTTGCCCAATACTTAGTAAATCTGTTGTCAGACTATAAACAAATAAAGTTCAATTAATTCTCAATGTCATATTAGAAATTTATGAAAATGTAAAGGGAGCTTACATCAATAGATATAAAGAATTCACCAAAGTTTCATGAGAATTGCTGAGAGCATTTTTGAGTTACTGTCAGAAAACTGGAAAATCCCCCCTTTTTTAATGAATAAAATCCCACAACTCAGAAATGTAAAATCTAAAATATATAAAAATTAAAAGGGAGCTCATGTCAATAGATATAAACAATTCACCAAAGTTTCATAAGAACTGCTGAAAGCATTTTTGATTTTTTGTCTGAAAACTGGAAAATCCCCCTTTTTTTATGAATAAAACCCTGTAACTCGGAAACGTCAAATCTAAAATATATAAAAATATAAAGGGAGCTCATGCCAATAGATATAAACAATTCACTACAATTTCTTGCAAGTTGGTGAAAGCATTCTTGAGTTATTGTCCGAAAACTGGAAAATCCCCCTTTTTTTAATGAATAAAACCCCATAACTCGGAAACGTAAAATCTAAAATTTATGAAAAACGAAAGGGAGCTCACGTCAATAGATATAAACAATTTACCAAAGTTTTATGCAAATTGGTTCAAGCGTTTTTGAGTTAATGTCCGACATGTTGACGACGGACGGACAGACGGACGGACAGACAGACGGACAACGGTATACCATAATACGTCCCGTAAACGGGCGTATAAAAATGCTTATTTTTGGCCCCTTTTTCCTAAACGTTTTTGGCAATTACCCCCAAACTCAATTCCAGCTTTCCCTTTGTGATATGGAACCTTGCAGAACAATTTCAGAAAGATCCAAACACTTGCACACAAGTTATTGTCATGAAACTAGAAAAATGCTTGTTTTTGGCCCCTAATTCCTAAAATTTTTAGGCAATTACCCCCAAAATCAATCCCAGCATTCCCTTTGTGATATGGACCCTTGTGGTACAATGTCAGAGAGATCCATACACTAACACACAAGTTATTGTCTGGAAGTTACAAAAATGCTTATTTTTGGCCCCTTTTTGGTCCCTAATTCCTTAACTGTTGGTACCATAACCCCCTAATTCAATCCCAACCTTCCTTTTGTGGTATTGAACCTTATGGTAAAATTTCATAGAGATCCATTCACTTAAACTAAAGTTATTGTGCGAGAACCAATGTGTTTTCGGATGATGACGACGCCAATGTCATACCAATATACGACCACAAATTTTTTTTTTTCGTTCGTATAAAAACTGCAAAATTTCATTAAAATTATCAATTTAGGGGCAATAACCCAAAAATCGGTTGTCTGATTCGTCTGAAAATTTCAGGGCAGGTAGTTCTTGACCTAATGAACACTTTTACCCCATGTAAGATTTGCTCTAAATGCTTTAGTTTTTTGAGATATACATGTATAAGCCAAAAACTGCATTTTACCCCTATGTTCTATTTTTATCCATGGTGGCCATGTTTTTTGAAAAAAAAACAGAAAATAAAATACAAACTTTATACTAGATACCCTAAGGATCATTCAGCTTAAGTTTGGTTGAAATTGGTTCAGTAGTTTCAGAGAAGATCTTTGAAATAGTTTACACCGGATGGACAACGACGGATGCCAAGTGATGGCAAAAGCTCATATTTCCTTTTAGGAAAGGTGAGCTAAAAAAGCTAAGTCCATTCATCAGTAAAAAATGGAAAATGAAAATAAGTATTTTCAAGATTTCGCTCTAGATACTGTCTTTTGGTCATAAACAAGCTGCTGTCCAAATTTCATAAAATTCCATAAAGGTTAGACAAAGTTATTGATGTCCAAAAAAAATGTAACCACAGACTGATCCAAAATGTTGACGCAGCAGCCAACAGAATCTAGGATCATTATGTCTAGCTTTCATGACATAAATGTTGCAGGCTTTACAATAAATACAGCAATACCCCATCTTTTTCATTCTGGTTAGGATCAACAAATTAAACAGTTTGATTGATAACTCAGTTGGATTTATTTACCGTAGATTTATTTATTTTCTTGGGTAACAATTTTCATGGATTGAGGAAAAATTGTATTTTTGTGGTTTTGCCAAAGTTTTCATACATTCCTATCGAAAATTTATACTAGTTGATTATTCAAATTCGTGGTTCACCTTCGCATGAAATCAACGAATAATAATGAATCCACATTAACTGGCACCTGACACGATTAAACTGTGACTTATTCCTAAACTTTTCTTACCTTTTTCAGTTTTGCTGCTTCTAAGTGTCTTTTCTTCTTTGGAGCAATTACTTGTCCTGAAAAAAGAAGTTAAAATTAGGATCACTTTCTTGCATACATATCATGCATATTGTATTTACATTTCATACACATACTTGTATTCTCCCTCACGCAAAGCTCTGATTTGTCATCTATACTTTTTGTTCCTTTTTGGTTGTATCAGGTCATAAAATTGTATTAGATTTTGGTCTGTCTGTCACAAGGTTGGGCGGTTAATACCTCCCCTGGTATTTACCAGCGGTATTTACCGGTATTAACCGCTCTGGATAATACTCCTCAAGTGGCCAATACTGGCAAATACTGGTCGATTGAAATTTTCATGGTGTTTCAGCTGATATAAATGAATGACTTTGATATGTTTTGTTCATTTTTAACACTTTTACCTACTAATTTAGTCCTTATAAGTTATGATATTGCATATATATATAAAGAATTGACAAATTATTTATTACATATTATTCAATCAAGATATTTTTTTATTGAAAATGCATAATTTTTACAGGTACATAAAACTACAGGAAAATGAAGTTACAGGTGTCTTATTACCCATCACCTGGCATTGCTAGGTGTGATAATTTAATTACTATAAAAACAACAGCCCCCAATAAATGATGACAAAACATGGTTGAAAGTAATAAAAGTGATATTTGAAGAATCATTTAAACAATAAAATATTTCCTGTCTATTAAATGTGAGACAAAAATCATCTTTATGCAGGAAATGGAAGGTATCAAGGACCTTTACTCTTATGGCTGAACTGTAATTTATGTTTTAAACCAAAAAATATATAATGTAGTATAAATTTTACCTTTACATAATCAATTTTTACATATATACACATACCGGTAGTACAACCATCTTGACCTTAAGCACCAAACTGAAACCTGAAGACCCTATTTGGAACTTCTATACAATATCATGAATATATTAGACAACAACAAATCAGTGCAAAATGTAATGATGTCAATACTATAGTCAGTGCAAAAGCCACCTGATGAGTTTCCTTGCCAGGGACGAAATATTTATCTTATGTACTAATAAATCATTGTAAATCACTGTTTATCAAGAATTTACAATAAAATTAGAAATGAGAACGTTTAAAATGACTTTAACACTTTCATTATTTCCTTACTAAAAGTAATTGACTAGGTATAGAGTGGTTTTTATAGTCATGTCCACTCAAATTTCAATCGACCAGCATTTCCCAGTATTTGCCAGTACATTTTGTATTTGCCGGTATTTGCCGGTATTTACCGCCGGCATGGTCAAAACTAGTATTGACCGCTTTTTTGCCAACCTGTTCAAAATGTTTTGGCCTTGAGCAACACTATGAGATATTAATTGTCAAAATATGTATCTAGTGCAGTAATTTAGTTCAAAACAAGACTAATAAAATGCTTCGCTGAGCGCAGCCTGATACAACCGCAGAGGTCGAACCCGGAACAGTTGGGGCAAATTTGGACACAATATTCAAGCTTGATAATGTCTGAATTTGGATTGTGATCAAATTTTTGACATAATATAGGTTTCTGACACAAAATAAATGTGGTCAAAGATCTTATAAATCCATTGCGCAATACTGTGCAATTGAAGATTTCTTCTTGAAACTTTTCAAAAATTCAAAATTTTGAAAATTTTGAAAAAAAATATGAATCCCTTAAAAAAATTGGGAAAACCCCCCTCCCCCCACAACTTTTTGAAATCCCCATTGGAGCAATGACCCCAAAACTTAATCCCAGCCTTTCCTTTATAGTATGGAACCTTGTAGTCAATTTCAGAGAGATCCATACACTTACACACAAGTTATTGTCTGGAAACTAGAAAAATGCTTGTTTTGGCCCCTAATTCCTACATATTTGGGGCAATTAACCCCAAACTCAATCCCAGCCTTCCCTTTGTTAAATGGAACCTTGTGGTACAATGTCAGAGAGATCCATACATTTACACACAAGTTATTGTCTGGAAACTATAAAAATGCTTGTTTTTGGCCCCTTTTTGGCCCTTAATTCCTAAACAGTTGGCCCCATAACCCTAAAATAAATCCCAACCTTCTACTTGTGGTATTAAACATTGTGGTACAATTTCAGAGCAATCGAAATACTTATACACAAGTTATTATCCTGAAACTAGAAAAATGCTTGTTTTGGGCCCCTTTTAGGGCCCCTAATTCCTAAACGGTTGAGACCATCATCCCCAAAATCAATCCTTGAACCTTCTTAAAAAATTTCATAGAGATCCAACCACTTAAACTAAAGCTATTGTATGGAAACCAATGTGTCTTCGAATGACGACAACAACGTCATACCATTATACGATCCCAAAAAATTTTTGCGGTCGTATAAAAATATGTAATATTTATGGTGTTTTTTTTAGGTAAGTGTTCATTCACTTTAAGATTATATTGCATTAATCAAACATTTATGGATTTCAGAAAGTCAATATGGCAGCTAACTCCTTTGATACAACTATGTCAATCGATAGGTTTAGATAGGGAGCAGATTTATTGGATGAAGGTGGAAATAGTAAAAAATTACACAAAACCTATGCAGGTTTCCAAGCAATTACATGAAATGTAGCAGTGCTTCCTCTGAGGCGTCAATCTGTTACAGGGCTTTCACATTGGGGAGGTGCTTGTGGAACATTCACATGAAAGTGTAGTAGTGCTTCCTCTGAGGCATCAATCTGTTACAGGACTTTCACAATGGGGAGGTGCTTGTGGAACATTTACATGAAATGTAGCAGTGCTTCCTCTGAGGCATCAATCTGTTACCGGGCTTTCACATTGGGGAGGTGCTTGTGAAACATTTACATGAAATGTAGCAGTGCTTCCTCTGAGGCATCAATTTGTTACAGCGCTTTCACAGTGGGGAGGTGCTTGTGGAACATTCACATGAAAGTGTAGCAGTGTTTCCTCTGAGGCATCAATCTGTTATTGGGCTTTCACATTGGGGAGGTGCTTGTGGAACATTTACATGAAATGTAGCAGTGCTTCCTCTGAGGTGTCAATCTGTTACAGGGCTTTCACATTTGGGAGGTGCTTGTGGAACATTCACATGAAATTGTAGCAGTGCTTCCTCTGAGGCATCAATCTGTTACAGGGCTTTCACATTGGGGAGGTGCTTGTGAAACATTTACATGAAATGTAGTAGTGCTTCCTCTGAGGCATCAATCTGTTACAGGGCTTTCACATTGGGGAGGTGCTTGTGAAACATTTACATGAAATGTAGCAGTGCTTCCTCTGAGGCATCAATCTGTTACAGGGCTTTCAATTGGGGAGGTGCAAGTTCTGTTTCAATGATGTTTTCCCGTGTTTTTCAAAACATTTTCACCTCAATTATGAAAATCTGCCCCCTTATCAATATGGCTGCAATAACCAGGTTGGGGAGAATCCTTATAAATGGGTACTATCCCCATTTATGGGTATTATACCCAAAATATGGTATCAATTTACAATGATATAAAATCAAATTTTGTATTTCATCATGATAGCTGTCATGGCGCAAATATTCATATAAATGGCAACATTTTTCCCTTTGAGACCATAGTTCAAATGAGAACTGAATACAAAGATAATGGCCTCCAAAAATCCTACTTTTTGAAGGCTGTTAACTTTTATCCTGATGATATTTCAGTCATAGTGTCTTTAGGCAAAATGTTGTCCTTTACCCGATTGTTTTGGCCATGACAGAAAATAGCTTTAAATCCAAAGTTTATATTTTTATCACTGAAAATTGATACCCGTTTTGGGGTATAATACCCATTTATGAGGATCCTCCCCAACCTGATAACCATACCTGCCAACTTACATGATTTTGACCCCTTGTCACAACTGCACGATTGTGATGGTGACAAAAACTCTAAAACATGATTTTGTTAAATTCTACATGAAAAAAATGGTTGTTCCCAATTTTGAACTTTTCCCAAGGGACCAAATATCGCTACATTGACAACAACACTTAAGTAGACTTCCAGCACTATTTAGAACCTACAGGAAATTGAACATAAAAGAAGTAAGATACAAAGAACATAAATCCTTCCCACCACCATTTCCTGAGTTAAACCAACATTGCCTAGAAATTTTGTGACGGTAAACCACTTTACGGCATTCCCGACACGATTGGAAGTAGTACCTCTGGCCAAAGGGAAGCTAGTCGAAGTGGTAGGGGTGTGCCCTAAAAGTGTTGTCCAAATTAGGAAGAAACTTTATACAAACTGTACACTGACATTGTACTTACATTCATCAGTCAGGGGACTTATTGAAATAAGTGATTTTTAAATCACTTATTTAAGTAGCAAATTCGAAGTTTTGTCACAAATTTTGATTTTGTAGTTATACCAAAATTTTAAACACCTAGGTTTAGATAATATCTTTTCATTAGTAAAATTGAAAAAAATGAACTTTTTGCTTCTTTTAAGCAACAAGGTTTTTGCCTTTGATGCAATCATTTAGCTGCAAATTCTATTTTAGTTGAAAAAATGCTATAAAAATGGCTTTACATAATGAACTGATACTTTCTTAACAGATTTTTCCCAGCAGTGGGAGTATTTTTCCTGTAAAATTCAAGGTTTCATCTTATAGATTATGTAATAAAATTCTACTGTTCGCGATCAAAATTTCACTGTTCGGGGGTGTTGAAATTAGTGGGGGTTATTAAAATAATGATACTTAAAGAAGTGATTTTTTGGTAGGAAATTGAGGTATGATACTTAAACAAGTGATTTTTATGTCATTATCCTAGATTTAGTACAAGGTCATCACCTGACATGACCCGGTCATCCTATCAACACAGATGTTAGTTCTGATAATTTTAGCAACATAATTAGTCCCTGGATCATTAGTATTCTATATTTAAAGCTACAATAAAATTAAATCACTTAGTCTAGTGATTAATTTGTACTACTTAAATAGGTGATTATTAAAGAAAGACAACTCTTACTTCAAACCTTTATGGACATAATGTTACTTGAATCAGTGATTTAGAAAATCACTCATTTAAGTAAGTCCCCTGACTGTTCATGTTACACATATTTTTATTCAAAAACACATTTTATCTATACACTTATAATTACCATTAGAATAGTTTACAACCATTTTTAAGATAAAGACAATTAGAACAATTATAGATTAACTCTAAATTTAGTAACTTCATTTGCATTGTACTATGTTTGATTCATTTTCTGTTCAACATTACATTTTGATATAGAGTATCCTATAGCAACGTCAACAATGGACAATTATGACGTCACATACAAGATGCCGTTTTTTTGTACTTCAGGGGTTCTAATTTTGTATACTTTGTCCTGATGACGCCGATCTAATCGGCGAAACATGTCGACAATAAAAGATGTAGTTTACTTAAGTGTTGTTGTCAATGTAGCGGTATTTGAATTTTAAACTGACAACCCTGCATACCATCTGGTATCCACTTAAGGGAACTCTACCAGCACAAAACATAGGAGGCGTTGGTTCAGCAGCTCTTTATTTATTTTCCCAAGGGAAGACAATCTTGATCACCCAATCAAAATCCTTGTTTCTCATGATTATTGGGCATTGCAAACATGCTATATTTTGAACTTGTTTGGAATGTTTGAGTTACATGTATATTCCTCTGTCTGTATGTCAGAATTGTAAAAATCATGAACATGGCAGATGAATTTTCATTTGCAAGAAGGTTCTTACACAGGTTAAGAAGAAAAGCATGGCTGATTAACCAAATTCAAGGATGCAGTACTACCATAAACATAATAAATAGTAGGTTATGGACATCACACTTATTGTACATGTAACAGATCATACAGTGTTGTCATTCTTGTAATTAAATTACAAAATCAGTTAAAATACAATTATATGTACTATCTTTTATTTTTCAGAAGGAATCAGATAAACGTCCTTTTTTGTGCATATTTTTAAATTGGAAAAGTGGACAATCACTTTAATATTCATGATATTCCTACACAAGAAAATATATCCTGGTATTCAAGCTACATGTTCATCTTTTCTACACAATAATTTAAGTACTAGAATCATGCAAGGAATTGTATATTTAAATATACAATTCCTTGAATCGGGCAAATAAAAAGAAGTAAACATGGTAAAAGGCTTATAAGCTTATCATCACTCAGAATACCATATAAAAAAAAAGATATGACACTTTTTTTTAGAGCACAAAACAGTGCGCGCAAAAAATGCCACAAAAATTGTACCCTTTGAAATTGTTGTCATGCACTAAAACCCCAATGGGGATTTTCAAAAGTTGGCAGGTATGGAGAACAGTGAAAATTATAGCCTAATTTTACATGGGAAAGGAGGGTATATAAATACTGGTAGATGTTCAAAAGTTCCTACTGTACCATACAGCTACAATATGTACACTGTGATAATACTGCAGAAGAGGCCCTTGATGCATGGACAGGAGTTAAAAAATCCACTAGCCCAATAAAATTGAGAATGGAAATGGGGAATGTGTCAAAGAGACAACAACCCGACCATAGAACAGACAACAGCAGAAGGTCACCAACAGGTCTTCAATGCAGCGAGAAATTCCCGCACCCGGAGGCGTCCTTCAGCTGGCCCCTAAACAAATATATATACTAGTTCAGTGATAAAGAACGCCATACAATGTACTAAACTCCAAATTGTACACAAGAAACTAAAATTAAAAATAATACAAGACTAACAAAGGCTAGAGACTCCTTACTTGGGACAGGCGCAAAAATGCGGCGGGGTTAAACATGTTTATGAGATCTCAACCCAATGACTGGGACTAGAGCATTTACACCTTGGGCAATTAAAAACTTGTAACCCAATATGCCAGGCGGACTAGTTACAAAAAATTCTTGACGTTTCCAAAATAGAAAGTGGAAAATCCCTTCATCACTATTCTATCTTAACCAATCAGATTCAATTACGTCATCCAGGATTCCAAGAATTTGAACTGATTTTGTACATTTTTTAAAACTAGAACAATTTACTCTGGGTGGACCAGTATCATGTATTGATCGCAATTCCTGTACTTTCAATATCGATTTCTCAGTACAGGGGTATTGTACATTGCTTATGTCTAGATTTTCAATTAACGGTACTGGGGGTATGATGCATTGATCGATATTGACCTGTCTTGTCGGGTAGCTGTTGAGCACGAAACCATACAACAAACTTTCTAAATATTTTAGTCTCACTCAGGGGCACCCCAGGAACTTCGTCAATTTCAAAACAAAATACGGTAGATGAACGGGGTATGGAGGCAGAAAATTCTTCCCAAAAAAATGCCAAATACGACCAGGAAAAGCGGAAAAGAACATTTATAGTGTCATGGACAGAAATATTCCCATGGACAATGTCGGCTTGATGATAAACCAGAGACGATGTTTTGTGAATATTGCCGTTATTTTCCCGATCATGCTTATAAAAAGTCTGCTTTGTATGTGGGAACATCACATATACAAATTGAACCACTTGTTTCACATGACAAGACCAATAAACATGATTTCTTCATGCTCTTTATTAAATACAGTGTATAATACCGCAAATAGTAAAAAAATAACATAAGGACCTAAGACTAAGAGCTACGGTTCCGCAGCTATATAATTTTCATGATATTCAGGCTAGCAGGTCAGTTTTGATGGGCTAGCTGTTCTTTCAACAGGGCTAGTAAAATCCTGCTACCAATAAGTCCTGGGCTAGTGAACTGTAACAATTTTTTTAACCCCTGATGGAAGAAGAAGGAACAGTCATAGAGATAAAAAAAAAAACAATAAAACGCATGAACACCCCCCTTTTTTACGATGGTGCCTTAGTCTTAGATCATTTCAGACTAAAAGAAACTGGCAATTGCAATAATACCTCCTTTTTTCAGTCCCAATGGTTTGTTCTGCTTCTTGGTCTTTGTCTTAATGCCATTTGGAAGCTTTTTCAATTTCGATTTCCCTTGCACCATCGTCGAAATAAATTGACAACAATATTACTTCTTTCACAAAACGAATTAGATTTTTTTTCTTCTGGGAATTTGATTTTACTTGAACAAATACATTAAAAAGAAAAATGTTGACAACAAAAGCCCTACTTTTGCTACTTTTTATTCTCATTTCTTCAAGAGAACAAAAGTGGAAAATGTTCGTTTTGTATAATATTCCGCATTAATGTTGATGAAGGAAGAAGATATGAGGGTCATTTAGTCAAGTTTCTAGGGTAAAAATTAAGGTTTATATTGTAAACATCAGTCATATTAAAATCATAACAATGCAATGTCTGATGTTACACAGTTAACAAAATATGTCAAGCCAAAAACTGTCAAGATGCAGGATATTTTTAGGTTTCTACTGTTCATCTGGTTCATGAGCCTCCACTTCTGATAAAAAAAACCATCATGATGGTTTGCCACTATCTGTTAAAGAGTTTTCACATAGGGGAGGTGCTAAAGAACATTCACATGAAAGTGTAGCAGTGTTTCCTCTGAGGCGTCAATCTGTTACAGGGCTTTCACATAGGGGAGGTGCCTGTGGAACATTCACATGAAAGTGTAGCAGTGCTTCCTCTGAGGCGTCAATCTGTTACAGGGCTTTCACATCGGGAAGGTGCTTGTGGAACATTCACATGAAAGTGTAGCAGTGTTTCCTCTAAGGCATCAATCTGTTACAGGGCTTTCACATTGGGGGGGTGCTTGTGGAACATTCACATGAAAGTGTAGCAGTGCTTCCTTTGAGGCGTCAATCTGTTACAGGGCTTTCACATTTGGGAGGTGCTTGTGGAACATTCACATGAAAGTGTAGCAGTGCTTACTCTGAGGTGTCAATCTGTTACAGGGCTTTCACATTGGGGAGGTGCTTGTGGAACATTCACATGAAAGTGTAGCAGTGCTTCCTCTGAGACGTCAATATGTTACAGGGCTTTCACATTGGGGAGATGCTTGTGGAACATTCACATGAAAGTGTAGCAGTGTTTCCTCTGAGGCGTCAATCTGTTACAGGGCTTTCACATTGGGGAGGTGCTTGTGGAACATTCACATGAAAGTGTAGCAGTGCTTCCTCTGAGGCGTCAATCTGTTACAGGGCTTTCACATTGGGGAGGTGCTTGTGGAACATTCACATGAAAGTGTAGCAGTGCTTCCTCTGAGGCGTCAATATGTTACAGGGCTTTCACATTGGGGAGATGCTTGTGGAACATTCACATGAAAGTGTAGCAGTGCTTCCTCTGAGGTGTTAATCTGTTACAGGGCTTTCACATTGGGGAGGTGCTTGTGGAACATTCACATGAAAGTGTAGCAGTGCTTCCTCTGAGGCGTCAATCTGTTACAGGGCTTTCACATTGGGGAGGTGCTTGTGGAACATTCACATGAAAGTGTAGCAGTGCTTCCTCTGAGGTGTCAATCTGTTACAATGCTTTCACATTGGGGAGATGCTTTTGGAACATTCACATGAAAGTGTAGCAGTGCTTCCTCTGAGGCATCAAGCAAAAAAGTAAAAAACAGCCTTTCAAGACATATATATCATAATTATTTGTAATCCCTTTTGGGATTCTGAGTCTGGAACGATTTCACTGATGAGGCATCCAAAGAGGATTAAATGATTTGGACTTATGTTGATCTAGTATACCATGGTATACATGGTATACATGAGTACAAATAATTTATAAATTGAAAGAGTCTTTTAATGGAGTTACCTGGTTGTTTTGGCCATATATATCTTTGAACAATTAACTCTTACTTCTTGACCATGCTGACATTGGATGTACATATGTTGGAAAATGCATGAATGTCATGGAAATTTTTATATTCTAAAGCTAGATTCTATTGGTTTTGAATCCAATATAATAGGATTGTTACCAAAATTTGACTCCATTTATCAAGGCATTTATATTATACATAAGATTAGAATAGAAAAAGAAGAATAATGTATATGTAACATTAAAATTATTTGTTTAATCTGGTCTGAGGAGATGGTAACACACAGTTATTTATTACTTATCTAAACACATAAAACATTTTTAGTATTATATCTGTTTTTGAACTTTACGTTAATTCTTACATAGATATTAAGAAGATGTGGTATGAGTGCCAATGAGACAACTCTCCATCCAAGTCAAAATTTATAAAAGAAAACCATTATAGGTCAAAGTACAGTCTTCAACACGGAGCCTTGGCTCACACCGAACAGTAAGCTATAAAGGGCCCAAAAATTGCTAGTGTAAAACCATTCAAACGGGAAAACCAACGGTCTAATCTATATAAAAAACAAGAAACGAGAAACACTTATGAACCACATTAAAAAGCGACAACTATAGCTACTGAACATCAGATTCCTGACTTAGGACAGGTGCAAACAATTGCAGCGGGTTTAAACGTTTTAATGGTACCAAACCTTCACCCTTATATGAAACAATAGTGTAACATCACAACATGCACAACATAGAAAGACACACTATAAAATATCAATTGAAATTTACATGTCTATTATGATATCATTCATGTCATTCTCACTGCACCTAGTATACTTTAAAAAAAATTAAAAATCTAGGTTCATAGTTTCATAATTCATGTAATTGCATTATCTATGTAATAAATGCTAAACCCTTATAATCATGATAATATACCACAGAACATTTAAATAATGTTTATTTACCTTTTTAGTCATAAACAAAACCCTACAAAATATGTTATACATGTATATAAACATTTGAAAAAGCAAAAAAACATCTAAATTATCAGACCTGCCAACTTTCATAATTTATGGTGAAAAATGAGTACCCCATGAGTGGTGTTGACATAAATTTTGAAATTCTTTATTATATAAATTGAACAACTCAAAACAGGCATTCAAATGAGTTTAAAGGGTGTTTAAACACATACATATTCTCATTCAAACAATAAAGTCAACTAGTAGTAGATTTAAAACATTTATGACAAGTTGGCAGGTATGTAATTAACAAAAGTAAATTTAATGACAGTTTCACAGTTCTAATCGGTATATAGCATGTATACCACAATATCCCTTAAAGTTAAATTATACGGTCTCAGAACACCAAGTTCAAGAATACATTTGTAGCTATTGTTTTAATGAGAAGGTTTAAAAAATCGTATCACATGACATTTTTCTTTCCATTTACCTGGTTTTCCACTCGGACGAATTAAAATTATTTTGATAGACAATGATCATGATGATAAGATTTCTAACCAAGATATTTTACAACACTTTTCTATTTTGACCCCCTCACCCTGTTGAAAACCTACTGTAAGATGAAATTACCCTTAAGTTGATATTTTCATGCAGGCAAAATTATTATGATTTTCTAACAAAATCATTATTTTTCTGGAAAAAAATCATTATTGCAGTTTACAGCCTTAAACAATGAGCAAAACCCATACAGCATAGCCATTCAGGGGACTTATTGAAATAAGTGATTTTTAAATCACTTATTTAAGTAGCAAATTCGAAGTTTTGTCACAAATTGTGATTTTGTAGTTTTACCAAAATTTTAAACTCATAGGTTTAGATAAAATCTTTTCATTAGTAAAATTGAAAAAATGAACTTTTTGCTTCTTTTAAGCAGAAAGTGTTGAAATTAGTGGGGGTTATTAAAATAATGATACTTAAAGAAGTGATTTTTTGGAAGAAAATTGAGGTATGATACTTAAACAAGTGATTTTTATGTCATTATCCTAGATTTAGTACTAGGTCATCACCTGACATAACCCGGTCATCCTACATGTCCTATCAACACAGATGTTGGTTCTGATAATTTTAGCAACATAATTAGTCCCCGGATCATTAGTTTTCTATATTTAAAGCTACAATAAAATTAAATCACTTAGTCTAGTGATAAATTTGTACTACTTAAATAGGTGATTATTAAAGAAAGACAACTCTTACTTCCAACCTTTATGGACATAATGTTACTTGAATCAGTGATTTAGAAAATCACTCATTTAAGTAAGTCCCCTGACTGATAGCAAGCTATAAAAGACAACAGAAATGGCAAATGTAAAACCATTCAAATCAGAAAACTAACGGCCTGATTTATGTTCAAAACAATAAGCGAAAAACAAATATGATCTACAGCAACAAACAACAACTTCTGAATGACAGGCTCCTGATTTGGGGCAGGCATTTACAAACTGTGGCAGGGTTAAACATTGTTTATGGGTGCCCAACCCTCCCCTAACCTGGGGCAGTGGTGTAACAGCACAACATAAATACAAACTATAAAAATCTGTTGCAAAGGGCCTTAACTCATCAGATCGATACAAAGCACAAAACAACTAACAAAAACACTAAAGACACACAATACAGATCTGAGAGCACTCACAGTTACTGGCAGCTAGTTCAAAGCCAATAAAAACTTGTAAAATAATCATTATCATGTGTATAAGATATCAATTAGTACACATCCAATGGATTTAGTGCAAAGACATCATTAACAGTCTGAGAAAAGCATTTTAGTATTCTTAGCTAGTGAAAATACCTACGTTACATTGACCTAGGGTCATCTAAAAAATATTTCTTAAAAAAGTAATACAATATAAAATCTTAAGACTTGAAATGATTAAAGGTGGATCACTCCTATTCTAGACAAAATTGTCTGAAACAAGCGATTTGAAAATCACTTATTTGAGTACATTTTTTGGGGGGATTTTTTTTGGTAAATCCCATGTCACATGTGTCATGTCATGTTAAATGCTATATTGAAGCCATAGAGCATGACATGGAAGAACATGAAGAAGTAGTTTGATTCTAATTGAAAATTCAGACCTCAGTCTTAGAAACTGGGATCAGGAGTCGGTTTCACAAAAAAACTTTTTTTGATTGGTCGTAAGTATAATGAATTCTTCATGACTTACGATCAATCTTAGTTGTAAGTTTTTTTGTGAAACCGACTCCAGGTCTTTTGATTTAGTTTGTATTTACCACTGTCTATAACTATATTTGAAGTATGTAACATTGAACCTTTATTTCCACAGAACTAATTGCAGTTATACATGTATAAATATCTTATCTTTTTCTTCTATATACAACATGTACAATGTGTTGATTGCATATTTGCCATAGACCAAAGGTTTGCAAAGCATTAATATCAAATCTTAAACTTAAATATTATGTAACATTGACCATTGTTGACAAAAGTGTTGTCAATCATTACAGTCACATAGATACAAATTGAATAGTTATTTTACTGATCTATATATTTGAAATTTCATATTCATATATATGCTATTGATTTCTTAAGACAAAAATTGATTTTTGGGAAAATGGAAACAAATAGTGGTATAAAATACTTTGTTTTTGTTAAAAGAATGTCAAATTTTGTGAAAATCTTTTTACATGTAGCTAGGATTGCAACAAAAAATGATTCCCCATGTCAAATTTGCAGTAAAACTTTATTATTTTTTTTTAAATCAAAAATTTTGTGAAAAAACATATTTTGTGCTCTAGGGTTTCAAAGAAATTTGTTATAGGTATAATCATGATAACATGCTATTCCAATTTGATTGCCTATTTAAAAAATTATCCATTGACCACCATTTTTATGCTCCACCTACGATAGTAGGAGGGGCATTATGTTTTCTGGTCTTTGCGTCCGTTCGTTCGTCCATCCATTCGTCCGTCTGTCCGTCCGTCTGTCCCACTTCAGGTTAAAGTTTTTGGTCAACTTAGTTTTTGATGAAGTTGAAGTCCAATCAACTTGAAACTTATTACACATGTTCCCTATGATATGATCTTTCTAATTTTAATGCCAAATTAGAGTTTTGACCCCAATTTCACGGTCCACTGAACATAGAAAATGATAATGCGAGTGGGGCATCTGTGTACTATGGACACATTCTTGTTTAAGATATGGCTGCCCTACATGCCATAATACATAAAAAAAATCATATCTCGGTTTTTAACAAAACTTGATATTTACTGAATGCATATATATACATCCTGATTTTTTTCCTGGTATCAAAATTTTGAAAATTGAAACCCTTTTTAATGTATTGCTTTGGTTGTACATGTGTCACTTATAATTATTTGTTTTTGTGCTTGAAACAAAACTGTTCAGACAAGGCCCTTCCTGACATCTTCAGTTTTCTAGTTTGTTTACAGTAAATTCAGAGAAGTTTGCAATGATTTATTATTGAGAAAATTACAACAAAACAGATTTAACACAAACATAAAACTTGCATTTTAGATTTTGATAGCATACTTAAGTTCCAAGATTGTCTGTTTTACAGTGTCTAATTTCATTTTACACACAGTCATTTGAAAACGTCAAAAATCTATGCAATGTCTGGATCGATACTCAAGTGTCTATGAAAATGTCAACATATTTATGGGCGATGTCACCTCGCAGTAGGTTTTCATCAGGGTGAGGGGTCAAACTATATCGGCATAGTTGACTTCTGTAAGTGGAAATCTATTGGAATAATTACATTTACTTCATTTCCCTATACAGTGTTATAGAATAGGCATGTGCATAGAAAATTGTCACGTGATACAACTTTTTCAATCTCCACATTGAACCAACAACTATCCTGGAACTCTCCTAATAGGATGCAGCATTTCCTAAATGACCATAGTTAATTTTGTATTTGTGTCCTTTATTAAACAATCGCAATAATGAATGGAAGCAAAAAATTTCTCAATTTATAGTATATGTTATTTTTTAGATTAAATCTTCATTATGGAGAATGTCGAAGGCAAAGGGACTGTAAGAAGGATTCAGTCAGAGGCTAAGTTCTCTGGACTTCCAACTGATCCATATAAAGCTCTAGAAAGATCACAATCAGCCAGAACACTTCTCCACGATATAGAGGATGATGAGGAAATGACGGAGAAAAATCATGAGTCACCACATCATAATGTATCCGAATGTTCTAAAGTTTACTTGGATCTGTCGCAAGCAGAACATTCAGACCAACGTCTCATCAACAACATTGATCAGGATCATATTGTTAAGAATGGAAATGAAAAATGTGTATTTTTATCAGGAAATGAAGATTTAAACAATTACACATTGAAAAACTCAGAATCTCAGCCTACAGCAGAAAATACTGATTGGTCCTCCAGTCTACAACACCTTACTAGTCAACTAAAGGCCAAAATTGAAGTCATCAAACAATGCACTGGTGATTCTCTCATTCAAGCATTACATGACATAAGTTTATTAGTGGAACAAGCTTGGGCCATGCCAACTCATGGTAAGGATGTAGCAAATAGTTTATGTGACACTCTTCGTGAAGAACACGCTCTAGACATTGTGATAGGAAACTGTGCCTCTCAAAACAAAGAATTGATGAAGACTTCAGGAAGATTACTTGACAAAATTTTAATAACAAGAAATAGACAGAGAGTAGCACACTATGGACTAGAAATACTGGTTAAAATGGCTGTTGATACAAAGGGGGAGTTTGATATGGCTCGGTTTTGTACGGGAATATTGGAGAGTCTCTTCAAAATATCAGAAGAAACTTGTAGAAAGTTGACTGTCCTGGGGGGACTAGATGTTTTACTTTATTGGTGTAGAAGTAATGATCGTCTGACATTACGTCATTGTGCAATTGGTTTGTCAAATATGGCTTTGTATGGTGGCCCTGAAAACCAAGAAGAAATGGCAAAACACAAAGTCCCAGAATGGCTCTTTCCTCTAGCATTTAATGATGATGATAGTGTAAGATACTATGCCTGCTTAGCTATTTCTGTACTGGTAGCAAATAAAGAAATTGAATCTGCTGTTTTACAATCTGGTACCCTAGATCTGGTTCTTCCATTTATTGCTAGTCATTCTCCAAGTGAATTTGGGAGGATGGACCTGTCTCATCGTCATGGTAGATCCAGGGGATGGTTGAAACGTCTGGTTCCCTTATTATCCAGTAAAAGGGAGGAATCTGAAGCATTAGCAGCATTTCATTTTGCAATGGAGGCAGGAATTAAATCTCTTCAGAAAAAGACAGAAGTAAGTTATACTTTGGTATATCATAATATTGAGAATGGAAATGGGGAATCTATCATAGAGACAACAACCTGACCAAAGAGCAGAAAACAGCCGAAGGCCACCAATGGGTCTTCAACACAGCGAGAAAATTTCGCACCTGGATGTATATATGAGCTTTGTCAAATAGAAATCAACCTTATGCAAGTGCACATATACATGTACATGTATAAGACTTTGATTGATTTTGGAACATTCAAATACGAAATAAAAGATGCATTTTGGTCTGTTTTGTAGGGTTCTTTAATATATCAACTCAATTTTCAAACAGTTAAAAATTTACATAAAGATTTTGTCAACTCAAAATAGGTTAACAGATGTATTGATATTCATTTGCATAGGGTCCATTTCTATCTGACGCAGCTCATATCTTATATTTAGCATGTTTAGGAATAAATGGGACAACATGTTGTTTGTGCTATGACATTTTAAGTACAATGTACTGTAGTCTGTAAATCAACTTATAAAAATGTCTTTCATAATACCGACTTTTGACTCAGGATTATATAATTTGTCGACTGGTTACCTTGGACATCATATGGTACTCGGTCAAGTAAGAGCAACCCAAAATAAGTAAAATCAAACATATAATCGGTGTAAAGCCCCCTTATTTAAAAAACTTGGGTGGATGACAGTTGACAATAGAATAAAATACCACAAATATTTACTTCTATATAAATGTATGCGTATGGAAGCACCAATGTACCTAGTTCAAAAGTTTAAACTGAAATCAGATAATAATCCTTACTCCCTGAGAGGCGTCACTCAAGGTAATCTGATAGTTCCTAAGCCAAAAGCTGAGCTATTTAAGAAATCTTTTGTTTATTCTGGATCAGTGTTATGGAATGGACTACCACACAAAATGCGTAAAGCTCAAAACACTTATACTTTTAAACAAAGTATCAAGAAGTACTTAACACAGTCCTGATAAGATTATATTTTCTACAATGTATTTGTATATTCTTTTATTTTTATTTGTATTTGATTTTTTGACTACATGTACATCTTGAACAGCCTTATATCTTATCATGTTAGTAATATTACATTGAACTAATTGACTGTAAATTAACTTTGTGTAAATATCTGTTTTTGATTGTATTGTAATTTGTATGTGAGGGCCTCAGGGAAGATTAGTTTATTGTAACTAACTGAGTTTACCCTCTTTAAATAAAGAATTTATTATTATTATTATTATAATTTGAGGGGAAAGTTTACTGTTTTTTGTGATTTTGTAGTGAAAAAAAAATGTTAAGCAGGTAATTTTCCCCCAAAATTGTACTGATTGAAAGCTTGGTTTTACCTCTTTAGATTGCTCTTACCTGACTTGGTACCATGATGTCCCTGGTAACCAGTCGACAAATTATATAATCCGTAGTCAAAAGTCGGTAATATGAAATATTCCAGAGCTATTTGTTTACCTGACTTTAGCTAGTCATGCTAGTAGAAAAATAAGGTGAATATAAATAACTTCATGAATATTTCAAACTTTGATCTTCTTTCATATCACTTTAATTAAAATCAAACCTCTCATCTTAAGAAAAAAGTGTTAAGACCATAGAAAATATGTCAGTCGGGGGTACTACTCATGCTACTTGTACAAGTTATTTTTATTTACTTGAACATGTTGAAGATAAATTTGTAAGATACTTATACAAGTGTATTTTATTTACTTAATTGTATAGGTAAATTATTTTAATGGCTTAGTTATTTCCCTAAGACTTTCAGATTTTTTTTACTTATAATTTATACAAGTAAAAAAGTCATACTATCTTCTTTTCTTTAATTTCTCAGGACTTCTTTGCTCTAATAGAATTTTTAATTGTCTGTCCTTTGCAGATGTCTTTACTTATCATTTAAGTGTAATTTCATGGACAATGAAAATCTCATTTGTCTGTTATCTTCAAAACACTGCTCATTTACAAGCCTCAAAGGGGCAATTTTTGAAGGCCTTGCGCAATTACTTAAAGATCTATGTGCAATTAGTTTCTTTGTTGAATTAATGAGATGAAACGTTGAACTCTAATAAAAAGTTAAGAGCTAACCAGAGAAAAATTGATTAAGGCATGTTTTTACATCCCAAATCTTGAGAATTTTAGGGATTGTAAAAAAAAATTACTTATACAAGTAAATTTTTGAGAAAATTAAGGGGAGATTATTCAAACCTTATAAGGAAATATGAATATAACAAATTTACTTATATAAGTATATTATTATTTACTTTTTCAACTAAATAAAAATAATTTGTAAAAGTAGTACCCTGACTGTATGTACTTTGTTGAACATTTATCATTGTTAGAATTTTGAATTTCAATTAAATTATGAACCATTAATTTTTGATAAATTTTTTTCAGGTATTTTATGAAATAGGAGCTATACGTCCATTAAAAAGGTTAGCTAGTAGTCCAAATGCTACAACATCTAAATTAGCTTGTGAAGCTCTAAGAATTATTGGAGAGAATCTTCCACACAAACTGACTGCACAAGTTCCCGTGTGGACAGTTGAAGATGTGAAATTCTGGGTATCACAGGTAAGTATACAACACCAGCACATATATGACATAGAGGTTAATGCATTCAACATCAAAGATGTAATGTTAGTAAAGATATTATGGGGTTGTTTTTATTAATGCAAAAATGTGATAATATCAGGAGTTGGTTTCACAAAAAAAACTTACGGCTAAGATTGATCGTAAGTCATGAATAGTTCAGTATACTTACAATCAATCTTAGTTGTTAGTTTTTTTGTGAAACCCACTCCTGGTTTGCAATAATCAAAACTACCATTCCTAATTTCAGTAGAGATTTTCCTTCACAAAAGATTTGCAATCTCATTAATTGTATCTCACATTTTTTCCATTAATCGGTGATTAGCAATAATAATTAAACGCACACATTAATTTCTGAATTCCCAGTTATAGTAGCAGAGAACATAATTATGAAAACATAATAACACTTTCATGATCATAACTATACATGAACTATACTAAACAACATGAACATGATGATGAAGGAACTGTTTTGTAGAACAAACTGTCAGTCTTTTGAATAAGGTGTTGATTTTATGTTTAAAACATCAAACACTTTTAGTTTATGTGTTTATTATCTTCCTTTAATGTTAATCATGTTCAGGGTTTTCCATTCTTCCATTCATTTTGGCCTAACAGGCCAAAATGAATAAGTTGGTGGTCACAGAAAATTGGGGTGGGGGGGGGGGAGTTTACCCCTTCCGAAATTTTTGTGAAATCTAGACTCAAAATCCTGGCATCTGGTGAATTCTAAGACAAGATTTCATGCTTGTCAAATGGACATATTATTAGCTATACTTTTTTCTAAAAATTATGTCTGCACTTAAAATCAGGAAATTTTCTGCATTTGTTTGAAGGCCTTGGTGGGTCTATTCGAACCATCATGCAAATCAATTATCATGTCATTGATTCATTTGCTAATTAAACATAACTTAACGGAACAAATTGAAAAACAATCAAACTCATGCATGCAAACGTTATCAATATATTGTTAAAATGCACACCTTTGAATCGCTTAGCGGAGAAAAAATCTGTAATTGAACATTTCATCATTCATCACATGGCACGACTTTGTATATATTCATGATATCTCTCAGGATTTTCCTAATAAATCTAGTTCGATGAATAACGGCTGAGTGTTCCCATAGAAATACTAACCGGAACTCTCAAATGTAAATATATACCAAGAACAATAATAATAATTGCGAAAACACTACATGTGCATGCTCAATAGAACCAAAGGCTCTACTTATTTCATTTTTTGTTAATATCAAATTTATTGACACTTCAATTTTAATCTACAGAATGGATTTGAGGAATTTGCTGTTAATTTTGAGAGATGTAAAGTAGATGGTGACCTGCTGTTAACATTAACAGAAGAGGACTTGTCAGGGAGTCTCCATATGAAATGTAGAATAGCACACAAAAGGTATATAATTGTCCCATTAACAGACATGACAGACAATGCCCACATATATTTATTAGGTATTATTATGTATTCTTCACATTAACAGAAAATGGCAATGTATTAATAAGGTGTTATTCAGATTAACAGAAAATGGCCACGTATTAATTAGGTGTTATTCACATTAACAGAAAATGGCCACATATTAATTTTATTATCCACATTAACAGAAAATGGTTACAAAAAAAAGAAAAGTAAATTAAAAACACAGTCCTGAACAAGCATGACAAGTGTAAAAGTATACAATTGGGTTTAATTTTGTCAAGAGCATAAAGGATTTTTGTGACATGAATTATTTATTAACAATTTTTAATTGAATAAAGTCTTCTATGTTTTGACAGATTCATGAGAGAATTAAAAAGACTTAAAATAACAGCAGACTATGCGTCTTCAGATCCGACTAAACTGGATGATTTTTTGATGGAATTAGGGTCAGAGTTCAGTCAATACACTTACTCCATGTTACAGGCTGGTGTAGATATGCTTTATCTACCTGACCTCACTGAGGAACAGCTGACCAATGATTGTGGCATCTCTAGCGGTATACATAGGAGTAAAATATTACAGAAAATTAGAGGTATGCAACAGGGTTTTATACAGCTTCATTTAAGATACCAGGATCAAAAATTTATATCCCAGAAATGCAGGTTAATGCATGCATGCATAGCATAATCCTCATTTAAATGATGTTTAAAGTAAAGATTTCATGAATTTGCCCCTTACTGACACCTTTTTTGCCAATTTACTGAACAGAGATCACTTGTCCCTTAAGCTTTCTTCTTTACTGTGGGTTCATTTATTTTCCCCTGTTATCAGTTTTTATTGTTGGAGAATACATTTAATTTCCCCTGATATCAGTTTTTATTGTTGGAGAATACATTTAATTTCCCCTGATATCAGTTTTTATTGTTGGAAATACTTTTTTATGCCCCTGCCGTAGTGGAGGGGGCATTATTAAGTTTTACCCTTGTCCGTCCATACGTACGTGCATCCTAAAGTTGGTTTCCGTTCTCTAACTTTAGTTTGCCTCAGCCAAATGTTATGAAACTTATATACAATGCTTATTAACCACAAAACACAGATCATGTTTGAATTTTGGTGGCGTCACTTTTACTGTTCTAGAGTTATGCCCCTTTACAAACGGAAAAATTGCTGAATTTTTCATTTCCGTTCTCTAACTTTAGTTTGCCTCAACCAAATGTTATGAAACTTATACACAGTGCTTATTACCACAAAACACAGATCAAGTTTGAATTTTGGTGGCGTCACTTTTACCGTTCTAGAGTTATGCCCTTTACAAATGGAAAAATTGCTGAATACTTCGTTTCCGTTCTTTAACTTTAGTTTACCTCAACCAAATGTTATGAAACTTATACACAATGCTTATTTCCACAAAATACAGATCCAGTTTGAATTTTGGTGGCGTCACTTTTACCGTTCTAGAGTTATGCCCCTTTACAAATGGAAAAATTGCTGAATTTTTCGTTACCGTTCTCTAATTATAAAAAAGAAGATGTGGTATGATTGCCAATGAGACAACTCTCCACAAGAGACCAAATGACTTAGAAATTAACAACTATAGGTCACCGTACAGCCTTCAACAATGCGCAAAGCCCATAACGCACAGTCAGCTATAAAAGGCCCCGAAATGACAATGTAAAACAATTCAAAGAAGAAAACTAACTCTAGTTTGCTCAACCAAATGTTATGAAACTTATACACAATGCTTATTACCACAAAACTCAGATCAAGTACAAATTTGGATAGCGCCACTTTTACAGTTTTTGAGTTATGTCCCTTTATAAATTAAATGCAAGCTGGGGCATCATCTGTGTCCCATGGACACATTCTCCATTTATTTTGTGTCATCATTGCTACTATCAAAATAACCAACATTGAGTATTTCAATTTGTGGTTTCTATCCATGAAGACAAAGAAAATATTTACTCTGCAAATATTTAGAATTCTGCAGTATATCAGTTTCAAGGAGTTGCAAGTCCAGTAAGATACTGTGCAAAAGCTTTAAAAATAAATTGTGGGAATCTTCAAGTTATTAAATTTTCATTAACTCCTCTATCATTAAGAAAATTTGAAATTCCCATATATGTTTGACTTCTTCATATTTAGAATTATTGACTTTTAAATGGTTCTGTCTTGATAAACAAAATATTTCAGCTTAAGCTTCAATCAAATAAACTGTGCAAACTGACAAGGCCTGCTGAGCAAAAAACATTTCTACATGTAATTATTTGTTTTTGTTAAATCCTTTTAACATGTTTAAGATAAAGCTTGAGGTGAAAATCAAGAAAAACAATATTATCACTTTCAACAGGATTCTGCCATTTAAAATTACTTATTGAAGTGTTTCTAAAGATTCTGTGTCAAATGTTGTTATAAATTTCTTTTTTTTAATGCTAGTAAAACTTAAATAGGTGATACTGAAATCACTTGTTTAAATAGCACCCCTGACTGACTATGAAGGCAATAAAAAAACATTTGTTGAAAAAAGGACAACAAAACCATGGTTAAGCAAATAAGACAAACATGCAATCCTCCACAAAACATAACACAGAAACAAAAAATGGGGTAAACTCCGAGATGAGAAATCATCACAACAGTCAAGGAAATACTTGGGAAATAACCATGCATGAAACAGATCATAATCAATTATTTGTGACAACAATTTTATTTTGATGTTTTTTTAAACAGTTTCAGAGGAACAAAAGACGGAAAGTGATGCTGGAGATATTATTGATGGGCGTAAAGTGACTGATGTTTTTATAAGTTACAGAAGAATAAATGGGTCGATGTTGGCAAGGTAAGGTTATTAGAAGATGTGCTTCTTAATCTTGATATCTTTAAAGCTTTTGGGCCTAATTTAATCAGTCCAAGACTCCTGAGGTCTGCAGCAACTGTCATGCAGTAAAAGAGGTAAGGCTAATTTTCTGGGACATAAGTCGAACATTCGACCGAGTTTGGCACAAAGGCTTACTTTATAAGCTAAAAAAAAATGGGATTTAATGGAGTATTTTTACTTTAAGAAAGCAACAAGTTATTATTGGTGGAGAAACGTATGAGCATGTATCAGCTGGTGTACCTCAAGGGTCTATCTTGGGTCCTATTTTATTTTAATATCTATAAATGACATAGTTAATGTTATAATAGAATGTGATATTAAACTTTTTGCTGACAACGCTTCAATTATAAAGTGGTTGATAACAAATATGAAGCAGCAGAAAAGATTTTAAGAAGATACATATTTGGTCTAATAATGGCTTATTAATTTCAACCAAATAAAATAGAAATAATGACTATCTCAAAAAAGCACAATAAATCTCATCACCAACAAGTTTATATGAATAATTACAATGTATATTATGTAGGAAGTCGAGTCGTACAAACATTATGGGGTTATTATAAATGAAGATGGAAGCTGGATTAATCTTGTCAAAAATGATTATTGAAACGCCTCTTCCAGGATTAGCCTTATTCCAAGCGAGCCTCACTTTTTGTCCTGTTTTTAAAGCTCGTACAAATAAATTTGATATTTTCTGACATTGTACATATATTTTATATTTAGAGCTGTTGTCATGTTTTTTTTCATATAGAGTTATCCTTTTATATAAAGAAAGATAACTCTTGTATCTTTTATTAAGCATTACAGTAGTCAGACAAAATGATGTGCTAATATCACATTTTAAATAAGACAGATAGATGAATTAATCTATAACACATATTCTTGAATTTCAAATTGAGGGATATTAATCCTACTTTGTATTCTAAGTCATTTATTATGAATACAGAATTCTTTATTTAACCAAAAACATTTTTATTTTCAGTTTATTGAAGGTATTTCTGCAGCTGAGGGGATTTACAGTATTTTTAGACATAGAGAAATTAAATGCTGGTAAATTTGACGAGGGATTATTGAGTAGTGTAAGGTCATCACGTAATTTTATACTGGTACTGACACCAAATGCTCTTGATAGATGTGTAGGAGATAAAGACAAAAATGACTGGGTTCACAGGGTAAAGTATTTTCAGTTTTTAAGTCGCATGCAACATTTTGAGCACATTAATGTATTTTTAGAGTATAATCTGTTTTGTGTCAGTAGTGAGCTAGGATACCTGTAAATCCTTGCGACCACATATTACCATGTTTATATGTAAATCTGAATGAACTTTTTTTTCATTGCTATTTCATTCTTATAATCAAGATAATGTTGATTGTTGGAACTATAATTTTAATTTTTTTTAGTGTTGAAAATAAATTTATTCTCTTATCATTTGAAATGGATGAATACCCAGTTTTCACTGACTTCACATGATTAGGGGAATTCCCTGGTGATCTGTCATCTTGAAGGTCAAGCTATTTGAAGCGTGCCTTTGTTTATAAGTTTACCTGCAACATTCATTTATTGATTTTTACCTGGGTTGAAATGTAGAGGTTCTAGAAATGTCAGAATAACAGTTATTTAAATATAACTCCAATGGTGTATCATAATTTATGAAATGCAAAATAACTGTGTGAGTATTTGACGAGAAAAGCCGTTTCAATTATCAAAAGAATTGCTGGACAGGAGAAAAAAAAGTGTATTTGCTTTGGTTCCAGATATAGTGTTATGCTGTACATTCCTCTAGTACTTAGATGGACTTTATCATTTAATAAGGTAAATGATAAAAATGTTACCTGTTTTACCTGAAGACTGTTGACTGTTTATTTGCAGAGTTCTTGAAAATTGGTGGTCTGAGCAGGGCTTCCAAAATTTCCTGACGACAGCCGGACATTTTTCAAAGAAATATTTTTGACGGTCAATGATCAGCTGGATACTTAAATGTAACTGAGAGGATGCATAAATTGATATATGTGTCTAAATAATTAGTAGTGTTATATGCAATAAAATTATTTATAACTGTATTGTTTTCTTCATTCTAAAAATAAATAAAATATTATCCTCGGTATTGTGTCATTTTTCTGTGTATCGTAATACAGTAACCATCATTGCATCAATCAGCTTCAGTACCTGACTGTTCTCATGTTTTTGTCTCTGTTTATATAATCTATCTTCTCTCTGTGAGTACTTAACACTTTGTAAATTAAGGGTATCTTATTTGAAACTGTTGATGTTGGTTTTAATTGCAGTTCAACTTGATCATCAATACACGTGATACTTTTCTTTTTGTGTATTGATTACCTGACCACGTGACTTTTACAACTGATGCTGTATTTATAGATAACATTGAGAAGGCCCAATGAAGGATATTGTTTTAAACCGTGTAAAATCTACTGAACAGTAATAACATTTTTCTTTGTACAATTTCCCAACCTGATTTAGAAAATAAGGAATAAATAAAAACATACTCAGTTGATAAATAATTTAAACTAATTTTCAGTTCACCAGCTTTGAGGTATGATAAGTACAAAATTAAATGTTTTTGCGTAGTAGATCAGTTGACTCGTCGATCATAATTCCCACGGCGGGTCTTAACTTTACGTCGGACATCACCTCTTTCTCTATAATATCGGAAATTGTCTGAATAAATTCGGAGCAGGCATTGTTCTCTTGATATAATTTAGAAGTGATCACGGCACCATTTAACTTAGTTAAATCATTTATTGACTGAAATTTGTCCATTGGTAAGTTTTCTTTAGCAATAAAGTAAGAAACAAGGAACAAGGTGCACATTGCGTTGTCAGTCTTTTCATGAACTTTCTCAAATACTGATACAATTGGATTACTTTTGGAAGCTGTCTCTAATTTAAGAGCTAGAACGTGGTCATTGCTATTAGCATGCTCTACAACGGCTGACTTTCGAAAAGTTATTTTTAAGTTTATGTTTTTGTCAAATGTCACAAAACATGGCATTTAGCATACTGTCAAATCTTAACCATAAAAACAGTTGTAACCATTTATGAATAAAGCTTCTAGCATTTTTAGCAGATTTCGAATTTTGATCGGAATCGTCACGTTTACGTTTGCCCATGATGGCAGATTTGTAAATTTCAATTTGAGACAAAGTCTTTATAACAGTCGGAGATTGTCATGATTGGATATTCTTCTTAATGATTTCAATTATAAAAACAGTTTTTAATATGAAAACAAGAATAGAGAACGCCCCCCTTATTTATTGGACAACTCAGCTTGGTATACCCAAGCGAAGCTATTCTCAGTGTTTTTCCTATATATTTCAATAAATTTTCCCCTTTAAGAGTACCCCAGTATTTAACACGATGTACAGTGTTAAATAAAATAATATATATCATACTTATTCATTTATAAAAATCCTTATTTGAAGAATAACTTTTAAATATCAGGATACTTTTTTAAACTGAATGCTCATTTAAAATAATATCTATAAAACGTAATTAAAAAGGATGTTGTTCCATACACGCTTACATGTTTGACCTCGTTTACCTGATCACCTTTATGTACATTGTTATGCATCATTAATTCTATTGATAAAGACAAGCTAAGGACACCTCATCAAAGGTAACAAACCTGTAATCAGTGAATGATTTATGGCTTCAATATAACTTATTGAAGGGATAATTGTTTGACAGCTTGTTGTTATTTAAATAAAAGAAAACTTGTTTTTTCTACTTTTTATTGATGTACACAACCTAAAGACCAAGCGGTACATTTATGTTCCCAGAGGATTAGACTAACTGAGACACTTCAAAGTATCTGAAATATGCTGCATCTGTTTTATTAAACCCAATTATGACCGAAATATCTTTGTGAAATAGATTGCCACAATTATAAACTAAAATGCCCAAACGGACATTTTTATCTATCGATAGTTGGTAAAAATTGAAATGACCGTTTTATGAAAATGCCTTGAATAACAAAAAGTGGCAAACCAATAATATTTGACCGTTTGAGGCTGAGAGCAGCCGGACTTTTTATGAAAGTTTCGGTCAAGTCCGGAATATATGACCGTTTTGGAAGCCCTGGGTCTGAGTGTTTTGACCACCAAAATTTTGCAAAGGACAGACACAATTTTTGGTATTTTTCGATAGAAATAATAGTGAGGACCAGTAGATTTTCTTCAAGGACCACCACAGAAAAAAAGATTTAGAGAACTCTGTATATGTATTTTTAATTATTTTCCAGGAAATAGTAGCAGCATTAGAAAGTAAGTGTAATATTATACCTATTATGGACAACTTCCACTGGCCATCAGCTGACCAGCTACCTGAAGATATGAAACAGATCACATTTTTCAATGGTATAAGGTAAGAAGATTTTCAAAAGATACAAGGATCTTAGAATAAAAGTATAAAGTGTGATAGAATTAAACATCATAGGTTTCTTTAATACCAATTTATTGGATAACTGGTTTTATTTCACTGGTTAATGAGAAATTCTACCAAGATCTTTTTCAGCTCACCTGGGCCAAGGGGAATTTTGGAGAAAAAATTAAACAACCTGTTTTGGAGTTATTACCCCGGAAATATCAATTTTGCTTGATCTTTTTAATTTTTATACGTCCGTTTATGGGACGTATAATGGTTTACCGTTGTCTGTCCGTCAGTTTGTCCGTCCGTCGTCAACATGTCCGATAATAATTCAAAAACGCTTTAACTAATTTGCATGAAACTTTGGTGAATTGTTTATATCTATTGACATGAGCTCCCTTTCGATTTTTATAAATCTTAAATTTTACTTTCCGACTTATGGGCTTTATTTTCATAAAAAAAGGGTGATTTTCCAGTTTTTGGACAATAACTCAAAAGTGCTTTGAGCAATTTTCATGAAACTTTGGTTACTGATTTATTTCTATTAAATTAACCTCCCTTTAGTATTTTATAAATTTCTGATATGACATTGAGGAGTTATGGAACTTTATTCTTTAAAAAAGTGACGGGCGTATCAAACGCTCATGGCGCAGCTCTTTATTGGTAGTTATTTTGAATATTACAGGAGCTAAAAAAAATCTGTGGTCCTGTTTGGAGTTATTGCCCCTAAAATATCCATTTTGTTCCAAATATTACAGTTATTTTTCTGTTATTTTGAAAACTATAGGAACTAGGAAATGAGGACTTTAGTTGCACTTACTTGTTATTTTCATCTTGTTGACCATTTTTGAAATTTACACTTTAAAGTGTACACTGAAATTTGACCAGCATGACAAGATCATTGAAGATCTATCTACTTTGAAAATTTCAGAAATTCTGACAACCTGTTTTTAAGATACTCTAAAATATTGATTTTTACTGTGTTTTGCAGTTTTGGGCTATTATCTCAAAAACTAAAGGAGGAAGGCTAAAAGTGTAAATTTCAAAAATTGTCAACCAGATGAAAATAACTGGTTAGTACAATAAAAGTCCTCATTTGCAGACTGGCACTCTTTTCTAGGTGAGTGAAACAGTTACGGATGTGCCTCTTGTTTAGCTATCATTAACATCTCACCCTGTTTGGCAATAAACAATATTTATTATAGTAATCTACTGGGTGATGTTTAATTCTAATATTGCCTTAAAGATATTTTTTCCCCCCGTCCGACGTTCGTTCGTCTGTCCACTCATCCGTTCTTGTTAGTGTTCTTACGTGTTCATTACTTGCCAGATTTTTCAAAAACTTATATCATAGATATAAGAAGATGTGGTATGAGTGCCAATGAGACAACTCTCCATCCAAGTCACAACCTGCAAATTTAAAGTAAACCATTATAGGTCAAAGTACGGCCTTCAACACAGAGCCTTGGCTCACACCGAACAGCAAACTATAAAGGGCCCCAAAAATTACTAGTGTAAAACCATTCAAACAGGAAAACCAACGGTCTAATCTATATAAAAAACGAGAAACACTTATGAACCACATCAACAAACAACAACCACTGAACATAGGTTTATATCGATAGGATTGTCTTGGACAAGATAAAAATCAGTGCTGATCAATGATTTTTATACGACCGCAAAAATTAAAAATTTTTTGGTCGTATATTGGTATCACGTTGTCTTCGTCGTCAGCGTTGTCCATGACAAATGGTTTCCGGATAATAACTTTAGTATAAGTAAATAGAAATCAATAAAATTTTAACACAAGGTTAATAACCACTAAAGGAAGGTTGGGATTGATTTTGGGGGTTATGGTCCCAACTGTTTAGGAATTAGTGGCCAAAAAAGGGGCCCAAATAAGCATTTTTGTAGTTTACAGACAATAACTTGTGTTAAAGTGTATGAATCTCTCTGAAATTATACAACAAGTTTCCATACTACAAATGGATGGTAAGGATTGACTTTGGGGGGTTATGGCTCAAACCATTTAGGAATTAGGGGCAAAAAAACGGGAAAACAAGGGTTTTTTTGGTTAAAGGACAATTGAGACAATTTAAAAACAGTGTAAGGGAGGTAATCAAAATCAAAATCAATTTAAATAACAATTTTTGATTACCTCCCTTACACTGCTTGTAAATTATGTATTAAGAAATGATGATGGTCAATTCCCATAGTGTATTGCACAAAAGCAAAAAATTGAATATAAATTCAAATCATATAACCAATTTCAAGTTCTTTGACTACAGTTATTCTGTGTCAGAAACCTATTATGTGTCAAAAATTTAATTACAATCCAAATTCAGATCTGTATCAAGCGTGAATATTGTGTCCATTTTGGCCCCAACTTTTCAGGGTTGGACATCTGCGGGCGTATCCAGCTGCGCTCAGCGAAGCAATTTATTAAAAGAGTTATGCCCTCGGAAATATTGATTGTATGGAAAATTGCATTGTTAGACCTCTCTTGTGTACAATTGTTGCCAGATATTTTTATGAAACTTATATCATAGATTTATATCAGCAATGTCTCAGACAAGTTCCAAAATCAGTGCCGATCAACAATATTTAAAAGAGTTGTGCCCCTTGGAAATATTAATTATATGGAAAATTACATTTTAAGTGCTCTCAAGTGTATAATTTTTGACAGATTTTTATCAAATTTATATCAGCAATGTCTTGGACAAGTTCGAAAATCAGTGACGATCAAATATTTTTTAAAAGAGTTATGCCTCTTGAAAATACTGATTATATATGAAATTGTATTTCATTTGCTCTCAAGCCTTCCTTCTAAGACATTTATAAGAATTTGAAAGAACAAAACAATAGTTTTATTTTATTAATTGCCCTTGGACAGATAAAATAAGTGCACCTCGGGGCACATTGGAACTCTGTTCTTTTATTTTTTGTTTAAATATAACTGCTTGAAATTTTTTATAATTAACACTTTAGTAAATCCAGTCATTAGCGACTTTATTAGCCAAACAACATGACATATAAGGAAAGAAGGAGAATACATGAGATTTGGTTCCTGATATATAATATATATAACCTACATCTATCATCAAACTTAATTTTGACTTTCTCATTTTAATTTATTTTTTAATCATGACTGCAAAACTTTAGAATAAAAAAAGAGCTACCTATCTATTTTTTTGTTTGTTAAGCAAATGATGTGTATTCCTTTCTGGTAGTAATTTATATTGTGGAACAGGTAAAGCTTGATTTATCATACTTCACGGCTGGTTTTAGAGATAAATCTTCATCTTTCAGATGGATACATGAATATCAGGATGCCTGTGTGGAGAAGTTAGAACGATTCCTGAGAGGAGAAGTCAACATAAGCAGTAAAAGAGCAGGATTGTTCCAGATGGGTTCATCGTCAGAGTTGTTACAACAACATAAAGCAAAATATAGCTCTAGTTCTAGTGAAAACTCTCCCAACTCTGATTGTAGCTAGTTCAGTATTCGCACCTCAGAGATTTCATTTGTCAAAATTTTCTTTTTAACTCCAATTGTAGCTTGTCCCAGCTCTAACACCTCAGAGATTTGTTTGTCCAAATTCTCCCTACTTAATATGCTTATGAATCTCCCAACCTCCAATAGTAACACTAGTTATTTAATGTGTCTTATTGTAACTGTCTCATGTAAGATTTTACATAGTGATATTATAAGATTATTGTTGATCAAGATAAATTAACCTGTGACAAAAGACGTACAATTAATATTTTTACCTATTAAGGAAGAAGTTAGCTTCACAAGTAACTTTCATGAATTTAAGATGCATTTTGATAAGCAATTAGTTTTGAATGCATGGAAAATAAATCATGTGAAACTCATTATCAGCAAATTGGTTGACTGTCAATTTAGAAGATAGGTTTTCGGTTATGAATTTTATGTGCCTTTTTGCAGTTTGATTAACATGTGTAATGCTGACTGAAACACATGCATTTTGTATTTTTTTACTAAAAATCAAACAAAAAATTCATTTTGGTCAATACTTATATTGTTAAGTTAAAAAAAACTATAGGTTGATATATGCAGATAATTTGAAAACACATAACAATGAGCAGTCAGAGATATAACTCTATAGGGTTATTACAGAAAATAACTTGCATGTGTTATTACAGATACTTTCATGAGTTGTCTACTCTTTATTCCTTAAATTTTCTAAATCTGTAATAACATATGTTTGTTATTTGTAAAATGAATCAATAATATTTTAATTTATAATGGGCTCTAGGGAACTCTTGAGACTTTGCGCAGAAACTAAATGCATAGCCTTGATAATTAATTTTTTAATCAAATTAATACATTTTTTATTAACCATGGTAAATCAATGAGATGTGGCTTTCAAGGGATAAAATTAGCTGTAATAACATAGCTTAGTTATTAAAGGAATGTAACCTATTATATGAGACACTTGGGAATTACTGGGAAGCTTGCGCAGAACCTCATTACATGCTCTGGTCATTATTTCTTACATTAAATTAAAATACATTGTAATTAAGCATGATTTACGTCTGAGAAAATGCTTTGGAGTGATATAGAGAAGCTGTGATAACACCCTTTAGTTATTACAGGCATATTTTTTCTGTAATAACATATAGGTGTACTTTGCAAAATTGGCAAACTATGAACTGTTATATCTTTCTATAGTTAAGTATACATAAAGACAATAGTAATATCAATAGAACTTGTATGCATTTTAACTAAACTAGTGATGTATATTGTCCCTTTGAAACATGTAACATACGTATGTTATCACAGTTCTTTGATTTTTTAGTCCACAATAACAAATGTATGTTATTTTTCTGTAACAACCCTATAGAGTTATATCCCTGACTGATGAGTACAACTTTTTAGAATGTTTAGAACTTTATATATATTTAGACACTTGCCTGTTTTTTAAGTCTGTCCATGTCTACATGTTTTTTATTTGAGTTTGTGTTGATGGATTGCTGTCTCATTGATGTGTACCCTACAACTCTTTTTATTCATTCATTAGTTTGAGAGTAGTATACACATGTACTGTGAATATATGGACAAAACAAGATGTAGGGTGTTTCCATGTGAGACAGCAAAATGAGGAACAGGATATATGCCAAGGAGACAGCAATTTATCAACACAAAGACGACATAAAGAAATTGTTTTCTTGTTGTAAGAATTTTACTTAACTTTTTCCAAATTCCACAAAAGATGCAAACCATTTTGAATTCTGAAATGAATAGCAAAACTATAAAAATGTTCTTCTATTAAAAGATTACATTTATTTATAGAAGCTGAATAATAGAATGCTTTATTGATAATTCACAAAGATTTATTTATAGAAATCTGGATGGTATGAATGCTTTATTGATATACTCGTAACATTCCATGTGTTCATTGATATACTGTTGATTCATTATTATTCGTTGATACCAAATTTCGTGGATTTCGTGAGTAATGGGGAACCACAAATTTAAATGTTAAAATGAATTACAAATTTTCTATAGGAATGTATGCAGACATTGTTAAAACCATTACTGGTAAATCAAATTTTCACAAAAATGCAAGTTTTCCTCGATCCACAAAAAATAGTACCCACGAAAATAAATGAATCCATAGCAACTATGTTAATTTTGTTGTCCAGTTCTTTTATGATATTTGTGAAGAATTGTATATAGACTATTGTAGAAATAATATTGTTTTTCAGGTTCCTTTTCACATTTCTCAGAAAGAGGCATGACCTTTTGACCTCGTTTTAATTTCTAAACTTAGAAAGGACATAAATTTGAGATCTATAATCAACAGTTTTCTTTGTTACATAAAGGCATCTTTTATATCCAGGATTTTGACGCAATACAAAGGATGATGGTACCAAATAAATAGGGCCAGGCAGGGCAGGGAACCAGATTTCCTATTGCAGAAAATTACTGAAGCCTGAAAATAAGTTATTTCTTCCATTAACAGATTTAGTTTTTGTCAGAAATTTATAATAAAGAGGGTCTCCTGTCTCGTCCGAATTTGAAGAATAGTCCTGAGAAAAGTAGGATTATGGCCTTATATTGGTAACTATTAAACAGGGTATAAAAAAACGAAAATATTGTGTACAATAGATATTTATTTGTAAACATATGTTTTTAATCTGAGAAGAAAAGTGAAGTGGTGATATTGCAACATTGCATGATTATTCCCTCATTCCATTGTTTATAGAGTTATTTCCCCATGTCTGGTTTTAACAAAGGGCGTTTATAGTAACAAATATCATGTAAATTTTCTAATGCATTGAAATGGTGTTGAAATATTTTCTCATTTAAATATAAAGGACACAACTCTGATAATGAATACTGTTAATTCAGAAATTACTGTGTGCATTTATTATAGCGAATCCTTGACCACTTGCAAAATCTAATTAATGGGAATACAAAAATTTTATGAAGGAAAATCACTCATGAAATTATGAATGCAAGTTTTTATTATTGCAACCTGAAACTGTCCCATTTTTGCATTAGTTTCTGAATTTGCAGGGAATGATTTTTGAAACTGAAGGTTATATGGACTACACCTTCCTCTTCCACAAAGTAATATAGACAGGGTGAAGTTCTAACGTTCAGATAAAACAGAAATTTGTATTACTAAAATTAATCAGAAATACATTTATGTTTTTCATTATTATTGGGTGGATACCAATTTTTATAAATTTCTTTGGCACAGTGGAATTAACGATTTAATTCTCAATAAAATCAAATGTTTTAGTTACTTTTGAAAGGTGCAAATGAGGAAACCATCAAATTAGCTACCATTGAAATAGCAAATTTTTCTCAAACCCTGAAAATTATTGTAAATAGTTTAATCCATAGTTATTCATCTTCCATAGACAAATAGACTAACTATGATATTGTCCAACATGTAATGAGGAAATATATATGATGAAGTGGCATGTCAGGAAAAAATGCTTTAAATAGATAGTTTCCATTGACATTCTTAGAGTTGGATCTTAAGGTCAGCAAAAGTATGCCCCCCCCCCCCCTTTTTTTTTTAGATCGTTGATTTATGCGGAATTTTGCCCTCTAGCACATCAACAGAAAGAAACAACTCTTAATTCAATTTTTCAATTTACAACAATGGAAAACTATCTATAGGAAAAGATAAACAGAAAATAGTGCAATAGTAGAATAGAAGAGTAACATGTTGCTTAGTTAAAAGGAGGCTTTTGTCTATCCCTGCATGAGTTGCATGCATGGTAAAAAGGGGGTTTTGTCACCCTAGCTAAATTCTACATAATGTTATAGCAGTTTGTGATATTATTTATTGTATAGTGTGTGATATATTTGTTAGAATGATATTTTTAACCCATTAGCCCTTTTGGCTGTTATTTTGGAATTGATTTTTTAAGTTTTCAGCCCTTTTGGCTGTATTCTTAAATTTGTAATCAAGTTTTGCAATGTTATTGAATAATTGTTAGATATTATTTCTAATATATGATAGAATGTAAAATATATACAAGTAGTTATTGGTGTTTATGTACATAGGTAGGCATGATTTGTTAAACTATTTTAACAATGATTTTAACTTGGTTTTTCCTTTAAAAAATATTCATACTCAAATCAGATAATTCATTTAAAAATTTACAGATGGACAGTTTTAAAATTCATAAAATATCTACTATAAACCACATAAAACCTATATCTTGCCATTTAATCATCTGAAATTTTACATTTGCAACATAAATCAATGACAGTATATTTTTTCTTATTTTGCAATTTTGTAATAGTGACCATAATTCACAGTTCAGTGTAGTAGATTTTCATTCCATGAGTTATTTCCCTTTTTCAGTCTTTAATTCTTGGTTGACTTAATTTTGGATAGTTATTTCTTATTATTGCTTCAAACTATTTATTCATTAGTTAAATGCATTAATGAAGCTGTTAATAAAGTTAATTGACAGAAACAAAAACTCTTAAAACATGAACAAAAATGTTTGCTATTGTATTGTGTCATTGTAATCACAGTCGCTAGTGGCATCAGCAGATACCACAGATCCATACTGTTATTTAAAATTTGGATTTAAACGCAGATGTTAAGAAATGAAGCTTGCTTTAGTAAAACAAATATCTCATAACAATTAAAAAATGGCTACACTAACTATAGGTTTATATGAATTCAGTAGGTGGGGTAGGATTTCTTAAAGGATAATTTGTCTAAAGAGCCTCTCAAAGCATGTGTTTTACAAAGTCTGTGTGTCAATGGAACAAGTAAACAAAAGACTTTTTTTTTGGCCCCATTTGCCTCAATTTTATCTGGTGTGCAAGACTGAATAAAGTAAATATTTAGTGCTAAAAAAACAAAGACCCTTATATTTAATGAAATGCTATTGTAAAAATCTATGTGTACCTACTTCACAGAGATGGATTTTATATAGGTCACTTTGTCAATGTATATTTGTTCTGCTTAGCAGAAGTTCCCCTGGAAACTTTGTTATAAACAATGCCATAATATCAGTTCCTGTTGGAACAAATATTCTATACCCTTTATTCCGTTAGGAACAAATACTGTTATATTTGTTATAGTGGAAAAAATAATACAGAATTTTTCTTCCACTTGGAACTTATATTATTAAGGAACTTTTCTCTCATTACAACATGACAAACATTTTATTGAAGGCTCTTTAAAAAAGATATATTGACATCAAAGTCAAAATGTCAGAATTGATTTAAGGAACTTTACTTTCAAATTATTTGTAATATATCCACAACAATAAAATCATCAATAAATGTTTCTAAAAATATTCAGGTACACTTTTATTCTTTTAGCGAACTTTTCTTAACCTTCTTAGGTAGTTCATATGTTGTTGTTTTTTTTTCTACTTAAGAATTAGATATCTTTTTTTTAGGTTTCCTTAATTTATGTGCCATAAAACTATGTTTTTTTAAAGTTTATTTAATATATTATTTCAGATTTGTTATTATAATAGAGATATATTTTGTTAATTATTTTTGGTTTATTTTTATATAACTGATGTTAGATACTCATTACAAGATCAGATCTATACTCAATTTATTAAAAACTAGTCACACAATATGATTTACATGTATTCATATTTTTCTACAAACTAAAGAAATCTCAAATATATATAGCAGTAGATATAAAACTACAGTGTAACCTGTATAATAGGGACTCTGTTTAATGCAAGAACCTGCCTAAAGTGAACTTTTGTATTAAGTATTTTGACATGTGTAAACAGAAACACTTGTCTAATAGTCCATTTTCCAATTACCAAAGTTTCCAATTTGATATTTTTTTAAAACACCATAATCAACAGACTTTACTATTTTGCAATTCCATTCTTTCCATAAAAAAGTAAAAATTATTGTCAGATCTGGTACAATTTACCATGCTCTTCACACTTGCTTTGGTTAAACAGGAATACAGTTTGTCTCTAATCAAGGTGTAATCTCCCTTTGCAATTTTTTTTTAAATTGGAAACAAAGTCTTTAGTTTGAAACTATTCAAACAAAATCTTCATTTCAGTTTAGACAGACATTTCTGTTTTATTGATAGCATTAAATTTAGTTATATGAAACATAAAAAACAAAGTAAGTTTAAAAATGAAAAATACTAGCCTGGCATCCTGTCCAGATCTTTGCTTTGTGTCACTAGAACCAGAGGCATAATATGTTTTATATGTCTCTGGTAGAACCAGATGTGAAAGAAGCCATGTCATCCTATTGTAAAAGTCAATAAAGATGTTTGATACATGTAGATACACTTAAAATATATTATTATACTTCACATTAAAATGCCGGATTTTGATTGGCTAATGGAGATAATTCACTCTATCCCATGTTTCAGCGGGAGACAATTTTTTGAATGTCTCCCTTTCGTGCGGACCACTCAAAAATCCATAATTTAAAGGACAATGAATTGAATTAACATCAATAAATTAAAGACAATGCTAAAGTTCTACGTTTTTGCCTCAGAAGTTTTTCATAGACTATTAAAAAAATATATCTTGCATCACTTTTGTTGTATTTCTAATAACTATAATGTTGTTGTGTACGTGACATCAATTTAAAATTTAACAGTAAAAGACAACATTGAGAGAGCATTTACTATAATAGATTAAATAACACATAGTTGAGAGGGTGACAGAGCAGTTTGGTACCCCCTCGAAAAAACATTGTCAACCTTGGCTTCGCCCTGTTTGATAATGTTTTCTTGGGGTAACAATCTGCTCTATCACCCTCTCAGATTTGTCTTATTTATATAATGGTATTAAACTAAAATTTTAAAAATGATTTTTTTCTTTTAAATGTGTCAGGCTACGTATTCCCAACATATGTCAGGAGTTGAAGCCAACTAATGAACCTAAACATGTGGCTCTATTCTTCCTTGCTCTATTGGCCAGTAGTAAACCAGGATTCCAGGCTAGATTATGTTTTGCATACATGTTAATTATAGAAGTCAGGTGTACACAGGTTTATTTTGTTGTAAAGGAGGCACCCCCTCACTGAATTAAAAAAAAAAGATGCCACTATTGTATTATTTAGTTCATATATAGGTAAATTGCTCTTGTAAAGGTTGCAGCCCTTGCTTTATTATGATAAACTAATGCCACTTCTGTATTGTTTGTAGTAATGTATTTAATATTATATACTGGTAATATTTTATTTTTGTTTTGTTGACTATTGTATTTCTATAATAAATGTACTAATTTCATTGTGCACAACCCACACTTCTGAAACAACCTTGATCAGGCATGTTCCAGGCAAAAATCAATCTATAAGTCAGTTGTTCTCTTGGTACTACTCTGGCTTCCTCCACTAATAAAAATGGATAGCCATGATACAGCAGAGGTTGCTGAAAACGGAATTAAACACCCAACAAATAAAGCAAAATACCAAAACTTAAAGTGACATCTGGTGTTATTACTACTCAACAAAGACCACCTATTAAATCAGGAAACTATTTTTGGAATGCTTGGGTTATCTAAATTTTGCAGCATTATTTGTTTCTCAGATAGATATGTATTTTTAAAGTACTTTGTTACAGTCAATAGGAACATATTAATGCTAATCAGAAATCTGATTGCCAGCCATTTCTCTCAACATTACTGAATAATTTTGTGTGCAATGAATTTTGGAGAGCACCTGAGATTACCCCTGGTTTTTAGTAGGGTTCGTGTTGCTCAATCTTTGTTTTCTATGTTTTGTTTTGTGTACTGTTGTTTGTCTTTCGGGTTTTTTCTTTTCTTGCTATGGTATTGTCAGTTAACTTTCGACTTGTCAGTTTGAATATCCCCTTGGTATCTTTCGCCTCTCTTCTTTAACATTACTCATCTCCTAATTTCACACAATATTACCAGCTATAACTGTGAAAGATACAAAAGGACATATGATGTCAATTGCCATTTTAAACAATAGTTTTTGCTATCATGTACAGCAGATGTTAATCTGTTAAACCTATTGTATCTGCTTTACCGATAGGGTGTGTACTTATATATTACTGTCAGTTGTTCCAAAAACTGAAGGCAAGCATTAAATTCTGAGTTTACAGTATACTATTGCCTCATATATCAGGCTTTAGCTATGTAATTTATTTGATACCACTTAATGCCAAATAAAACAATAGAAACTACTTAATTAAAATAAATAATGTTGTACAATACTATGACATTTATTTAGTTTCTGTTTTTGTCGAGCATCGACTTTTGTCGAAAAAGCGAGACATAGCGATCCTACCTTCCGCCGGCGGCGGCGGCGTCCACAAATATTCACTCTGTGGTTAAAGTTTTTGAAATTTTAATAACTTTCTTAAACTATCCAGGATTTCTAACAAACTAGGACAGAAGCTTGTTTATGATCATAAGATAGTATCCAGAAGTAAATTTTGTAAAAAAAAAATTCCATTTTTTCGGTAATTTACCTCTAAATGGACTTAGTTTTTCTGCAAGGAAACATTACATTCACTTTGTGGTTAAAGTTTTTAAAATTTTAATAACTTTCTTAAACTATCCAGGATTTCTAACAAACTAGGACAGAAGCTTGTTTATGATCATAAGATAGTATCCAGAAGTAAATTTTGTAAAAAAAAAATTCCATTTCTGTATTTTACTTATAAATGGACTTAGTTTTTCTGCCAGGAAACATTACATTCACTCTGTGGTTAAAGTTTTAAAAATTTTAATAACTTTCTTAAACTATCCTGGATTTCTACCAAACTAGGACAGAAGCTTGTTTATGATCATAAGATAGTATCCAGAAGTAAATTTTGTAAAAAAAAAATTCCATTTCTGTATTTTACTTATAAATGGACTTAGTTTTTCTGCCAGGAAACATTACATTCACTCTGTGGTTAAAGTTTTAAAAATTTTAATAACTTTCTTAAACTATCCTGGATTTATACCAAACTTGGACAGAAGCTTGCATATGATCAAAAGCTAGGATCTAGAAGGAAATTTTGTTCCTGTTTTTCCGTATTTTACTTATAAATGGACTTAGTTTTTCTTCCAGTTAACATTACATACAGTCTGCAGTTAAAAGTTTTTAAAACATTTATTAGATTCATAAACTATCCTGGATTTTTACTAAACTTGGACAGAAGCTTGCATACAATCAAAAGATAGTATCGAGAGGAATATTTTAATTTTTTTTTCCTCATTTTTGTTGAGCCTGCGATTAACAGCAAAAATAGGCGAGACACTGGGTTCCGCGGAACCCTTATGAATTTTTTTGTCTGATTGGCGAAAATCAAAATTGAAATTCATGTATCAAATTTAATTTTAACTTTGATAAAAAAAATTAATAAGAAGAAAACATTTCTACTTTCACAGAAGATCATAGAATGTTGTTAAAGTAAAACTATGTTCATAGTATTCAAATTAAAGTTGTCAACACTGTTGTGAGATCCAATCACACATGGCACGACTCCAATCTTAATTGACTAGGATTGTCAGTTTTCCAACTGTCCTCCTCTGCCAATAAAAACAGACCCCCACAAAATAGCACAATAGTGCAGAACGTGGTGTTCAATACAAATCAATCAATCACTAAATCAAATTAAAGTTTTTTATTGTTTACTCGCAAATTACTGTTGTTATTTAATTGCAAGAAATGTATGATAAGGGAGCTACCATTTGATTTTTATGGGGGCTAGGATGAAATTTGAAAAAAAGGCAGGACAGGAGTTTTGAGTAAAAAAAAAGGCAGGATGAGTAACTTGGCAAAAAAAAAGGTAGACTGACAATTTATGTAAAAAAAGTCAGGATAAACTTATAAAAAAAAAGGCAGGACCGAATAGAGTGAAAAATAAAAAGGCAGGACAGAGATTACAACTAAAAACAAATGCAGGACAACATTTTTCATCCTAGCCCCCATAAAAATCAAATGGTAGCTCCCTAAACAAGAAGAGACTATAGGCATTCAAAAAATATTAATAGAAGCAATTTGTCAATACAATATTAATCCAAGTAAGGCAGATGCTACAGTACTTGCATTAATTAAATACAAATTTTATTGCTAAAGAACCTATATGTTGATCTCCAGAGTTTGGTTTTTTTTGGGGGGTTTTAATGTTTTGTTTTGTGGCTGTCTCTTTAACATTTTCCCTATGGCTTCTTTCTACACACAGAGACAGCCGGACATTGAACACAAATACAAAAAAATTGATATAAAAAAACTTTTGGTGATAGTATCCCCAAAATAAGTTGCACACCCTGTCATTTTGTAAATTTCCAAGTACTGTGGATTCATTATTATTCATTGGATACCAATTTTTGTGGGTTTCGTGGGAACAGGTGAACCACGAATTCAAATGTTAAACAAATTACAAATTTTCTATAGGCTTTGTATGCAGATATTGGCAAAACCACGAAATCAGATATCCACCAAAGTGCAAGCTTTCCTCAATCCACGAAAATTGATACCCACGAAAATAAATGAATCCACAGTATCATTAAACAGAGGGTGACTATCTGGCAGGTCTGAAAATTGCTCATACAATTTCAATACCACTGCTATTGGACTGTTAGTTCCTGAGGGTACCATCAGCTCAGTAGTCTGGTTTTGGTACTGACATGATTTATACCATACTTTTTTGCAATTTAATTAATCAATGATAAATTGAGAAATTATTAAAAACAAGAGTGCACACCCTGAAATGGGTTGCCTGCTTTCATGATTTATTTGATGTTGATATTCCTAAAGATATAATTTTACTACAAGTATTACATAATGTTAATATTGTCAATGATCCATGAAAATAAGGTCAAGGTCAGATAAACAAAGCCAGACAGACATGTACACCTTACAATGATTATATACATATAGTTGACCTATTGCTTATAGTATTAGAAAACAGACCAAACACAAAAATTTAACATTGACCAATGAACCATGAAAATGAGGTCAAGGTCAGAAGAAACCTGCCAGACTGACATGTACACCTGACAATCATTCCATAAACCAAATACAGTTGATCTATTGCTAATAGTATTAGAAAAACAGACAAAACTATGAAAACTTAACATTGACCAACGAATCATGAAAAGGGCATTAATTCAGAAATAAATAAAGAGTACATAATACGCCCATTTCTAGAATAAGAAGCAAACTTCAAGTACTTTCAAAGCAGTTTGTGTTTGTAATGGCCAACAAAGCAACCAACAATGTGGTGGTGGTATGCCATAAATACTACACAGACGTTCTTAAGAATGAAATTTTAAATTCTTCTACATTCAAGTCCGTGTGCTCGACAGAGAGTCATATAGTAAACAAACATATCATAACCATATCACAGCTTAAGGCCTCTTCTCAACATTTGAAGGTCCCTTCTATGTATTGGTTACCTAGACTACACAAAAAACCAGTAAAATATCGTTTCATCTTGGCCTCTGGTAAGTGTTCTACAACTAATCTTTCAGTGCTTTTAACTAGTTCCTTAACTACTATCAAAGAACTTATCATTAACTTTTGTAACCAAATATATGAAAATTGTGGAATTAACTATTTTTGGAGTGTAAAAATTCTTTGGATGTTTTAGATAAATTATGTGCTTTTGATGGTCCTTTTGATTCTGTTGACAGTTTTGACTTTTTAACTCTTTACACTACACTTTCACGCAATCTTATCAAATAAAAGTTTTCCTATTTGATTAAATGATTGTTTGGTAAATCTGGCAGCAAATATAAGATTGTTTGGTAAATCTGAATGCAAATATATTTGCTGCAATTCATTTAAAGCCTTTTTTAAATATGCTAGATTTACTTACTGGAGGTGTGAAGAGATGATTGAAGCTGTTTATTTTCTCCTTGATAATATTTATGTACATTTCGGCAATAAAGTTTATAGAAAGGTTGTAGCTATTCCTATGGGCACCAATTGCACCCCTTAAATAGCAGACTTGTTCTTGTACTGTTATGAATCAGTTTATGACCAAACTCAGTAAAGACCCGTCTAAATTGCATTTAATTGATAAATTCAACAACACTTACCATTATCTTGATGATATTTTTTGTTAAATAATCAAAAATTTTCTAAATATACTGCCAAAATTTACCCAAAGGAGCTTACTTTAAATAAATCAAATATAAATGGTAATAGCTGTCCTTTCCCATATCTAGATTTTTCAGCTTCACATGGGAAACTCTACACTACAATTTACGACAAAAGGGATGATTTTTTGTTCCCTATTGTTAATTTTCCTTTTTTGGATGGTGATGTTCCTTTGGCACCATCTTACGGTGTTTATATATCACAACTTGTTTGCTATGCCCGTGTCTGTTGTGACGTTTTGGATTTCAATGAACGTAATCTATGTATTACTGGTAAATTATTAAGTCAGGGATTTCGTTACTACAAATTACTTAAAACCTTTACTGAATTCTTCCATAGATATAAAGATTAGGTTTTGAAGTACCTGTAGAAAACTTATTTCAAACGGAAAAGCACATCCTAATTTTTACAGAGATGTTGTTTATGAAGCCCGAAATTTGAAACGATCCGGGTAAACTTATCGATCCTTTAAATAAACTTATTCTAAAAGGTTACCAATTCAACACTGTAATTAGATCTTTGAATATTGTTTTTATTGGTATTAATATTGATTTTGTTTTCAGTAAATTAAAATCAAACTAAATATTATTTTTATATACATATGCATATTCATGGCTCTACAAATCTGTCGATACCTGTATCTTGGCATTGCACAAGGTCATGTTTTTCTCCGACTGTTTATGACGTCTTTACACTAAATCCATTGGATGTTTGATGTGTACTGATTGATATTTTAGTCTTGGATGCATGATTTGTTTTATTAGTTGTTATTGGCTTTGAACTAGCTGTCAGGAACTGCAAGTACTCTCAGATCTGTACTTAAGTGTCTTTTTGTTGTGGGGATGTATAATTACCCTGCCATGTCCACTCTGTGTTTTTGTTACTTGTTTTTGTGCTTTGTATCTATCTGATGAGTTAAGCCCTTTTCAACTGATTTTTATAGTTTGTTTATATGTTGTACTGTTACACCACTGTCCCAGGTTAAGGGGAGGGTTGGGCCCCGCTAACATGTTTAACCCTGCCACATTCTGTATGTGCCTGTCCCAAGTCATGAGCCTGTAATTCAGTGGTTGTCGTTTGTTGCTGTATATCATATTTGTTTTTAGTTCATTATTTTGTACATAAATCAGGCCGTTAGTTTTCTCATTTGAATTGTTTTACATTTGTCATTTCGTGGCCTTTTATAGCTGACTATGTGGTATGGGCTTTGCTCATTGTTGAAGGCCGTACGGTGACCTATAGTTGTTAACTTCTGTGTCATTTGGTCTCTTGTGGAGAGTTGTCTCATTGGCAATCATACCACATCTGCTTATTTTTATATGTACACCATACATCATTCTATACACCAAATTTAGTTGACATACTGCTTACAGTATCTGAGAAATGGACCTAATCAACTTTAATAACCTTGAACACTGATCCCTGAAATGAGGTAAAGGTCAGGTGAACACTGTCTGATGGACATGTAGACCTTGCAAGGAACCCAAATATATACCAAATATAGTTCTTTTATTGTTCATAATTAGTGAGAAATTCATAAATAAAAAAAAAAACACTTTTTTTTCAAGCAGTTGCTTAACCATGAAAATGAGGTCAAGGACAACAGACATATGACAGACAGAAGCTTCTTAACGTTATCTGTATACCGGTAAAAAGTATGAAGCCTCGGGTCTACTACCCTCTGAAATGTAAAGCAAAATACATATAGTTTATGCCACAGCAACCGCCGCCGGATTGTCATCCCTATGTCTTGCATTCTGCGACTCTTGTCAAAGGCAAAACAAAAACTAAGGTTCCAACTCCATCAGACTAATTTGATTTTAAATTGATTTGTTTTTTTTATAGCTCTTCATATGTTTAGGTAGCTATAAACAAATATTCTGGGTATGAGCATACAAATGTAAAAAGAACCATTTTTATTATACTGAAGTACCCTAATTTCTACATAAATGGCCATATTGATCTCTGTTTTTGTTCACAGGGTATATTGTCTCGTATCCCTGATCAATAACCAATCAAATTCTACAATTAGCCTGGATTTTTTACCCTTTTCTTATAAATGCAGAAAATATGAAAGTTTGGTTATATGGTATGGTTATCAATTAGACAATTATCCACCAGAGATTAAATGAAGAGGATGTTAAGAACTATAGGTTATCATACAACCTTCTACAATGAGAAAAACACATATAAAGAATGCTATAAGAGTCCCAAGAAAGACTAGATTCAGGAGAAAAACCAAAGTCCTGCACAAGTTAAATAAACTGCTTCGCTGAGCGCAGCTGGATACGCCCGTTTAGGTCCAACCCTGAACAGTTGGGGCAAAAATGGACACAATATTCAAGCTTGATACAGTCCTGAATTTGGATTGTATCAAATATTTGACATATTATAGGTTTCTGAATAAATGTAGTCAAAGAACTTGAAATTGGTTATATGAATTGAATTTATATTCAATTAAAGATTTCTTGCTGTTGTGCAATACACTGTGCTGTTGCGCAATACTTAGTAAATCTGTTGTCAGACTATAAACAATTAAAGTTCAATTAATTCTCAATGTCATATTAGAAATTTATGAAATTGTAAATGAAGCTTACGTCAATAGATATAAACAATTCACCCAAGTTTCATGAGAATGGTGACAGCAATTTTGAGTTATTGTCCGAAAACTGGAAAATCCCCCCTTTTTTAATGAATAAAACCCCATAACTCAGAAATGTAAAATGTAAAGGTTATAAAATTCTAAACGGAGCTTACATCAATAGATATAAACAATTCACCAAAGTTTCATAAGAACTGCTGGAAGCATTTTTGATTTTTTGTCAGAAAACTGGAAAATCCCCCTTTTTTTATGAATAAAACACTACAACTCGGAAACGTAAAATCTAAAATATATAAAAATCGAAAGGGAGCTCATGTCAATAGATATAAACAATTCACCACAATTTCTTGCAAGTTAGTGAAAGCGTTCTTGAGTTATTGTCCGAAAACTGGAAAATCCCCCTTTTTTTAATGAATAAAACCCCATAACTCGGAAATGTAATATCTATAACTTATAAAAAACGAAAGGGAGCTCACGTCAATAGATATAAACAATTCACCAAAGTTTTATGGAAATTGGTTAAAGCATTTCTGAGTTAATGTCCGACATGTTGACGACGGACGGACAGACGAACGGACGGACAGACGGACAACGGTATACCATAATACATCCCGTAAACGGGCGTTTAAAAACAATAAACAAAAAAAAACAAATATGATAGATAACATCTAAAGACAACCCCTGAATTACAGGCTCTTGACTTGGGATAGGCTCAATAGCTTTATTTAAATAGTGAACATAGTTAGTCCATTATAAGCTATAATTATTCGATAACAGGAAGTTGATAGCAATGAATGTAAAAATGCATCACATAGCATAGAATGCTAATGTGTAGCTTGAAACTAAATTTCGGGAAGAATTTATACACAGTTCATGAGAAAAATGCAACCATGATTTCCTACATGCACATGTATACAAGTTGATGTGAAATGAGTATGAAAACCATGCAAAAAAGGTACAATCCATTAAAAAAAAAACATATTGTGTGTGGCAAAGATTTGTGTGAAAGGCCTGTCTCCATCTCTTCCTTTGTTTGCTGAAAAGAAGAGTTGGTATGAATAGAAAGAGATGTGGGGCATATCACAATGAAACAGCAGGAATAATTTTTCAAATTTTCCAGCTTGTCAAAAAAATTGTGTTCCCCCTCCAAAGTATCTTTAGTCACACTGGCCAAGTTCGAATGGAACCCAAGTTCTGACTAGAGTTCAACATGAATGGTAAATAATTTTGAAGAGTAAGGTCTCTAGATTACCGGAAGTGCAAGGCCCCTACTCTGGATATGTTGACATTCAAATTTGATTGGATTGACGTCATAACATCCGGGATATGGAGTCGACCTCGAAGAAGCCTGCCCACACCCAGGACTCCTCGGGTTCTAATGGCGGGAAAGTTATATCCAATCATAACAGGTGTTATATATGACCATGTCAATCCTATCTACTCTAGAGTTCCATTCGAACTTGGCCACTGTGATAGGCAATATTCATCTTAGATATAGTTGTCACATGGTAACTTCTGAACCTGGTATACTAATTTGTCTAAAGACGACACTAAAGGAGTAAGCCTGGTAAGACCCATTTTTGGCCCCAAAATATAGCGTTATACAAAGTAGTTAAAAATGTCGCTTTTAGCTATTTATAGGAAAGTAGAATACTTTTGTTACACGAATATAGGCCATTTGTGACAATGCAATGCACATGGATCAGGTAATATCATTTTTCATGCAAAAATACTGAAATCTTCACGATTTCAGCATTTGTGCTAATCTTAAGATGGTTTTTGTCTTAAATGGAAGTGGCAGCACTTGTGTTCAGTCTTAATATTTAAATATATGTTGTATTAATTTAGTGATAATACACAACATATATAAATGTTGACACTGAATACGAATGTGGCCTCTTCCATTTTGGACAAACCCATCTGAAAAGTGACGTTCTTTGGCATATTTGATAGATTTTTCATATTTAAGCTTGAATTTGAGCGTCTGTAATGACCAAATCAGTTAAAATCATGAACATTAACTAATTGAATCGACTGGAGTAGACACTTGAGTGTTAAAAAATGTCACAAATCTTTTATCATATGTACTTCGAATTTTAGGCTGAAATTAGCCCTTACCGGACCTTTTCCTTTGTACATATTGTATTTTATAACACTTACTGTGTTCCCTTAAATAATTTGTAGTCAAATTACTGATCACTCATTACTGAAATCACTCTTAAAATTCATTAGTATAGCATTTATTAATTTAAAACAATAATTGTTCATCAAATATCCCAAGATGGTGTCCTACGTCTCTTTAGTTTACTACGTAGGTCTAACCCAGAAGAGGGTGCTTTTCCAATTATTAAACTTCTTGCATCCTCTTGAGATCTGTTGTCTGCTACTATAGTTAGGCCACCATGTCTTTTTAACCTTGAATATATACATACTTTAGATCAAATACACTGTTTATATTTTAGGACTGTTCCAAATAAACATCTAAACACACAGTATGCATTCTAATATGATTATTAAATCTATAGAAACTATTTAAACAGAGTTTTTTTGGTTCTTATTATTAGAAGCATTACTGGTGCTCCAGAAATTAATAGGGGATATGGAAGGTTAGATGGTTGTGAAGAAATCTTTAGGGCTGTCCCATTAAAATAATCATGGTACCCAGGAAAGGTACTTTGAAAATGTAGTTACCATCTATACAGGCAATTTTTGAATCTATCTTTACACTTTAACTGAACAAAAACACTCATCCATAGCTTAGATTTTGATTGTTTTGTTTAACATACAATGACAAATTTGAGATTTTTTAATTGCCCTCCCTGGGTACCATGTATGTTTTCATAGGATTTGAAAAATATATACTGTCACTGTTCAGGAGTTTCTAAAAAAAAAATGCTACTTGACACGACACATTGAATTATGGAACAGACCGTAAGCATTTTAATACACATTAATATGATTTGAAAGAGCAGTCCCTCTAGCTATTCATGTGTTAATGACAAATCCTGTAGGATCCATTTCTTAGGAAGTCTGGGAAAACTCTAATGAATGTTCAAATGATCCTTAACTTTAAAAAGTTTTAATAGTTTCTTTGTGTGAATGTAAATATTTTTCAACCATAATTTTTCTTAGCTTTCCAACCAACCCCTGATGTACATATTTTAAGTGTGAATTTTTCCTTCTAGTCCATCAGTGCACATTTTCTTCAAATCTTTTTTTTTTTATTTGGAACAGTTTTCAATAACACTCCTTTTGATCAAGCCAAGATCTCATAGCATAGTTTCTAAAATTTCTTTTTTTGTTTTAAAAGCAATCAACATGCAATGTCAAAGGATTACTTCAATCTTAACCATCAATGTAGCCTAAACAACCCATGTAGCCTAAACAACCCATGTAGCCTAAACCATCAATGTAGCCTAAACAACCCATGTAGCCTAAACCATCAATGTAGCCTAAACCATCAATGTAGCCTAAACAACCCATGTAGCCTAAACCATCAATGTAGCCTAAACAACCCATGTAGCCTAAACCATCAATGTAGCCTAAACCATCAATGTAGCCTAAACAACCCATGTAGTCTAAACAAACCATGTAGCCTAAACCATCAATGTAGCCTAAACCATCAATGTAGCCTAAACAACCCATGTAGCCTGAACCATCAATGTAGCCTAAACCATCAATGTATCCTAAACCATCAATGTAGCCTAAACAACCCATGTAGCCCAAACCATCAATGTAGCCTAAACCATCAATGTAGCCTAAACAACCCATGTAGCCTAAACCATCAATGTAGCCTAAACATGCTAAACAACCCATGTAGCCTTAATAATCCATGTAGCCTAAACAACCCATGTAGCCTAAACCATCAATGTAGCCTAAACAACCCATGTAGCCTAAACCACCAATGTTGCCTAAAAAACCCAAGTAGCCTAAATCATCAATGTAACCTAAACAACCCATGTAGCCTAAACCATCAACGTAGCCTAAAAAACCCATGTAGCCTAAACCATCAATGTAGCCTAAATAAAAAGCTCCGCTGGGTGCAGCTTGATACGACCGCAGAGGTCGAACCCTGAACAGTTGGGGCAAGTATGGACACAACATTCAAGCTTGATATAGCACTGAATTTGGATTGTGATTAAATATTTGACACAGCATAAGTTTCTGACACAGAATGAATGTGGTCTAAGAACTTAAAAATTTTCGATTTACCTTTTTCAAACCATATCATTATTATTTGCTTTTATATATAAATCAGAAATAACCAATTTAAAAAGGAAAATTTGAAAGAAAAAAAAAGGAAAAAAAAAATCCCTCCCTCAAATTTTTTGAACCCCCTTATGATTCATCACCCCCAAACTCAATCCCAGCCTTCCCTTTGTGGTATGGTACCTAGCAGTACAATTTCAGAGAGATCCATACACTTGAACAAAAGCTATTGTCTGGAAACTTGAAAAATGCTTGTTTTTGGGCCCCTTTTTGGCCCCAAATTCCTAAACGTTTAGGGCAATTACCCCCAAACTCAAACCCAGCTTTCCCTTTGTGAAATGGAACCTTGTAGTACAATTTCAGAAAGATCCATACACTTACACACAAGTTATTGTCCTGAAACTTGAAAAATGCTTGTTTTTTGCCCTTTTTTGGTCCCTAATTCCTAAACAACCCGTGTAGCCTAAACCATCAATGTAACCTTAACAACCCATGTAGCCTAAACAACCCATGTAGCCTAAACCATCAATGTAGCCTAAACAACCCATGTAGCATTAATAATCCATGTAGCCTAAACAACCCATGTAGCCCAAACCATCAATGTAGGCTTAACAACCCATGTAGCCTAAACCATCAATGTAGCCTAAACAACCCATGTAGCCTAAACCATCAATGTAGCCTAAACAACCCATGTAGCCTAAACCATCAATGTAGCCTAAACAACCCTTTACAAACTTACTTTTTAGCTTGAATTTCTTCCTCTAATTCATCAGCATACATTTTCATCGCTGGTCTCTTTTTAGGAGGAGATTTCAATAAAACTTCTAATTCTTTCTCCATTTCTATTGCTTCCTGATCAACAGGTTTGTCCTCAAATAATCGTTTATCAGATCTCATGGAATCATGATAATCATTATCATCAACATCCTCCTCAGAACTTGCACCTAATTCTCCTTCCTCCATGTCCTGTAGTGGTTTGATATTCCCTAGCCTTTCCTCCACTGTCTTCTGATCAGTCACAGATATACCTGTTGTTAGTCAGGAATATTTATAAAATGCAAAAATGCAAAAATAGCACTTATAATACATGATATATATATAAGTTTTCCACAAGAATATCAACAACTTATTCCTTTTCTCGATATGCATCATAAAATACAATTGTATTAGTATTAAAAAAGGTTGCTACCATGCCTCATTTTTAACTTAATATTCAAACATGGGAGCTAAAAAAATATTTTTGAAGGTCCAAGGAAGGAAAAGATAAATTATAATGAAAGATTCTTGCAATGCCTGTCCAATGATGTTATTTGTCTTTTTTATTGCATTTTTTTTATGTGTATGATGTAAGAGTACTTAGTCTGTTTGACTGTGTTGATAAAAGTGTGATAGGCCAAACATCCAGATGCAACAGGAGTGGGGGTGTGTACAGTACAGCCAATTTAAAAGAAATCTCAATTACTAGTACAACCAATTTAACCATGTTGATCATTAAAGAAAAGAAATGGTATTTGTACTTTTAAAGGTTGCCATAGTGGACTCTATTCAAGTTTTGCTCCTTTGTTCTAACTCCCACTGTTTACAGATGGATTGATATTGTTTAACACTACTTTTAGCACACTTGGCTATATCATGGCAGCAAGTTTTGCTCCTTTGTTCTTACTCCCACTGTTTCCAGATGGATTGATATTGTTTAACACTACTTTTTGCACTCTTGGTTATATCGTGGCAGCAAGTATTGCTCATTTGTTCTAACTCCCACTGTTTACAGATGGATTGATATTGTTTAACACTACTTTTAGCACACTTGGCTATATCGTGGCAGCAAGTTTTTACTGCTGGAGGAGATAACTACTGAACTTCAACAGGAAAACTTCCAATCCTAGTCAATTAGATGAGGATGGAACTTATCTGCCTAATCCACAACCTCACAACCTCACAACCTCAGTGTTGACAGGCTAGTAATACTGTAAATGAACTACTTCAACCACTTGTGTTCTTTCTTTAAGACATAATTTGGCAAAGTAACTTTTCTGTCAGATGCAATGATGATTGCTTAACTAGAGCAAGACAAGTTAATTTCATATCTTTTTAGTCAAAGGAGGACTTTGATTGAATAGTGTTTGATTTACACAGCATCAGTGCAAAAAGGTTTTATCACAGCAAGAGAACTTCAAATAGTTTAACCACATGTTCACTAATATTCCCGAAAATTCAAATCAAATTTATAGGATTAGCAAATTTACATATCAGATAACAACCCGTGTGTATTTAGACCAAATATCTTAAAACCTAGTTTACTAAAAAATTTCCCATAATTACCAAAATCAGTTTCTGCAGTGTCTAGTTTCAGATCATCTCCAAATATATCAACATCATCATAAGTGATTGCATCTCTCTTGGCCCTCACAGCTTCTCTGGCCTCTTTGATTTCCTCTTTATACTGTGTGGCCTTTAACCTACGTTTTCTGTAAATATAATATACATGTACTTTTCATTATTAGAAACAGCTGCCATATATAATAATACACAAAGGATGAATGGTTTGTTGTTTGAAATCCAATGGCGAATATTTCATGTCTGTTCCGGAAGGTGTTTATTTGATATGCTTTATACTAGACCGACAAGCTGTGCCAAATTTATAATGTGGTAGTTCACAAGGTAACAGTCCACAGGAAGACATGTAAACCAACCTGACACAATATTTTGACTCCAAGCTGACAAGAAATTGCATTTCTAAATGCTGCATAAATACTTCATGCTGAGCAGAGAAGTAGCTTATACCATTTTCCAGTCTTTGGTTTGACATAGTGATAGTATAGACCCATGACTTTCACAGAGGGGACTAAGCTATGATATCACCAAGGCCGTTCACAAAGAAAGGATGCCTGTTGTCCAGTGGTTGTTGTTGTCTTCATGTTCAGTTCGTATTCTGTTTTGTTATCTTGACTTAAATGTTCATGAATTATCAAAGATCTTTACTTTACACAAAAACATGAAGGGTGTCTCTAGTGGAGGCTCATGATCACATTGGGATTTGATGGGGCTTGTGTTGCTCAATTGCATAATAAATGTTATAGCAAAAAGAATTAGACGTTGTACACAATGTCATTCGAAGTATACCTCAAATGGTAAATGTAAATTCAGAAATGTTTGCATACATTATATTCAAAACTGCTGTTATTGAGCAATGGACACAAACAGGAGATTAATTATTGCAATTTCAGGGAATACTGCAAACAAATGATACACTCAGATTCTGCATTTCGCATTAATAGAGATATTGCAAAAATTTCTGAATTTACAGTATTTTACATTGAAGAAAAAATTACTTTAATGCACAGTGTGTATAATTTAAATATAGTCAAACGAAAGCCCTGCAGCTCTATAACTTGTAAATATTAATGGTAAGAAAATAGTAACTTACTTTGAACTACTAATGATTCCTTTCATACCTGTTAGGAAATAATGTATACAGATTATTATCAATTTGTCAGTTTTACCTTAATTCAGTACATTTTTTTTTGTCTATTTAACATGTATAAATTGATGTAAAACTCAAATACCTATTTTGATCTGAGATGATCATTAAAGACTGAGCAATATGTAAGTGAGACAAAAATGTAATGTTTGAAAAAAGCTTAACAAGACTTTTTATACAGTTACCTATAATTACTTACATCCACTTCATTTGAACTCAGGTGGATAGTTGTCTCATTGTCAATCATACCACATCTCCTTATTTTTATATTAACACCATTATTTACAGACATTTCAATTAATGTTAAGGTAAACAATAAGAGTTTGAAATAAATTTTAATCCCTGAGTTGAAAGTCAGTCATAGTTTCTAGGTTTATATTAAAATGTTTATTTTGAACATTCTTTCAAGTGTTACAGTAGAAAAGAAATACCAGTTTTGTGTTTGCACAATTGGGATCATCAGTTGGGGAATTGAAGGTAGCAAATGCAGTTTTACATTTTCCCTACTGGTCTGTAGTGGAAAATAATTCATTATGTTAAAAGGAAACAAGACATTGTGTTATTATCAGGGTAGATATTTAAAGAACAAGAGGCTCTCAAGAGCCTGAATCGCTCACCTGTATTTTAGATGAGAAGATTTTTAAATGTTAGCAAACTTGATGAACAAATTGTGTAAAATTGTCTTTAAAGGGCAATAACTCCTTAAGGGGTCAATTGACAATTTTGGTCTTATTAACTTTTTTGTAGATCTTACTTTGCTGAACATTATTGCTGTTTACAGTTTATATCTATCTATAATAATATTCAAGATAACAAAAAACTGCAAAATTTCCTTAAAACTTCCAATTTAGTGGCAGCAACCCAACAATGGGTTGTTCGATTCGTCTGAATTTCAGGGCTGATAGATCTTGACCAATTGAACAATTTTACCCCATGTCAGATTTGCTCTAAATGCTTTAGTTTTTAAGATATAAGCCAAAAACTGCATTTGACCCCTATGTTCTATTTTTAGCCATGTGGCCATGTTTGTCGATGGATCAAAACTTCAGATACAATTTATAAACTAGATACCCTAAGGAACATTTAGTCAAAGTTTGAAGGTATTTGGCCCAGTAGTTTCAGAGGAGAAGATTTTTGAAATAGTTTACGACGACAGACGAAGGACGCCAAGTGAAGGCATAAGCTCACATGGGGCCCGAAGCCGGTGAGCTAAAAAGGGACACAAGATTTTTTTTTATATTGTAAGTGTAGATGATAAAACATCCAAGTACAAACACATCATTACTAAGTTGATAAAAACTTAACCAATTTAAAGGCAAAGTTGACCTTAGATGGATTTTGCTATTTTTTGGGGTATTTTTTGTCATATAACTCTTAAACTGTTTCGGTACTTATACATCCTCTCTTTTAAATATTTGGTTTTGAGCGTTCCTGATGAAGGTAAATCCAGAAAAGTGCTAAGGACGAATGAAATTATTTAACTTGTTGTTTTCATTTTAAAAATGAAATGGATTAATCTGTGGATAAAAGTCAATCACTGATTTTATTTTTAAGCAACCAAGTCCACTCATAATTTTTTTTCTTCAAATAGATAATTACAAACTCCAGGGTGAAGAGACAAGACATGAAAATAAAATCAGTATTTTAAACCTTGTAATGTACCACTTACCACTATAATTAGGATTCCCATATTTCACATAATATTTACTCCTCTTCTCTGCACCAGGAAGTTTTTTATCAGCTGAGAAAAGAAAAACATTTAACAACTGTACATCTTTTCCTACTTTTATTCCCTAGAACCATTCAGTCAGTTTAATAAGAGTTACTTCCCATTATTGTCACTGTTCTCATTCTATAACATTTGTTCAACATTTTATAAATCTTCTTAATGCCTTGATACAGTAAATTCAGAAATTATTTCGAGGTTTTTATCAATACAAATAATGCAACTGGATGAGTACCGCAATAAGAAGAACTCCCCTTCTGATATCTGATACATATATCTGTATGCAGCTTATTCTCAGATTGCAATAATTAATCTAACTTTTTTGTTTATTCTTCAAAATTAGCGATAATATATAGACGCAATAATTTCTGAATTTACAGTACTTAGAATCTGGATGACCTTTTGTCACAGATTTTATCATTTTTAAAGCAACTCTTTCATTAAAGAAATACAAAAACTGCATGAATCGCAAAAGGAAAAATAGTCAGTAATGTGTGTGTTTATCATTGTGAATCTTTGACAACCAACAACAGAGAGAGATTAGTCAATTTCTTCATATTTTACAGTAGAGTACTAGTAGGAAAAATTAAACAGAAGTATTTGATATTGCTTTGTACACAATGTGACATTTTCCCAATTTTAAAATAATAATATCATTACAAAGTTGTCTGACACAAATCACCAACTTAAAAAGCAAAATTTAATATAAAACCAAATATTAAACCTTTAATAAACTTTCTACCAAGAAAGTTCATTTCTTATGAATACTAGAAAATAAGTACACAATGAAATTTATACATATTTTTAAACCATTTTATAAAAGGGAGCAATTGTTTTAAGCACAAATTTAATACCCTTGAAACAGTATTTTTTCTACTCAAACTACCAAAAATACATTTTTTATACCTTTTGTAGCGTATCGTAAAAATAGAAATTTATTTTGCTTGTACGGCTCCCCTAATCTCCATTTCCCAGGGGGCCATGGTATATCTGGCGGTTTGTGACCAGTCAGAGGTTTTCTAACTTTTTTGGACTTTGTCTCTTTTTTGTCCACTTCCATTTTTTCTTCCTTATTTGTGGAATCTGTTTTACTCCGTTCTGTTTTTTTCGCTGCTTTCTTTGACTTTGTTGTTTCTTTTTTGCTTTCTGTTTTGTCTTTAGATGATGTATCCATTTCCTGTTCAAATCAAAAAGGTTACAGTCATTTTATAAATCTATTGCAAAGGTTTATTTTCTACTTGGACAAATAAAGAACCTATAGTAAGAAAGCTCACAATTTTTTTAACCATACATCGTAGTAAGGTTTCAATCCCATACATTGTATTTGATTTAGCATGTTTTCTATAAACCTCTTTTTTGCTTCATTTTTTGTAACTACCGCCTTGACCTTTAAGTCAATCAGATCGCCTATTCATTAAGCGAGACCATATATCTAAGTTTCCATTCCTGTACAAGTCTTTGATTAAGCATCCAGAGACCACTTTCCTGAGCAAATCGTGTTTTAGTTTTTAGTAACTTTGACCTTGATCTTTGCAGAATTGAGCTCAAAATCAAAAGGGATCTTCCTCTCATTATGTGTGACAATATATCAAATGGGGATGCTTTTGTTGAATAACCTTCATCACTTATGCTCAAGACATAAATTTTGGTCACTGAAAGGGAAAAACTATCTGAGGTAAATCTGAGGTTCACCTATAGACCAAGGTAAATCTGAGGTTCACATATAGATCTGAGGTAAATCTGAGGTTCACCTATAGATCTGAGGTAAATCTGAGGTTCACCTATAGATCTGATATATCTTACCTCTTCAGATGAAGAACTGGATGAACTTCCAGATGACGAAGAGGATGACGATGAAGATCCATCAGATGATGATGATGACCCTGAAGATGACGACGACCCTGATGAAGACGATGAGCTGGATGAAGATGACGAACTAGAAGATTGTGACTTTGACTTTGTCTTTTTTTTTACTTGTGATTTCTGTTTAGATGATTTACGTGCCGGTGGTTTGGGTATTTCATCCTTCTTTTTATCAGATTGCTCATCCTTGGTTTTATCACTGGTATCACCTAATAATCACAATGGAAAAACATTTCAGTACAAGCTAGAACTGTTCAAGATTCTTATTCCCTGTTTTGGGGAAATGACTATTGAAAATTCCAGAGGCACCATGGGCGCATAAGCCAAATGGCAATCTTTATGTATTTGAAATATATGTAATTAAAGAAACAAACTAGCAGTACAAATTTGTATACCAAATAAAGGCTTGTATAGTCCGCGGTCTTATTCTCAAAAATTGGACCTGCCAGACAGGGGTGCGGACTATAGAGTACAATAAGTAAGAAATAAGAGAAAAAACTCGATTTCGCGAGGTGGTTTGTTTACGTTCTGCCATGTTTGTTATTGATATTGTAGAGGGCGCTCTTATCATTTTCAAAACTAATAATTTTACCTAATCCATATTAATATGTTATTTTTATTCAATACCAAATTAATACTGATAAATTTAGAAATTAAATGCTTCATTACAAATTTCTCGTTACTTTTCACTGCATTGCTTAAAATAAACTGGAATCTGCTTGAATCCAATGCAATGAAAAAAGTATAAAAGTCGACCGTAAACCAGTTGACAATGTTTAAACTACAAAACGTAATCGGTTATTTGTTCCGTTTTGGTGTTTCATACCTACGCTTGTGTTTTGTATTAGCTCAAGACCCTTCAAACATTAATGGGATAGATATATTAAACATAGTTTAACACTAGGATGGAACTGTTTTACTTTCAAAGTTGTATTCTAATGATATCTATTAAGTACGGATTTTCCGTATACTCTCACCGTTTTTATTTTCTTTTACACGTGCTACTCAAACTTCCGGTTTGAACATACACAAGTTTCTAAACTGTTTTTTGTGTGATTTTTACTTATCTTAACAATCGTGAAGTGTTCTAGAATCATTTACAAGCAGTTTCAACTTCTTTTTGATGATGGAAAACGGCTTTTTCCATGAAAATACAGCAAACAACCGCACACGATTTGAAATTACCTGAGTTTCATATGACATTTTCTAACAGTTACAAAAAGTTTTTTTACCTGAAATTTCGTGGCGAGAAAGGGGTGCGGACTATGTACCAGTGCGAACTATACAAGCCCGATTACGGTATGTAGCTTTTATGGAATACCTTGACTGGCTTAAGAAAATAAAACAAATACGGTCTTGTTATATATATCTAGACCATGTAAACAAGTGAATTTCTACTTTCAATTTAATCAGAGGTTATTTACTGTACCAGTAAAATCACTAATTCTTCAAGGAAGATCGGATGTCTTCTACCATCTTGAATTGTAAAATAGCAGAAAACAATTTTTAATCAAATATGCAAATCATGAGAGTAGAATGTAATTGAATGTAATTCATTTGCAAGACTTTCAATCTAAATAAAGAATTATGTCGTGTTTTTATATTATTTTGACTAATTTAAAAAATGCAGAATATTTGTTGTTTGATTCAAATTTTTTCAACTGATCCATATAAGGGGAAATAACTCTGATAATCTAACTTTTATAATGGAATGTGTTGTAAATTTACCTATTTTGTTTTGTATCAAGAAAAAGAGTCCTGGACTCCAATTTTTCTCTTTGAACTTGTATATATAATGAGACAACTATCTACATTTAAAAAAATATTGTAGAAAAGTTTTTATCTATTTTTCAGCTAATTTTGGTTTGGAAATCATCCTAAGAATACAATAAGACCACTCTTACCATTGACTTGACCTGTAAGTCTTACCATTGACTTGACCTGTAAGTCTTACCGTTGACTTGACCTTAAGTTTTACCATTGACTTGACCTGTGAGTCTTACCGTTGACTTGACCTGTAAGCTTGATTGTATCTGTATCATCTAAAAGATCTAAAATATCATCATCATCATTATTCTTCTGATTTTCATGGTCATTATTCTTCCGTTTTTCATTTTCTTTATTCTTCTGATTTTCATGGTCTTTGATCTTCTGACTATCATCATCCTCATCTGATGAGGAGGATGATAAAGATGAGGATGAAGACTTCTTTCTCTTTTTTTTCTTTACTTTGTTTCTTTTTTCCTTGTCTTTCTTAACTTCTAAAACAGATTTTACATGTTTTACAATTTTTAATATTATCATGATTATCATTACAAGTATAGTATTTATGATATTTACTTATAATTTAATTTTGGATGTAACACGTCTTCTGATTGGCTGAAAGTTTTTTGTCTATCAGCTCACAGACATAATTTTGTTATGTGACCATGACGTCATCAACGTTTTTTCATGATTTACTCCTTAAAAATGGAATTTAGAATTAAATTATAAGGAATGACTGTAATATTTTTTCTATTCAAAATAACCTCAAAAATGTGGTACACACTAATTAAAACCCACTACGCAAGTTACTCTGTGTGCACCACATGTTTGACACAAACATATGTAGAAACAAAAATATTACAGTCATTCCTTAAGTATTCTCCACTGAGTAAGTCTCATGCAGATAGTCATTAAAATAAACTGTACCACAGTTAACTAAAAGCTATTTAAAGTTTGTAATTTGATATTGTTGGTAATATTTTAATGTGTTGCATGAATATCTGTCTGAAAGGTGGAGGGTAACTAATATCAGAACACTACTTTTTCTGAATCCAATTTGAATATTGATATATATAAAATTCATGTTATAAACTTTTCCTTGACAGTAATGAATACACTAAATATTATTAGTGTATCTGTGTGCCTACAAGATTTCCTTCTTTAGTTGACCTTCTGCATATAAAAGACAAGTGAATCACTTCTGACCTTGCATGTTATGGAGCAGGGCCACAAAGGCCTTAATTTAGCCCTAAAATATTAACTTTGTTATATATCATGTTGATAAACCTATTAAATTATGATTTTAAATGTATGCAAATTCAGATAAACTAGACCCTTTTTCAGTCAGATGTTCCTTTTATAACTTTTGAGAGCTTCAAATGTATGATATTTTACAGGATTTTTCTGATTTTAGCTAGATTATCTGTTTTTATGTGTTTGCAATGTATATTTCCTTCTGAAAAAACATTGGTCAAATCAATTGACCAAAATAAATTTGTTATACATAGATCAGAAACACATCTTAACAAAAAATCATGGTGGTCCTCATATGTGGCCATTGTTGTTTGAAGCAAAAAAAAAATCATTTAGCCAAAAAGTTTCACATTGTATGTCAATTTTTATTGTCCAATCAAATACCAGTATATATTAAACAGACCGAAACTCCACCTACCCTTTTGTTTACAAAAATCCCAGCAAACAGAGCAAGCAAGTCGATCAAAGGTTTGCTTTGCATGCTTTTATAGAAAAGCTGTAATGACATCCAAATTATAAGATTAACTGCAGAACAGATGTTTTTCTTGAAAAATTCAAATGTTTCATATGACCTTAACTGACCTTTCACTTGATCTTCCATATCATCACTCTCATCAGCTTCATATGGTCTCATGACTTCATCATAACTTTTAGTTAGTTTCAGCAAGGCTCTGGCTGCTGTTAAAGCATCCATCCATATAACATTACCTGCAATGTGTAACCTTAATTATGATTATGAATTATGAACCGCCACTTCAAAAAATATTTAATTGCCAGTAAAATCATGTATATTTTAATTTACTAAACTTAGCCTCACGTAATAATGATCTAGTTACAAATGTTTTATTGTCACCCACTTTTTTGGCAACCATTCTACAGGTTCTAGTAAATCTAGCAAAAAAGTTCTTGTACTTACTGTCCTTATCCAGTAACCTCTGACCTATTGTAACACCTATTGTCTGACCAGTTGATAAATTGTCAATACAATTTGTCCATTTAAATAGTACAATAGGTATTGTGAGAGCAGTCATTCACTACTAACTGGAATTTGATCCATTCATCAGTAGGTCAGTAGGTCAAAATTTATTTGCATTACTGTAAATGACCAAATATGAAGTCATTCTGTTCAGCAGTACCTGAGAAAAGTGTGATGGAAATATTTGTTGGACAAACAGACAGATGGACAAAGTGAATGCAATATAGCCCTTACTCCTAGAGTGGGGTAAAATAATCACTTCACATATTAACTGGTCATCCATAAAAACTGTGTATTCATTTATTTTCGTGGATACCAATTTTTTCGTGGAATGAGAAAAACTTGTATTTTCGTGTATATTTGATTTCATGGTTTTCCCAAAGTCTGTACACAAGCCTTTAGAAAATGTGTATTTCTGAAATAACCTGATTTGTGGTATTTTTTCAGAAGGATCATGCATTCTATACAAATTTGAAATCCTGATAAATAACTAACTTACATGAGGCATCATCTATCCATTCTACTCCACCTGGTCCAAACTCTCCGAAATATTTAAATATATCCTTTGTGTGAAGGTCGTTTACCCCACGAAAATGTACAGCTTCTAGTCTGATTCCACGGTGGTCACGGCTGATATCTTCTGCTCGGAAACCAAAGCTATCAATAGAAAAAATTTACAGTACATACAATTCTATTACATGATCAACACTCTTTTGTAAAGGTAAAAACAAGCTTTTTGTGACCACATATTAAATAAGAAAGCACTTGTAAAGTTCTATAATTCCTTATTTTTGTCCACACATACCTTTATAAAATATTTTACTTTTTAATTAATTGTAAATCTAAAAAGTGTTTTTTTTTTTACCTTTTCCTTTTTGAATAATGTTTTTAATTGCAAAAGCAGGAATAGCTATAAGTCAGAAAGACCTGTACTTTTTATATGCTAATTTTCATCTCAATAGAATCTAAACTGACATAAAATATTCTACACTTGTTAGTTGCCATTTTTGTACTTGAAGTTACAAAATTAATATACATCCTTTTGTACATTTATCCAACATATCACATCAACAATCTTAGTAATACACAATTTCAAACCAAGGCTTCCAAAATGGTCATATATTTCGGACATTTGTATAATGTCCGGTAAAAGTCTGGCTGGGCAAAGCATGTAACGGTCATCTACTTTTTAGTTTTTCAAGGCTTTCTTAAGAGACGGTCATTTTAACATAATTCGCGATCTTTTTGACCCAACCGTTTGCCTTTAACAACCACACATTTCCGGTCATAGAAGTGACATGATCATTAAGTACTATCAATACAACCCCTACTTTAATACCTTCTCATTTTAATCAAGGCTAATTAGTTGTCAAACAGCTGAAATTTACCTGTTCAGGTGACAGGTTAACTGTTTTGACCCGGACATTGATCTGTCTATTCAAAGTTATTTTCTTACATTTCAACGGTTTACATCTAATTAATTTAGTCAAAAAGATTTAAATTATCAGAAATACGTTTACAAATATTTTTGATAAAAAAATTAAAAAGGTGAAAATGAAAAATCGTCATAACCACGTTGTTTGAACCAGAGACATGTCTCTGTTTGAACTAGTACATGTGTGCGCATGTGCGCAGGTGTGAAATTTAATTATGCATGATAATTTCTTCAAAAAATGCTTAAATTGTCATTGATACCTTTATCTCACGTTTATTTCGAATATTTTCTTGAAGAAATAACGTAGAAAGAGCTACTTACACTCATTCATGCTTTGCAAACGTACACGGAATTTACGTATCCGTCTCTGGTCCATGTTTTACCATTGTCAAGACAACATCCGGTATTAGATTTAAAAACGAAAGTAAAGTTTTTGACAACGTTATCTTGCACAAATAAAGATTCTAAGGCAGATATAAGTACACTGATGTTGCACACTTCGAATGATGCACTGCCAATTTAACAGTTTACGTCAGAACTTCGAATTTGAATCAAAGAAAGTTTAATATCGTTTTTTTTTTTAATGTCAATCATTGGGATGGCCAACTTCGCAACTGATTACCATAATTGCCTTTTGTTTATTTAGTCTTAAGGGATTAAAATTGGGATAATATATAAAATGTCCGGCTGGCTAAAAATAATTTTGGAGGCCCTGTTTCCAACTCATTTAAACCAGGGACCAATAGCTAAATTTATAAGTCTCCAGTGTTCTCTCCAGGGCCTTTTACCATCATGGTAACGTGATGCTATATTGCTTGAATGTGATGCTTTCTGAGATTATTATGTTATAGATTGTATTATGGATGTGATGCTATCATTTCTAGATATAAGATGGTATTTTTAAATTCCCTGATTACCAGGATGCTATATGAAGTTTGTGGGGAGAAAACTGATCTCAGTTAAAACATCTTAATTAAAAAGAGAGAGAGAAAAAACAGCTTCAATAATTGTTACACCTTATCAGTTATAGGAAGTTTTCCTAAGGTTTTATATTTAGATTCAGAATTATTGAAAATTACATTTTATATTAAAAGAGAGCCGAGAAATCCATGAATTATTTGATATTCAACTTTGTAATTGATTTGTAATTGATTTTGCTTTCCAACTATTTTGATTGGAGTGCCACTGATGAGTCTAATGTAGAAAACACACACGTCTGGTGTACCAAATATAAAGTCTGGCATCTTTGATGAGTTTTGTCATTGGAAATTTTGGTTGAGTCTATCTGCTGTATATACTGTGGATTCATTTTTGTCGAGCCTTCGACTTTTGTCGAAAAAGCGAGACATAGCGATCCTACATTCCGTCGGCGTCGGCGTCCACAAATATTCACTCAGTGGTTAAAGTTTTTGAAATTTTAATAACTTTCTTAAACTATCCTGGATTTCTACCAAACTAGGACAGAAGCTTGTTTATGATCATAAGATAGTTTCCAGAAGTAAATTTTGTAAAAAAAAAAATCCATTTTTTCTGTATTTTACTTAAATGGACTTAGTTTTTCTGCCAGTTAACATTACATTCACTCTGTGGTTAAAGTTTTTAAAATTTTAACAACTTTCTTAAACTATCCTGAATTTGTACCACACTTGGACAGAAGCTTGTTTATGATCAAAAGCTAGTATCTAAAAGGAAATTTTGATAAAATTTTGTTCCATTTTTTCCGTATTTTACTTATAAATGGACTTAGTTTTTCTTCCAGTCAACATTACATACAGTCTGCAGTTTAAGATTTTAAAACATTTATTAGATTCATAAATTATCCTGGATTTTTACCAAACTTAGACAGAAGCTACTTACAATCAAAAGATAGTATAGAGATGAATATTTTTATTAATTTTTTTCCTCATTTATTTTTAGCCTTCGATTAACAGCAAAAGTAGGCGAGACACTAGGTTCCGCGGAACCCTTACGAATTTTTATTCGTTGATACCAATTTTCGTGGGTACAGGTGAACCACGAATTCAAACGTCAAGGAATTACAAATTTTCTATAGGCTTTGAATGCAGAGATTGGCAAAACCACCATATCAAATATCCACGAAATGCAAGTTTTCCTCATCCACAATAATTGATACCTATGAAATTAAATGAATCCACAGTACTGTGTGTCATCTTTTATTTCTGGTTCAGGTTAGTAGTTATCCTAATGGTAGCTGATCTTTGCATGTTTTTGGGGTTGTTTTACTTTGAATATATCGTGTTTATGGTCTAGATATAGACAAAGGAGAAAGTGTATGCGAGGCAAGGGTCCGGAAACGGTCATATATGCCAGACATGACCGATTTGGAAACTGAAAAGACCGAAATGATTTATTGGGATTTAGGTCTTTTTTTTTTTTTACAGAAATAATTTCGGTCATTTCATTGAGATCAGGGTTTTATCGGTCGCCATTTTGAACTTATTTTTGTTTTCAGGTCATCAAGAAAAATAGATTTGTTTGAGACAAAATAAAAATTTTATTGATTTGTGTTAGTGATTTAATAATATTTATCATTAGTCTGTTGTTTATTCTATAATGTAAGTAAAAACAATGTACAGGACTCTGTCGAGTCACAGCGTGGGGTAAGTCTGGGTTCAAGCCACTAGGTTTGTTTACATAGTAATTATCACCACTTGAGGATAGTAATCAATTTCCAGGATTGGACCAGGAAGTTTGAATTCGGCTTGGGTGTCGTTATTGTCTTGATTAAAGCCATAAAGGCCATGTACACAAATCTCACCTGTAAACACCTGTTAAGCAATAAAAACAATATGGCGATTTGCTGTGCATCAAATTTAACGTTTTAACCATTCTGACCTAGATTTTCCCAAACAGATATTATTTTATTCATTAAAGAAGACAAATAACACTGTTGACCCGAGAATCTGTCTATTTTTATCCAAATAAAACATATAATCCATTTATAATCGATCAGCTGATTTTGTCAACGTTTGTTAAATATAGATTTATGTTTACTGAGTTTGCGCATGGAAAATTGGGATCAACATGGGTTAATTGATAATCTTATTTGAAAGATTGATTTTACTGTTAACTTTTCGGTAGGAAATGGCAGATAAAGATATTAATAGATTTGCAAAAGTGGTAAAGCGTATAATTTATAGGAATGCAGAATTAAAAAAAAATGTTTAAAAAAGGAATTAAAACTAAATAAAGTAATTTAGATTTGAAGCCATACAGCCTATTTAAGAAATATACTCAGCGAATGAACAATCTCGATTTTTTTTTGTTTTTTTTGCACTTCCGATTTTTTGAAACCATCTTACTCACAGAATGTAATGGGCGTTATCCTTTCTTTTGTTTTCCTGGCTAAACTTCTGATTTTTACCCAAGTGAAGCCATACATTCTCTCTGTAAAGACCAACAGAATTCATGGTTTCCCCTTTTTGATCCTCATATCGTAAACCAGGTGAATACACATTATCTTGTTGTGTATTAGGTAATCACTTACACTCATCCAAACAGCAGCAATTTGAACAATACAAACGATATCTTGTACATGCAATAAGAAGCTCAACACAGTTTATTAATTGGTTTACATAACTTTATTTCAAAATGATGAAACATGCCGTATTTTATTCCTCTTTTAATTCATGCAAATTTAAAGGGTTATGCATACGACCTCAGTGATGCAATACAAAACAACAAAACGTCTCCTCGTGTAGTTTCTAACTCGGAGACATCACTGTTACTGTTAGATCAAGGTACAGTTACACTTGTTTGACCCAATACTTCACAAAAAAGGACTTTACTTGTCCATGTGCAAGACTTGTCACCCTTAGAAAAATGCATTATTGTGCATCACGATATTATTACATCACAAAAAAAAAATGACCGAAATGACTTGGGAAAATTTCCGGATCCTTGATGCGAGGTATTTGGTTTACCTTTTATAAAGTCCATCTAGGTCAACAGAATGCTTTGTTTTCTTGGATTCTATCCCAAATCTTTTTGCTCTTTCTGATTTCTTTTTTATCTCATCCTAAAAGTGAACATTATTCATAGAAGTTTCTGTTAGTACTATTATCAATATCTTTTAGATGAGTTCCATTACCATTTTTTTGACAAATTTTTCCCCTTGGTTATGTATACTGTCTTTCTCATATCATTTAATTTGAAAATTAATGTACATGTATGTTCGGTTTTTTGCCTTTCACATGTTTCACGTATATAAATCAAGCAATTTTGTCAGACATAGTTAGTAAATAATTATATAGATAAAGAAAATTTGCCAAAATAAAACAGTTAACAGAGATCATATATCTGACAAACTTCCACAATAATGCTTATACATGAGAGCACAAAGAGCTCTAAATCACATCACTACTGTAAATAAATTATTGTGAGGTTTTTATTATTGCAAATAATGGGACTGAGTGAGTGTCGCAATAATAAGAACTAGCATTCTGATATCTGATATATATATATATCTGTATGCCATGTGTATGCAGATTTTCTTGAAATCACAATCATTAATCTCGCATTTTTGTCCATCCTCCAAAAATCTCAATAATTATCACGATAAAAGCACACAATAATTTCTGAATTTACAGTATATACATAAATAAAAAGGTCCTTCATTTTAGGATTAATCATACCTTTTCTGTAATGTCTATTCCTGTTACGAACTCTCCTGATCTGTTCTCATATACTTTTGAAGGCTGAAAATAAAAAGAATAAATAAAGGTCAATATTGACACATGAACTGGTGTATAATCGCAAACAAGAATAAAGGTAATGTTGATTGTGGCCAAACAAACTCAGTTTCAAATATATAGAAATTTCTGAGATTTTAAAAAATGTAGCTAAATATATTTGTTACAGCATTCATGGCTTGTTATTCAGCAGTTGTTGTTGGTTGCTGATTGTCATATTTGTTTTTTTCCCCAAATTATTATTATTGATATGGGCCTTTTATAGCTAACTATACAGTATGGGATTTCCTCATTGTTGAAGGCAGTATACATGTTGACCTATAGTTGCTTACATCTAAGTCATTTGGTCTCTCAGACATAAAGATCATGATGATAGTTGTCGCACATGCAACCATATCTTCTTATTCTATTTACACAAACTAGCACTTAAAATCAAAAGGATAAGAACCATGGCACTAGACAGTGATCTGGAAGGATTTTTTCTCTATGGGCCCAGGGCCCCCCAAAAATAAATTCAATGGGCCATTTTTAGAATTAATGGGCCATGTTGTCAAATGAGTGGGCCATTCGTTTACAATAAAAATAAATATAAAAAAAGTGTATATTTCACTGTACTTAGCTTACAAGTATGATTCTAATTAATATCATGGATATTGTTCCTGTGATTTTGTAATTTCAATTTCAATGACTATACAATAATTTCTTCCAAACCGGGCAATATTTACGATAACCTTTATTTACAATGTTAAAACTGGTACTGTTCCCTTGTTCATGTTCATGGTTTTTTACATTAAATTTGGGTCTTCGTCGATACCATACTTATTCCAAATGTTCCGTATAAGAGGGCGTTTCTGGCATTTCCTCTGCACTTGTATTATTATTACTTCATCACGATAACAAGAATAACAGTAGAGAGCAACGTTAATTAATAAGACACAACAACAATTCGCTGAAGGCATGTTTACAAAATGTCAAAACGAGCCAAAGACCAAAAAAATTGACAAGGACAGTTAAGCCCTTTTATGGAGACAAATACTATGCTATTCATAAAAAGGCTTTTGGGTTTTTCAATCGAAATAATAGCAAGCTTACTTAAAAGATTATAATTAGAGAAGAATTCTCGCCAGTACTAGCCAATTTTCACAAATTTAAAGTTGTTTATAAAAAAATATATTATGAATGATGGTTAATTACGTTTTTTGGGTAATCAGTCATATCGCATGTTGCTATTATTACCATAGGAAAACACCAGAGACGTCCCAAAAATATATAGGTGCTCCTATCATTGGAGTAAACACTACACAGTTGTGTACTCACACATGGCGGCACGAAATACAATCGGAAATCCATTTGACGATATCTCAACGTTTCAAAACGAAGTGAAAAATATCATGCGCCACGCGGGCGCTTACATTTGTCACTCTATGCGCCATTTCTGGTCGATAAGCGCAATTGGCGCAAGGCGCATGTCCTTCCCGATCACTGCTAGAGACCGACAAAATTGTCAATAAATAATAGATTTTTTACAATTTGAATTTCTGATGACCACAAAAGATAATAATGCATTTAACATGTTTAAGTGTAGGTGCAAAGGCATAGCTGATATATTTCACTGCCAAAAAAGGACAAGGTATTTATTTCTTTTAAAATGGCGGGAAAAGGCTGACTGACTATTATCTTATATTTGCATTGGTATCATTTGGGTCTCAAATCTGCTTAAATTTTGGTAAATGATCTTTTATGGGCTATTAAAATCTTATATGAACAGAAAGATGGGTGTTTATCATGTTTATGGGGCAAAATATTTTACCCTGTATCGTGTGTAAAAAACCAAGGAGTCCGAACATCTGACAAAAATTCCTAAACCTGACCTAAGTATATACTTAACTTTTTAAAATATAAACCAATCAAAACATTATTTATAGAATATTGAGAAAACTTAAAACAACAAACAAATTTATTATTCTTTGTGTATTCTAACTGCTTAATTACATGTGCTGAAATTTTAACGTTATAGAAAATGTACCTAATTCAATAACCTCTGAAATTGTACGTTTTGCAAAAAAAGATATGGAACAGTAAACATAATATTAGGTGCCGAAATGTCTTTAAATAGGTGCTGATTTGACAATATCCTGATTTGACTTGTACCCCAAATATAATTACAATGTAAAACATGAACTTAACCAAACAGAAGAAATTGTTTAATGACTTTATTGAAGGCTGGGGACAGAGGGTGTTTGCTGTTTGTCAACAAAAAACGGAAGCCTTGGGGTAAATCTAAGGGCTTTCTATAATACATTTCGTGTCAATTTCTTTATTCCAGTCATGTTTTTTCAAACTACTGTGTTCCACGATTCTGGCACTTTGAATATCATTCACAGTCCAAATTTCCTGACACAAGTTAAAGTCATTGTATAAAATAAAAAAATCCATGTTTCACTGAAATTTGTGGCATACCGAGATTTGTGTTCTTGGACACCGCTTATTACTCCTTACCTACTATTTGATACCTGTCCCATAATCAATCTCTATTCTCGGAAGATAATGTTGTCATCAAAGAGCATCAGAATATGTTACATAATAATGTATACTTAATTAGTTTGGTTAAATTACTTGAGAAAAACGAAAAAAACATAAATTTGCAACAGGAAGTTTTGAATAAAACGAAATTATCTGTACTTACCGGTAACAGAAATGAACAAAATCTGGAAATCGTAAATTTTACAAACAAAAAATCGGGGCAGGACGATTTCAGAGGGGCGGACAGGGATTAAAATCTATCAACTAATTTTAATTGGCCATATCTACAGTATTATTTATGGGTTTGTCAAGTAATTGTTTAGAAAATACCAAACAAGATAACAATAAAAAAAAAATTTGTAAGGGTTCCGCGGAACCCAGTGTCTCGCCTACTTTTTCTGTTAATCGCAGGCTCAACAAAAATGAGGAAGTAAATCAATATAAATATTCCTCTTGATACTATCTTTTGATTGTAAGAAGCTTCTGTCCAAGTTTGGTAAAAATCCAAAATAGTATAAGAAAGTTATTAAAATTTTAAAACTTTAACCACAGAGTGAATGTGTTGTTTCCTGGTGGAAAATCTAAGTTCATTTAAAAGTAAAATACGGAAAAAATGGATTTATTTTTTTACAAAATTTCCTTCTAGATACTAGCTTTTGATCATAAACAAGCTTCTGTCCAAGGTTGGTACAAATCCAAAATAGTATAAGAAAGTTATTAAAATTTTAAAAACTTTAACCACAGAGTGAATGTGTTGTTTCCTGGCAGAAAATCTAAGTCCATTTAAAAGTAAAATAAGGAAAAAATAGATTTATTTTTTACCAAATTTACTTCTGGATACTATCTTATGATCATAAACAAGCTTCTGTCAAAGTTTGGTACAAACCCAGGATAGTTTAAGAAAGTTGTTAAAATTTAAAAAACTTTAACCACAGAGTGAATGTAATATTTCCCGGCAGAAAAACTAAGTCCATTTATAAGTAAAATACAGAAAAAATGGAATTTTATTTTTACAAAATTTACTTCTGGATACTATCTTATGATCATAAACAAGCTTCTGTCCAAGTTTGGTAGAAATCCAGGATAGTTTAAGAAAGTTATTAAAATTTCAAAAACTTTAACCACAGAGTGAATATTTGTGGACGCCGCCGACGACGACGACGCCGACGACGTCGAAGGCTCGACAAAAACCAAGCCCCAAGTATTTTTTCCAAGCTACAAATGTAGCTTCAAGCTGATACAAACTTACTATTGGTGAATAAATATTCTGTTAACAATACATGATGCTTGAGAAGCCCTTTGAAGTTTCGACCTAATGCGGCATAAATGGAACCCAAAATGCTTGATTCAATAAAAAAAATTTTTATCATATCCAAAGAGTAAGCTCGCACTAGTGATGTTTTTTTTTTATTTTAGTTGGTGTCTATGTTTCTTGATAATTGATTCAATATTTCACTGGAATTAGTATTATTTCTTACATTCATAAATGACATATTATTTTCTATTCTCTGTTATTAAAATAATCATTCAAGCACCAGTGTCAAATGGAAACGTTAAGTTGATGCCTTAAATGTGTGACATAAGAAAGTCTTGTGACCTCTTCTTTCAGACAGATGCACACTTCATGACAAAACGACTTTTTTAAGTAATATTTTCAAAACAAAACTTCTGTCAAAATGATAAATACATAAGTGTGGCCGACAACGACCGAAACTACTGTGGCCGAACCGGTACTGGGTCGAAACAACCTGTGGCCGAACTGGTTGTGTGGCCGAAACGTCTCGAAAGTGAAATTATGAACCTGTCTAAAAGTCCTATTTTCGCTTCTTGTTCGGTCAATCTTCCCTATTCGCACGTTGAATTCTACGTTCCTCTCATTGTCTTCCTCAGATTCGTTAGGGCTACTTTGAAGTTCGTCTGCACCGTGAATGGAAACCACATCTTCTTGTTCTTTATCTGACTCTGTGTTGTCAATACAAATTTTTAAATTTGGCAACTGTTCGTCTCTGTTAGCCATTGAATTAAGTATGTGCTAAAACCCAAGAGTCATGTCCCGGACGAAAATATTTTGTTTAATTATCATGTGAACTTTTCAAGGTTTATTTCGGATACTATATCCTTTTTTTCACATTCTCACGTAAGAAATAATATACAAAAATTAAAGGCTTTTAACTAATCCAATCAGCATTAGAATAAACCAGAGAAAATTATTAATGTCCTTAAATTAGCATTTTCCTTTGATTACCTCCCTTGACCTAGACAGAAAACATAAAATTGAAAATTGATGGAAATGACAACTACTGGCAACTCTGTCTTGGTTAGTTTTAAAGGGAAATTTTGAAAGGAGACCCAGTCTGTTTTGTTCGGCCTGCATATCTCTATTTTCTGTGTTTTGATGATATTTTACATAGGGTTCTCTTTATTTAAATTAATATGACTATGAGTCAGACCACTCACATCATTTTAAACATGAGGAGGGGGTTGGCCATTTAGAAAATGCAGTCTTTATAAAATAATGAATCCCTGTATAAAATGTCTTTAGAATTTTTAATCCCCCCTTTCGTGACCACTGACAGTCAGGGGTACTACTTAAACAAGTGATTTCAGAATCACTCCATCGAGTGATTTTGGCTTTGAAATATTAAAAATTTTCACACAGACTTTTTAAAATCATTGAAACAAGTAATTTTAGAAGTTAAAATGTAATCACTTTAATAAGTGTTTATAACATTTTCTTGATATTTTTCCCACAAGCTTGATTTTTTTATTGGTAAAAAGACAACAATTCCATTGAAAAAACAACTATGTATATGCAGAAATTGTCTTTTGCTTGATAAGCCCGACACTTTTACAGTTTTTTTTAAAATATGCAAAAACTGGAATAGTTTGTAGATCAGGTCATAACCTTGAAGTAGATCATTCTAACTCTAAAGAAAACCAACCAGGTTACCTAATATTGTTGATCTTTGTCTGATAGTAAGAGTAGTTAATGAATTTTTGATTACAGAAAAATTCCCAAGGGTACTTTTAAAAGCTTTAGCGCACTAACTTACTGCCCAAGCGCACTGGTGATATTAATATACAAAGAAAAAGGGATAATTGATTTATGTAGGAAAATTATAGAAAAGATTGTGAAAATATGGAAAATCAATGAAATTAGCATTTGAAGATCAAAGAAAACACTTAAATCACTTAAATAAGTGATAACTGAATTTATCAAATCACTGAAATAAGTAATGATGAAATCACTTGTTTAAGTAGCACCCCTGACTGACTGAGTCACCTGAATTTCCAGCAACATAAATATTGTATAAAGACCAATTATAATTTGTTTTTTATGACTGTGTGACACCAATTGACCTCATGACATCATTGAAAATCAGTTCTTACTGTGACATAATAACATAAGCATTATGAAATAGGAAATGTTCAGGAACATACATCATTGTACATAAATTCGAAAGTCGTCTACAATGTACAATGTAGTGCATTAATTTTTTGCTTATTTTCAATTAATTTATTGATAGAAATGCAGGTGTCTGTGCCTTTATAAGAATAAAATAGACCCCTTTTTTTTTTTAAAGGGACAGCCGATAAATTAATACAGTAAACATGGTAAATTGTTATTGTTGAAATAGGTAAACCATCGTTTTTTATAAAACAATATTGGAAATTTACACATACATGTAAGTTTTTTTAAATGCAAAGCAAGAACATGATGAATCTTTGATTTGAATTTTTATCTGAAAATCTGAAAAAAAGTCATCAATAAGAAAATGAAGAAAGAAACCCAAAAATAAAATACATCTACATGTACCATGTGTACCACAATTCACATCTGAAGCTCAAGATATGACCTTCAACAACCACGACAACAGTATTATTCCCGGTATTTTCAAACAGCACCATGGATTTGAAATAGCTGGATTTCCACATTTATAATACCTTCATGGCATTATATTACATTGTATTATGAAATCTTCTAGGATATATAGCATGCCAGTAAAAACAATGAAAAAGATATAGCACTATCATGACTATGGTAACATGTACAATGGATCTGTCAATGGTACTATAAGCCATGGGAAGAACACTAAAGAATAGACAAATTATGTCATAGTCAAAGTTATAAAACTCAAATTCCCACAAAGTCTACATACATGTACATGTACTAGACTAGTGAACAAATTTTAAAAACATAGATATAACAACAGATCTCAAAGTACAAGAAAACACTTACCCAGTATTCCAAATCTTTTAGCTAATTACTGATCCACATATAAATGTGTAATCTAAATTATTTTCTGTTATAGTCTAGACTACAGTTAGCCTATTCCAGACCCTTACTCCAGAGATGCAATGAGATAGAGAACATTATACATTCAGCAGGAACACAGGTATTAATTTGTGTCAAAAGATAAGCAAAATGTACATGTATACTATATATGCTATATGTTTTAATGCAGAATGGAAATTCTCTGGGGCACAGTAGCCCATGAACTGGGCTACCGATTTCTACCCATTTTTTGCTTGATCATATTACACCATGAACACTGGCCATCAAAAATATTGGCTGGGCTACCAAACATACCAAATATGCGTTAAATATTTGATCGACTGAGCACACCTTTTATCATTATATAGCAAAAATTAAAATATAATCTAGATTTGAAGCCATTTCCTTGCTCTGTTTTCTAATGGAGAGTTAGATAATAAATTGTATAGCAATAAAAAAAAATTCTCACTTTCGAACGTGCCATTGCCAAAAATAATGAGTCCCTGGACTCACCTTCAAAAATTCATAGTTAGAACCTTGCCTCTAAAAGATGTACACACATTTTAGATATATATATATACATTGATATACATATGTATACATATATTTATGTAAAAAGAACTGATTGATTATTATTTGCTTAAAACATCAATAGATATAAGAAGATGTGGTGTGAGTGCCAATGAGACAACTCTCCATCCAAGTCACAATTTGTAAAAGTAAACTATTATAGGTGAAAGTACAGCCTTCAACACGGAACCTTGGCTCACACCAAACAGCAAGCTATAAAGTTCCCCAAAAATGACGTGTAAAACCATTCAAACAGGAAAACCAACAGTCTAATCTATATAGAAAATGAGAAACACTTATGAACCACATCAACCACTGAACAACAGGTTCCTGACTTAGGACAGGTGCAAACAAATGCAGCGGGTTTAAACGTTTTAACAGGTGCCAACCTTCACCCTAACCTGAAATAATAGTGTAACATCACAACATAGGAAGACACACTATAAAATATCAATTGAAATGGCTTAACTCAATCAAAAGACATATTAACAAAAACAAGTAAACATACACTGAATGAATAAATTTGATCTATGACACAATGTAAGTACAAAATTGATAAAAAACATAAAAAATCTAGTTGCCAATATATCAAATGTATATCATGCATATTCAGGACAAGAAAATTTAATTTATTTTTCGCAATTTAAACCTTTTGTTGATCAATGTATTCTTATAAGAGAATTCACTTGTTTGAAATATTTGTGACGATTTATATTCAAAATTTAAATCTATTGACAAAAGTGGCAAAAGAAAATTGCTCAAAAAAATTAGTTGGTTTACAGTATTGTCCTTGTTGTTGATTTCATGATCATTGGATTTTTTATGATTTGGTTTTGATTTCAGGAATTAAAGAATGCCTTGCCATCAATATTATCCAATATATTTGGTTATGGATCAGAAGTGGGATGGCAGCTTCACTCAATTAGTCGGGGATACAACCTACAAGAATTTGAATGTGCCAGAAGATTCCTTGGTTCAGAAGGTCCATTGCTGACTCTCGTATATAATCTTCAGACAGATGTCAGTCTGTTGTATGAATTTCCTCTTCATCATATACCGGTAAGTAGGGCAGATGTGTGCATGAATTTTCACCGTTCTACGTATATACCAGTTAGTTTTATAGTAGGGCAGAAGGTTTATTTATCACAAGAGACTGTTACCTTGCATTGGTTATTGACACTCATATTAACATTAATCCAGAAAAGCCAGAAAGCTCTTAAAATTCATCAAAATGACAAAGTTTGAATTTGACTTACTAATGCTGGGTTGATACCACTGCATTTAATAAACATCATGTAGTAAAATGGGTTTGTTGAAACATTATGTTTTCAAGTTCACCAGCATTTCTTGGTAGTGTAGGTGTTGCTGAATCTTTTATGTACTGTTGTTTGTTTTTTCGTCTATTTTGATTTGATTACTGTGTCATCTGCTTTTTTTCCCTTCTTGATATTGATTGCCTCTTGGAATCTTGCAACTTGTTTTTACTAAGAGAATCTCCTGTGAATTTAATATTGAACTGAAATTGCAAATAAACAGTTTATGTTCTATCTCATTTCAATATTTCCTGATTTCAGGGACCATCAAGACAGATTATAGAAGAAGGAAACATACCATATTTCTACATAAATAAATTACAGACACAGGGATATGGGTCACATCTTATACTCCTGTGTATCCTTTATATAAAGTGATCTGTATATTGGTAGTACATGTAGTAAAGGCACTGTTTTAAGGATGTTCACTTCTCTGTTTCAAAATAACAAGCTTTTTAAAAGACTTTTATAAAATGGTAGTATATAAATAAAGGAACTAAAAAAGCAGAAAAAAATTAAGGGTCCGTGTGCTTGTTTTCCAGATATAAGCCACTGAAAATTTGGCGGGAAATAATTCTCTCTAGATTTTTCATACATTTACACATTAGCACCTGATTTCTTTCAAAAACGATGAAAAAGTAACAAGGATTTTATAAGATTTTCAAAGATGGCATTTTAAACTATATGTAATCAAATTATGGGAAAAAAGTAGGGGTTAGTGGGCAAAATTTTTTAATGGCACTACATGGATAAAACTAGAGCATTCCGAATATCTGGCAAAAATTCAAAAAGAAGAGGAGCGAATATCCTTAATCAGCAGTATTGTGTCTAAAATGCTTTGGAGTAGAGATTATGTTTCATCTTACAGTAATTTGATAGGATTTTTTTATTTGTCGCATGCCTTTAGCTGTTTATTCAAAAAAGAAATAAGAGCTAGTGTAAAGTTGATGAACTAAAAAATGCATTTTATATAATTTAGATGTGGATATTCTAATTTTATTCTTTCTTTGTTTAAGTTCTGTAATTTAACTGCAAACTTAAGCTAAGAATTTGGAATTTTAATCTACAAATATACATGTATACAATTCATTCTATACTTAACCCTTCTTCTGTACTTGACCTTTCTGTGCAAATCTAATTCTTATCATACATTCTTGTCTTATCTTTTTTTAGTCCCCTACCGACGAAGTCGAAGGGGACTTTAGGTTTGCACTCCGTCCGTCTGTCCATCCGTCAGTCCGGCAAATCAGCTTTCGTCGTTCTTGAAGATATTGATTTGATATTTGGTATATAGTTTTATCATGACAAGTTATAGATCAAGTTCGAATTTTGTTCCAGTCTGATGATTTAGTCCAGAGTTATGGACCATCATAACTCTGAACCATATCTAATGTTAGAGTACTATGTTAAACCATATTTCTGTACAAAGGGATATAACTCATTTTTTAAAAGACATTCTTTGTTAAATTATTTGAAGAATTTTTTGGCAGGTTTGTTTGTTATTTAGTATAAACTAATTTTCTGAATGCTATAGATATAAAAAAAAAATTATGAAGAGAAATCCTTTAATTAGATAATAATCTATTTTTATTAATGTATATATATTTCAATACATTACATTGTGTAGATGAAAGTTGTTGACATTTTATAGATAAGTTACAAATCTATATTAGTTTGTGACAAATGAAAGAAAAAATATTTGTAACTATTAATTATATTTGATTATAATTTGAAAATAGATATACACTGTATTACATCATATATCTAATTTTAGAGAACTATTAATCATATCTAATGTTTTTTTTACTCATATAATCAGTTTTCCACACTGTTTTTAGTCATGCTTGAAGATATTGACATGATATTTACTTTTTTGTCGAGCCTGCGACTTTTGTCGCAGAAAGCTCGACATAGGGATAGCGATCCGGCGGCGGCTACGGCGGCGGCGGCGTTAGCTAACTTCTTAAAAGCTTTATATTTTAGAAGATGGAAGACCTGGATGCTTCATACTTTGTATATGGATGCCTCATGTTACGAAGTTTCCGTCAGTCACATGTCCAATGTCCTTGACCTCATTTTCATGGTTCAGTGACTACTTGAAAAAAAAGTTCAGATTTTTTGTAATGTTAAATTCTCTCTTGTTATAAGTAATAGGATAACTATATTTGGTATGTGCGTACCTTGCGAGGTCCTCATGCCCGTCAGACAGTTTTCACTTGACCTCGACCTCATTTCATGGATCAGTGAACAAGGTTAAGTTTTCGTGGTCAAGTCCATATCTCAGATACTATAAGCAATAGGTCTAGTATATTCGGTGTATGGAAGGACTGTAAGGTGTACATGTCCAACTGGCAGGTATCATCTGACCTTGACCTCATTTTCATGGTTCAGTGGTTATAGTTAAGTTTTTGTGTTTTGGTCTGTTTTTCTTATACTGTATGCAATAGGTCTACTATATTTGGTGTATGGAATGATTGTAAGGTGTACATGTCTAGCTGGCAGGTGTCATCTGACCTTGACCTCATTTTCATGGTTCAGTGGTCAAAGTTAAGTTTTTGAGCTTTGGTCTTTCTTTCTAATACTGCATGCAATAGGTCAGCTATATTTGGTGTATGGAATGATTGTAAGGTGTACATGTCTAGCTGGCAGGTGTCATCTTACCTTGACCTCATTTTCATGGTTCAGTGGTCAAAGTTAAGTTTTTGAGTTTTGGTCTTTTTTTCTAATACTATATGCAATAGTTCAACTATATTTGGTGTATGGAAATATTTTATGATCTATATGTCAGTTACGCAGGTTTTATTTGACCTTGACCTCATTTTCAAGGTTCCTTGCTCAGTGTTAAGTTTTTGTGTTTTCGTCTGTTTTTCTTAAACTATAAGCAATAGGTCAACTATATTTGTTGTATGGAAGAATTGTTAGCTGTACATGCCTGCCTAGCATGGTTCATCTGACCTTGACCTCATTTTCATGGTTCATTGGTCAATGTTTAGTTTACTTGGTTAATGTTAAGTTTATGTGACAGTTGTAATAAAGCTTTATATTTAGGACTATCAACATAATATCAATGATTAGTAAAGAAGGCGAGACATTTCAGCGTGTGCACTCTTGTGTTTACACCATGACAAGTTATAGAACAAGTTAGCATTTTGTTCCAGTAAAATGAATTTTTACCCGGTAGGGGACTATGTATTGCCATGCAATACTCTCAGAATGCTTGTTTTCTGTGTAGTGTATGTCCTTTACTTTTAACTAATTATTTCATAACATACAGATACTGTGGATTCATTATTATCTTACCTCCTATACATTTCTAGGAATATGATTGGTTAAAAGCAACCATGTGGAGACCGTGTGTATTCCATATTAGGTTAGTAGACTGGGTTACGTCCCTTTATAAAAATAACATGGTGTTGAGGAAAAATCTTAAAGGTTTCAACAGACGAAGAAATTGATGATGAACGATTGAAATAAATTCATAAAACACAGTTGTTATTGTTGGCATTTGTTTTTGTATAGACCAATGGAAGTAGGTTCTTGATAATAATGGCAATGAAGACTTGATCACTTTGATAGGCCACTAGTCTAAATACTAGTTAATAGTTAATAGTTAAGATAGTTGGTAAGATAAATTAGTTACATAATGTGCTAGTGACCTAATACGATATATATGGTTTCACCCCATATATATCGTATTAGGTCACTAGCACACTATGTAACTAATATTATACGTTAGATACCAATTTTCGTGGATTTTGTGGGTAAAGGTGATCTACGAAATTAAAATGTTGAACGAATTACTAATTTACTAGCTTTGTATGCAGACTTTGGCAAAAACCATGAAATTAAATATACACGAAACTACAATATTTTCTTTAATCCACAAAAATTGGTATCCACGAAAATAAATGAATCCATAGAATGTAGTATGGGGAAAAGGTTTGATTGTAACAGATCTTTTCTATCTTCAAATAATATGGCAATAGTGAGTTGACAAGTGCCATCTTTTCATTAGTTTACAAACATGGTTAAAATGAGTGTTGGAAGTCTTGGTCTTTATAATAACCCTGTGTCTGTTAATAAATATTTAAGAAAGATCTCATCTGTGAATTTCTGATGGTTACTGGCTACTGGGAATAAACTACGATTGTTTAATATATAATCTCCTCTTTTTTTTTCCGCCCCTTCTCTAAAAGGCCAACTTTGAAAAAAAATCTACTGGCTCTATTCAGGTAAATTTCCTTTGAAAATGTTAAAACACAATTGGAGTTTTGCAGGTCTTATTGTCATTGCATATGGTTAAGAGATTTAAACAAATGTTTTTACAGTCCTTAAGAAAGGAATATTTGAACGAACATGTACATAGGTATGCCTTAACATATTAACAGCAGCATTTGAATATTACATGTTCCATTTTGCCCATTGTTTGTTAAACTGGCAGAATTTAGCCTGGAACAACCTGACAGACAACTTGTTTCCATGTTTACTAGATGATTATCTCAATTACTTCTTGCCACTCAATAAATCCACGCTACCACCTGTTCCACATCAACAGTCACCAATCAGAAGCCCTGTGATACATTCAAAGATGTACAGGTAAGAGATGTTACTATTGGCTCATCACTTAAGTCACATTGACACCACTATACTGCTATGATAATCTTAAACTGACGTAAATATAGATAAAAAGATTGTGTGGATATCAATCCTACAGAAATCCAACAGCACAAGTAAATAAAACATCTGAAGATCTATGCACAGTTTACCTCTAAGACCCTTTTTTCCACATGTAATAGCCACTGACCTCTAAAATATCATAGTGCTACTTTTACAACTGCAAGACTGCTTCAACATTGATAAAGATTCATTAGCATTTTACCATTGTAAGACACCACTGACTTATCTATAAGGCACATTGACAAAATAAGCCATTACTGATTCATCATTTAAGCCACAATGTTATTATTTCCACAGTGAGCGGACTTTGAGAAAAGGCACATTTTCACTTTTATCATGGTATTACATCACTGACCCCTCAAAAAGGTTACATTATCAACAGGATCACAGAAAGTATGTTGATTACAGGTGCAAACTTCTGTCAATGCTTATTTAGCCTGAAACTGAAATACATGCAATAAAGCAAAAGCCACACTGCCATTCTTGACCACCTTCTTTCCCCCATTGCCACTGATGTGTCCTCCACCCCATTCTACCCACACAGTCACAAAGAAAACCATACACACTCAGGTGTGTATAATTTCTCAAAGAATGTACTTTGTATTTCAAAAAGAACTCAATTTAACTTTCACATAGAATACAATTCTTTTTTATGCCCCCGCCGTAGTGGAGGGGGCATTAAGTTTGACCCTTGTCCGTACGTACCTCAGAACGTCCCAAAATTGGTTTCCGTTCTCTAACTTTAGTTTGACTCAAACAAATGTTATGAAACTTACACACAATGCTTATTACCACAAGACACAGATCAAAATTTTAATTTTGGTGGTGTCACTTTTACCGTTCTAGAGTTATGCCCCTCTACAAATGGAAAAATTGCTGAATTTTTCATTTCCATTCTCTAACTTTAGTTTGCCTCAACCAAATGTTATGAAACTTGTACACAATTCTTATAACCACAAAACACAGATCAAGTTCGAATTTTGGTGGCGTCACTTATGCTGTTCTAGAGTTATGCCCCTCTACAAATGGAAAAATTGCTGAATTTTTCGTTTCAGTTCTCTTACTTTAGTTTGCCACTACCAATTGTTATGAAACTTATACACAATGCTTATTACCACAAAACTCAGATCAAATACAAATTTAAGTAGGGTCATTTTACTTTAATTCCCTGTTTTATTTCATATTAACATATTGTATTTTTATTTTGCTAAAGACACCTTGGTTACACATGCAAAGCTACATGTACTGTTTATTTGAAGACAGAAAAGAACATAAATAGTAAATGTGCTGCATTAAACATAAGATGCTGCTGGGTGCTAAACAGCCATCAATCAATCAATCAAATGATATTTAGATGTTTATGCTGTATGTTATATTTCAGTCCTGGAGGAAAAACCAATACAAGTCCAAGAACATTTGGATTATTAAAAGCTAGTTTTATTGCATCACAGAAACAGCATTCCCAGAATTCATCAGTTTTAGGTCAGAGTGAGGCTGAAGTATGGAGGTCAGAAACATTGCTACAGGTAAATTTATAAAATGTTCAGAAGGTAATTGTAAAAGCTATATTACAAGCTATATAGAAACAAAGAGTCATAGAAGTCATTTTACTTAAAGAATACAATATTCATGAGCTTTATGTTTAATCAAATCCACTGCCATAGCATCTGTGAAAAAAGTAGTACCGGTTTATAAAATGCTATGTCTCTGTTTGCTTTAAATAGAGTTCTGGTCTACTCTTAAATGTAATCTCGTCCTGAATATGCATGAAATATTTGCCACTGGACGTTAAGCAACCAACAATCAATCAATCTTAAATGTAATAATTTTCATCCTTCTTCCCTTCAACATATTCAAAGCACAAAATGATCAGCTTTGATTTTACAAAAATGAACGTATTCAAATTACATGTCTGTCAGTATTTCCAGTAAACTTGTTATTCTAATTACTAGTACCACATGTACCAGTAACAGACAATACCAATTAGACAACTACTTTAACAATGAGCAAATTCATACCATACAATAAACTATAAAATAGCCCCAGCTGGTTGACACAATGTGAAACAAATCAAAACAGAAAACTGATGGCATGCTAAAAACAAAAAGCAAGACATATGATGACATCAGCTATTGTGTACTACTGAATTACAGGATCCTGAGTGCATGCATTTAATGTATGAATTTACATTATGCAACAATTTATGGGACTTGATTGACTATGAGCTAGTTAGAATGATGATGAAAAAATCTATAATGATTTATTTAAACAAGGTTGTAGAAATTTTCCTCTTTTAATACAATTATTTTATTGTTATTTCTAACTTTAGTAATGAGCATGTTTGTGTTAAATATTTCAGATATTTATAGAATTTTGGTTGAATCAGAATGCCATAGACAGTGACAGAAGTATGATTAGTCCTACACACATGGTAGGTAGGATGGAAGGAAGAGTTATCTACCTTTAATAGTTTTATATGATAATTTGTATACTTTTGATATTCTGATAGAAGGAATTATCTACCTTATAATTTTTATGCCCCACTTACGATAGTAGAGGGGCATTATATTTTTCGGTCTGTACGTCCGTTCGTTCGTCCGTCTGTCCCTCTTCAGGTTAAAGTTTTTCGTCAAGGTAGTTTTTGATGAAGTTGAAGTCCAATCAACTTGAAACTTAGTACACATCTTCCCTATGATATGATCTTTCTAATTTTAATGCCAAATCAGAGTTTTGACCCCCACTTTCATAGTCCACTGAACATGATAGTGCGAGTGGGGCATCCATGTACTATGGACACATTCTTGTTATTTCATATTTTGGTATTGGAAAGTTATCTACCTTTGATCATGTTGATTGTAAAAAAGTGGGATGAATGTTTTTTTTTTCTTTTTATTTTGGTTGTTCAAAATATATGAGGGCTGTTTCAGAGGGAAATGTTTGTTGAGTCAAAAGGCACTTTTTAATTGACCCTTTTTGATTGCTTTGAAAATGAAGAGGAATAAAGATAGGGTATACCTCAATGAGACAGCTACCTACCTACAAGATGAAAGATATCAAGTGGGAAAACTAGTTTTTTAAGATGTATTCTAGAGACCACATGATTGTAAGAATAATACATTTTATCAAAGATTTCTAGCTTTAATTTGTTTAATGTCAAGTTCAAGGGCTAGGTTGTTATATTGATTTTTCTTCCAAGGTTTATAAGAAGAAAGGTGTAAGTTAATAAAACTTTTCCCTTAACAATCTCTCAAGATTTATAGCAGCTAACACCTAAAATATGTTTACTACTAGCTATTATATTGAGCTGATATACCTCGGTTGAAATTAATCATTAATATATCAGAAAATTTCTGCTTTTATTGTCAATCCTGCGAAATAAATTTTGCGAAAGTGAGACATAGCGATCCTAGATTCTGTCGGTAGCATCAACATTTAGGTTCAGTCTGTGGTTAAAGTTTTTTTTGAGATCAATAACTTTGTCAAACCTTCATGGATATTATGAAATTTGGACAGAAGCTTGTTTATGACCAAAATACAATATCCAGAGCAAAATTTTGAAAAATATTTATTTTCATTTTTCCGTATTTTACTGATAAATGGACTTAATTTTTAGTTTTTTTTTACAGTTATCATTCAGATTCAGTCTGAGGTTAAAGTTTTTCTGTCTTCAATAACTTTGTCAAACCTTCATGGAATTTTATGAAATTTGGACAGAAGCTTGTTAATGACTAAAATACAGTATCCAGAGCAAAATTCTGAAAATATTTATTTTTATTTTTCCATAATTTAATGATAAATGGACTTAGTTTTTTTTTACAGTTACTAAGTAGATGCAGTCTGGGGTTAAAGTTTGTTACACATCAAAGACTTTGTCAAACCTTCATAGAATTTTATGAAACTTTGGCAGAAGCTTTTAATGCCCCCGCCGTAGCGGAGGGGACATTAAGTTTTACCCTTGTCCGTCTGTACGTCCGTCCGTACGTCTGCAAGTTGGTTACCATTTTTAACTTTAGTTTGCCTCAACCAAATGTTATGAAACTTATACAAAATGCTTATTACTACCAAACACAGATCAAAACACAGATCAAGATTGAATTTTGGTGGCGTCACTTTAACTGTTCTAGAGTTATGCCCCTTTACAAATGGAAAAATTGCTGAATTTTTCGTTTCTGTTCTTTCACTTTAGTTTGCCTCAACCAAATGTTATGAAACTTTAACACAATGCTTATTACCACAAAACACAGATCAAGATTGAATTTTGGTGGCTTCACTTTAACCATTCTAGAGTTATGCCCCTTTACAAATGGAAAAGTTGCTGAATTTTTTGTTTCCGTTCTCTTACTTTAGTTTGTCTCAACCAAATGTTATGAAACTTATACACAATGCTTATTACTACAAAACACAGATCAAGTTTGAATTTTGGTGGTCTCACTTCAACTGTTCTAGAGTTATGCCCCATTACAAAAGGAAAAATTGCTGAATTTTTTGTTTCCATTCTCTAACTTAAGTTAGCCTCAACCAAATGTTGTGAAACTAATACACAATGCTTATTACCACAAAATACAGATCAAGTTTGAATTTTGGTGGTGTCACTTTAACCATTCTAGAGTTATGCCCTTTGCAAAAGGAAGAATTGCTGAATTTTTCATTTCCGTTCTCTAACCAGTTTGCCTCAACCAAATGTTATGAAACATATACACAACACTTATTACTACAAAACTCAGATCAATAACAAATTTGGGTAATGTCACTTTTACCATTCTTCGGTTATGTCCCTTTATAACTTTATATGGTATGCAAGCGGGGGCATCATCTGTGTCCCATGGACACATTCCCCATTTATTTATGAATAAGAGATAATGTCTGATGTAATGTTTTGAAAATGTATTTTTATTTTCCGTATTTTTCTGATAGATGGACATAGTTTTTCAGTTTACATTTACAGACAGTCTGGGATTAAATTTTTTTGACATGATAAGTTTGTAAACCTTCATGGATTGTTATGAAACTTGGACAGAAGCTAATCTTCAAGACTGAGAAATGGCATCTAAAGAAAAAGTTTGATTTTTTTTTTAAATTCTGTATTTTATTGACAAATGGACTCACTTTTTAAGTCATCATTACACTTTTACACTGACAAAAGCTATCGTATACGAGACACAAGGTTCTACAGAACCCCTTACAAATTTTTATTGTTTTTGGTGAAAATCAATCCTAGTTATTGTCTAGTCATGGTTAACCATGATTGACCTGTAAATTTCATCAAACAGTAGAAATTTTCTGTTAGAGGCTGGGTCCTCCCATTACGAAGAATTTCCCCTCCTTTAAGAATGTGTAGGAATAGTTAATTTGAGTATCTATTTTTACTTTTAAGGTATGTCAGGTTAAATCCACCATTTTCTGCATAAGGAAATGACTGTACCAAGTCAGGAATATGACAGTTGTTTTCCATTCGTTTGATGTGTATGAGCTTTTGATTTTGCCATTTGATAAAGGACTTTCCCTGGAGTTCAATTTTTTTGTTATTTTACTTTTTTTTTTTAGAGATTTTTAGGTCTACTGCAGTAAAAATTGAATACAAAATATGTTTAACAAATTAACTTGTGATGTTTTTTTATGCCTCACCTATGATAGCCAGAAGGTATCATGTTTCCTGATCTAAGTATCTGTCCATCTATAATTTTGTCTGTTGTCAGTCCATCAGTCTGTGAGCCTTCCTTTATTGGGTTAAAATTATGTTTTACATTAGTTTCCCATGGTCACATAATCTTGAAACTTCGTCCACTTGTTCATTATGTATTTAATCAGGTACATGTATTTCAGTATATGAGCCATCAGTATATATTTAGTCATTTAACTGTAAGTAAAGCATGTATATATACAGCTTTTCTTAGCACAGTTATTTACCATTGTCGTTGCTTATTTATTATTATTGATTATGTTGATCAAGAAGATTGTTAGATGTGAAATGCTTGAATATATATGTGAGATATTTATGTTTTATAGATTGTTGTTGGTTTTTTTTAAGGTGGAAATTTAGTTCTAAGGTTGAATTTAAATTGAATTTTAAATTTTTAATTGATAAATGTCTTACATTTTTTTTTTTTGGGGGGGGGGGGATAGTTATAAAGAAAGCTTGTTTTCATATTTTATAATTATGTTTGTCATCTGCTCATTATTTTCCACTTATCTTTCTTCCTTTTTTGACAAACATTAAGATCCATGACATTTGCTAATTATTTTTGAATATATTGGACTCAAGAAACTCCAAATTTCAGCTACTTTCATTACTTTAAACAGATTTTTTCTGTACTTAAAATAATTTCAGGGAAAATAGGATACCCCTCCACAAAAAAAAACTGAAATTTCCCATACCGTGTTGTAGTGGGGATCACCAACTGATAGCTTATAACACACTTTATATATTTTTATAAGCAATTATTGCACTTTGCATGTTTAAATCAAATATATTTGGTGATTAAGGTAATTAGAAGATATGCACATAAATAGTGGTAATATACAAAATATTTTATTTTGATTTTGAGATCATACATATCCATTCATGATAGCAAACCTCAAGCATGCTCCTGGTATCCTCTGTGAAAGTTTTGTCCAATCATTTCAAAATTGGAGGCCACTTACTATGTAACGATTGGTAGGAATGACTTGCTTGAATTGTACTCTTTTCAAGCTTTGTAATACACATAATATATGATCAGATTGTGAAATTTTTTAATATTCAAAATGTCTATGAAAAGGGTGGGGTACTGCATGTCTCAGCTGCTCACCCCTTCCACAATAGGAATGCAGTGTCCCCCAATAAACAGAACTCTCCCATGAGGATGCTTTCATGAATAAATATGTGATTCCTGATTTAAGATTATTTACTTAGGATAATGTCATGCTTTGTAAATTAATGAAATGCTTTTATATTCAATGATTTTTATTGTTTTTTAAAATAAAGTGATGATATTATATACATACTAATTTCTTTAAAATCAATTTATGAAGAAAGTATCTTGTGCATGTACAAACAATTATATAAATCATATTTTTTTGAAAATAAAAAATGTAATGAAGTAAATATATACAAAATGTTTTTAAAAGATTTTCCTTTCAGTATTCACTTAGCCTCAATGCCTGTTACAGATTATTTATAAACAATAAGCTAACAGAATGCTTCTCGATTTTAGGAGTATGTCATTTCTGTCAAATTCATAACATATGCGAGTGGTGTACATGATAATAATATTCTTACCTGCAATTTGTGCTATGTATGAATTTAAAACAAATGGCATGTTTTATAATGTCAGATTGATGCATAGTCCAAGATTGCTCTGTTGGCCTTTGTTAGGACTAGATGAGGCTGTCCCCAGCTAGTACTTACTAAGGATGTCAGATGGGGGGGGGGGAAGTTTTGTGAAACTGGTTATGTGACTGTATACTTAAAATTTCAGGAACACTTCATGCCAAGTTTGGAGCATGTCAGACTTGTTAGGATGATGATAAAACATGTACACCATTTTGTGAACACAGCATCACAGGATATCATCCCTTCACCGTACCAGACACACCCCATGTCTCCACTGGATGAGTTCAAAAGGTACTAAATATTACAGTACTAGTGCCCAAAACAAATTTGAAAGCTGATATATTGAACATTATGGAAATGTTCAACAAGCTTTGTTTTAAACTGATTTTTAGTCAAATTAAAATCTTTCTTATAAAAATTGTGATATTAAAACCTTGATCTTAAATAACTTGAGCACAATTTTTGTATTTCCATTTACTTTTATAAAGCATAAATTATTAATTTGTATAATAAACAGTGAAAAATGTTCACTTACAAATATGTATGAATGGCACATAACAGAAATTGTACTGTCCATAAAATTTAAGTATGGTCTGTTATAATTGTCTTAAAACATTCGGTTGATATTCCACCAGGCAAAGTTAACCTTGTACCATTTTGATGATTCTATTTTAGGCTCTTAAGGATGTACTTAGGTGACATTAAAAAAATCTAGAATTTAAAATTGATACTATAAGTCAGAAGAGCATTAGTTAAGGCACAAAATAAACTAAAAATATTGATAGGTTATGGAGTTCCTTTTCGAGATATTTAATTTTAAAAAATGGTGGGAAAAGGCTGACTCGGACTTTTACCTTGTATTTGCATTAGTATTATTTGGGTCTCAAATCGAAATAAAGGAAATCTAGAATCTGCTTAAATTTTGACCTTTTATGAGCTATTGAAGTCTTATATGGGAAGAAAAATGGGTGTTATGGGGCAAAATATTTTACCCTGTATTGTACAAAAAAAACCAAGGAGTCAGAACATTTGACAAAAATTCCTAAACGTCACCTAAGTACATCCTTAAGGACATGGTGTCATATGGACATATATTCTTGTTTCACATAAGATAATTTCAAATTTAACAGAATTTTTTTAATATTATTTTTGTTTGAACTTGTTGTGTGTATTATTTTCCCAGGTCAATTATACCAAATATGTTACAGAAGAGTATGTATGCCTTCCTCAGACACAGTTTTGACAGATGGCCCTTAGACAATTCATTTAGAATGGTAAGATTTAACACATACTCAGAAAGCCAGCATTGATTGTTACAAGTTCCTTATTCCAGCCTGCAGATATTTGTTTTTGGGGATTGTTTTGTAAATGTTGTAATAAAACAAAGTAAAATGTATCAACTAGTCAACGGTACTTAAAATATGCATTATTGCTAGGAAATAGTTAATTTGGTTTCCCAACACAAACTAAAATACAAGCAAATGTGTTAAACATAGACAAAAAGAAACCATTACATTAGTTTCTGGAATGTTATCCACTTCATCCATGTGTACCATATCATTCAATAGGTTCTAGAGACCTGGCTAACCTACATACAGCCATGGAGATACACAAGTAAATTACCATCAACACGTAGAGACAGCGAAGGAGATACCAAACTGGTGGAAGAAAAATGGTATGATTTAAAAAATATTTAAAAGTCATACCTTAGTGTACAAATATTTACCAGTTTTTTAATTAAAAGGCATTAAGTGCGGCTGCATTTTAAGTTTGAAAATTGTATTTGCAATTAAAAAGAGGAGCACACATTGAAATTGTTTGAGTAACAGCTTCCAAATGTGCTGTAACATAATTTATGATTGTTCTTACATCATTTGTTTATTAATACATATATTTTATGTAAATATAAAAAAAACTTCAAGATAGTAAGATGAAATAGACTATGAAGGACTTCGGGACACAAAGTAGTTGTATTTTGAACGCACTAGAAAGGTATAGATAATATTTACTGTAATTCCAGGTTTACATTCATAGAAGACAACCTTTTGTTTTATTCTGTTCTCCTACAAGAATTCTTCAACAGAGTAAAGAGAATGGATCTGATGAACCTAGCAAACAGTCACATGTTGTATAGAGTGGCCAAAGTAAGTATAGTGTTTTCTTTTATGATGGGGGCCTAGGTGGATAAGTGGTACAGTGATCACTAGTGTGTGTTTGCGTTTAACTCTTAATTGTCTAGGATTGCCAGATTTTCTGCCAAAGGTTAATGATTCTCTCCTTTCATTCTGGTTTCCTCCAACATTAACTGGTAAAGAGCAAAGAGTGCTGAAAGTGGCATCAAACACCTACAATTAATTAATCAATCCTTTCATATCTAAGATTCTAAGCAACACATTTTTTTTAACAGCAAAGTGATCCTAAAGTTTAGTATTAAATCTGAGGACAACAGTGACACCAATAGACGAGGAGGAGGAGGGATGATGATAGTTAGATTAGGGAGTAAATGTTTTATGTATATTAAGGATAACCTGAAATATCAGATACATTTTTATTTTATCTGAGATTTTTGCGATGATTTATTGATGCGAAAAATTGTGATACAAAATGTTTTTCAAAAATTAAAACTCCCATTTTAGATTTTGAAAGCATTATTTGTATGCCACTTTTCCTGAAATCACAATGAGTTTTTACATGTTTGTCTAGTGTTCAACAATAACAATAGTAAGATAATCCAAAAAAATCTGAATTTGAAATTTATAATCATATTCATATTCTTCAATTGCTTTATGTTATTTATTTTTATACTACATCCTGCACATTACTATAACTTTGTGGCATTTACGGTAGTTTTATGCTATAAATGACTTATAAATTAAAGAGAATTTTTTTTTTTTAGGTTTTCAGGTTAGAAAATTTAGACAGCATGTTAAGACAAGGTAAGATATGCACAGAAAGAAATCAAAATTTTAGTTGACAATTCAAACAGTGCCTGTCTGTTGTGAATTATTTGATAGTAAAAAAAAGACATTGAAATGTCCAAGACTGGCCTGCCATTTACATACATTTGTATTTCCAAGATCAATAAAGCAGTTGGATAGCCAGTGCTGACAAAATATTTGTAAAAGACTCCTTATTTGGTCAGTAGCTTGACAGAAATATTTTTATGCCCCACCTACGATAGTAGAGGGGCATTATGTTTTAAGGTCTGTGCGTCCGTTCGTTCGTTCGTCCGTCTGTCCCGCTTCAGGTTAAATTTTTTGGTCAAGGTAGTTTTTGATGAATTTGAAGTCCAATCAACTTGGAACTTAGTACACATGTTTCTAATTGTAATGCCAAATTAGAGTTTTGACCCCAATTTCACGGTCCACTAAACATAGAAAATGATAGTGTGAGTGGGCATCAGTGTACTATGGACACATTCTTGTTTACCTATGCGCTGTAGCGATCTGTCAGACACCTATTTCATGTTTCCTGATACTTAAAAATTACGCTTTAGGTAATGATTGGCACGACAACACATATATTATTGTTCTAATTTACAGCTGAACAGGAAATGTGTACATCTATATACAGATCATCTGGTCACATGACACGTGACTTGGGAGGGAGTTATCTGTCACCTGAGTCCAGTCTGATGTTCCATTCACAGATATCAGACTTAGAAAAGCCAGGATTTCAGTATACTCTCATGTTTGGAGAGAAGACTCTTTATTCAGTATGTATTATATAGAACGCTAACTTTAATATTTTAGACTAATGTAGAGCTTACTTGTCATCATTTTCAAACTTAGATCATATTCTGTATTAATCTGAGGTCAAGGTTTTTTTTATGACTGTATATGTGGATAAACTCATCTTTGATACCAGGATTAAAATGTTATATGCCAGACGTGTGTTTCATCTACACAAGTCTCATCAGTGACAGTTGAATAAAAAAAGTTAAAAAGGTCAAATAAAGTATAAAGGTGAAGAGCATCCAGGACCAAAATACAGCTAAGGTACCGGTAATCTATTCCTGGGGTAGAAAAGCCTTAGTATTTCTAAAAAATCTAAGTTCTGTAAACATTTGATATATAATTATATGAGCATATTTATGATAATTGATGTCAATGAAGAAGTGCTGACTAACTTCGTTGATTGTTAGTTTTGTGATTTTTGTAAGAATCATGCAATTAATTCGAATTTCTAATTATGACTGAAAAAAAACCACCGACATAACCATCCTATTTTGAAGTACCCTCATCCTGAGTTAGAAATGGTAGGTCTTTCATTTCTGCGTGTCTGGTAATTCGAGAAATCTCTTGATAACTTATGGTTAGATGATTTTAAATTATGGAGTAAGCTAACCTCAATTGTTAATTTTTAGTACATTTCAGCCAAATCATATCTTGAAATACCAGAACAGGAAAAGGAAACGAATGTTATATTCTTGCACCATTATACATTATACATTGTCATTTTTAAAATCAACAGATATTGCATTAGATGAAGACATTAGTCAAGTTTAATCTGAACATGCATGGGGAGGGGTATTATTGTCTAAGTCACTATATACCTGTTTTTTTTTTTTTTAGGTAAAACAAGTATTACAACAGTTACAACAAGTTAAAACACAGATCCAGTATCAGCAGGGCAGTAAACCAGTCAGATCTGGTCTTGCAGGATTTTTTTCTGGTTTGTTTGATGATAATTCTGTCGCCGTTGGCGATCTCACTCCAAATGATGTCAAGAAACTACATAAATTCCTGGATGACTGTATTAAGAATCTTTGCTTTATTTATGACGTAAATACACTTTTATATATAGTTATTGGGAAATTTCATGTGTGTCTAATTTTTTCATGGTTGACATTTTAACCTTATCACATATTAATATTATTAATATTAGAAAGTTTTATAAAATTTTGTTGCTTTTTGGTGTCAAATTGACCATGCTGTCAATTTTGGAAATTTGGGATTTTTCCTTTTTTTTAGAACAAAAAGCATATTATTTCAACTTCTTTGTTATAATTGATTGAAAAAATACAAATCTAAGAATTTTGAAAAGAAAAATTGATATGGGATGTACATATTTTTGGTAAAATTATTTCTTTGTACTCTCATCCATTTTCTCAACAATTTGACTGATGAGACTGACCTGATTGGTTATAAAATTCGAAAATTTTAATACTCAAAAACTACTTAATGTAAGTACACAATTTTTTTACCAAGTTTAGTTTGACTGTAATATTTTTTAAATTCATTGATATTTTCCACTTGTATCACATGTTTTGAAAATAATTCCCAAATGAGATTTCAACAAGACTGAAACGTCAGAAGAATACATCCTTAAGATAATCTAAGTAAATTTACGTGCACAATCTGAAAATAGCAAAGAAAATAAATAAAATATTGAATTATGTTCAATATGCTTTTTTCAGAAGTTATTATTGGCTATAAGCAAATTTGTGTGCATCTGCATAGAGTCATTTTGAAGTATTTCATTGTATATAACAGTTGAATTCTATGATCAGAAATCTCAGACAGAAGTTGAGAATTAGACAGTTTATTGAACAGACATGGTCATGATGGTAGAAACCAAATGAAAGTCATTATTTTCTATATATTTATACTACTTCTGCAATTTTAGTTACCAGAGACAAAATATATAACCACAAACACTGTACAAGATAGTAGTTACTATGGAAACATATCATACAATACAGATTTAGATAACACATGTCCAGATATGACAGAAACATGTAATGGAGTATCCTTAACAGATATTGGAAGATATCAGGTAATTATTGTTCATATTTGTCTCCCCTGCCACACACTTAGGTCTTAATGATGTCAACAATTCTTTTAAGTTTGTAATTAGGTGGGTGTGCTGTTTCGAGTGTTAATAAGGTTGGTGCGTTATTTTACGCAATCACAAAGTCAACATTTTTTTATTATGTCACACAGGCGAGACATATCACTGTATTAACAGTTTGTTACTTTGATCTACACTGGCAAAGCTGCAGCTTTTACACAGATAACTTTTGTTCATTTGAATTAAGTATGAACATTTTGTGAATTTCACATGGACTATCACACCTTGTTAGTCTGTCCATCCATCAGTCCAACAATTAACTTTGTCACACTTTTCTCTCAGAAACTACCAAAAAGAATGACTTCTTATTTGGTCAGTAGCTTGCGAGTGATGAGTTGTAAGGTATGAGCACTTTTCTGATCTGTCAAATATGTGCTTCCTGTTTGCTGATACTTTGACCATTTCAATATTTTGAATGAATTTAAAATTTCGTCACTCATTTCTCCAATACTATTGAACAGAAAGACTTCATATTTGATCAGCAGCTCAACAGTTTTGAGTTGTAATGTGTGTATGTTCTTTTAAAACTTGGACAGAAGTTTTTTGAAAAACGGAAATAGTATCAGAAGAAAAAAGTTTGATTTTCTTTTTAAATTTCCATATTTTGCTGATAAAATGGACTTAGTTTTTGGCAGTCAAACATTAAACTTTTACACTGACAGCAATAACAAGTGAATATTACTGTTGTCTGGTATACAATGATTCAATTTTAGTACATGTAAATATATGGAAAGTTTCATTTTGTCGTAGGGGTTTTGACAGAATTTAAAAGCGAGTAACAAATATAACAAGTAATAAAATTTTTTTTTTTTTTAGTTTTCAAACACAGAATCTATTTCTGGAGTTGCTAGTCTGTCAGCGCATGTTGAGTAACCAAGTAATCAATGTTTCCAATGATATGTCCACTTGCAATTAGGTAGTCAATGTTTTTCACGCGTCAAAAAAAGAAATCTGCCTTCAACACCAAATAACCAAAATAAAATTAAGATATGATCTGGCAGTGGCGGCAGCATTATCTAATTACTTAAAAGCATAATATTTCAAATGGTAGAAGACCTGGACGCTTCATACTTTGTATATATATAGAAGCCTTGTGCTATGAAGTTTCTGTCTGTCATATGTCCATTGCCCTTGAACTCATTTTCATGGTTCAGTGACTACTTGAAAAGTTAAGATTTTTGGTAATGTCAATTTCTCTGTTATTATGAGTAAAATGATAAATATATTTGGTATGTGTGTACCTTGCAAGGTCCTCATGCCTGTCAGAGAGTTTTCACTTGACCTCAACCACATTTCATGGATCAGTGAACAAGGTTAAGTTTTTGTGGTCAAGTCCATATCTCAGATACTATAAGCAATAGCTCTACTATATTTGGTAAATGAAATGATTGTAAGGTGCACATGTCCAACAGGCAGGTGTCATCTGAGCCTTGACCTCATTTTCGTATTAAGAGTTAAGTTTTTGTGATCTTGGTCTATTTCTCAGAAATTATAAGTGTTAGGTAAATTATATTTAGTGTATGGATGATTGCAAGGTGCACATGTCTGTCTAGCAGGGTTGATATGACCTTGACCTCATTTTCATAGGTCATTGATAATGTTAAGTTTATTTGATACTTGTAGTAAAACTTTCATATTACAGACTTTCAACATGAATTCTATGATAAGTAAAACAGCGAGACATTTCAGCATGTGCACTCTTGTTTTAATTGCTTTGATGCATATTTCAGTGTACTGTACATGTAAATTTAGATATTATTGCAAAGTTTTTGGTAATGCAAATAATGAGACTGGGGGAGTATCGCATTATTATATATCTGTATGAAAATTAATCGCGGGTTTTGTTTGTTTTTCAAAAATAGCAACAATAATTGTGTGCAATAATTTTTGAATTTTGTTATATATATACACAGGGATCGCAATGGAGAAAAATTTAACTATAATGTATATGTTATCATTTTATCTATAGGTTATAAACAAAATGAAAAGATTTGAAGTGATGTACTCTGGTGACCCTGATCTTCAGCCAATCAGAAGCTTTGAAAATGCTACTACAGTTAGACTGCTTCATCAGTTTTGTTCTTATATAAATACACAGGTAATAATGCTTCACATATTATAATACTCAGGTTTTTTTAAAAATGGCGTATGATGCTAAGGGGACATTCAAAACACATAAGTTGAAAAGAAACTGACAATGCCAAGGCAAAAAAGACAACAAGTCCACAAAATATGTTGTTTCTCTTTAAAAAAAAGCCCTGTTACTTATAATCAATTCTTAAGGAGACTTATACAACAATGAATATGGTATGTTGTTTTTAAGAATTTTCATAAGGTTGAGTTTTAAAAAGAAACTTATTGCATTTATCCAATTGTCATAATTTTAAGTTCAACTTGATGAAAAGCTGATTACTTTGAATGAAAATAAAAGCTTGGAGAAATCTCATTGAGACAGAATTCACAAATACAAGATTATAAAAAATAGACACCAGGTGTTCACCTCATAGTCTTCAACATTAGACAAATGCCCAAACTATAGGACAAGCTCTAAACAGAAGAAGAGTCTTAGACAAGGGCCAGCTAAAAAAGAGCTTGTCAAGTCACATTGTGAATGAATTCAAAATAGGCAACCAAATTTCTGACATACTGTTAAATTTCTGTGTAAACAAAAACAAAACATAAAAAAGACAGTAACTAGAGCATTTCCAACTAGATTCAATTGTTTTATAATAACTTCTGCAGCCTTGAAATTTACTACTTAGATACAAATTATAGTGATTTGTAGGTTTTATTGCATGTTTTGTTTATTTTGACAAACATCATTTCTAAATGTTAGCTTTCAATTAAGTTATTATAATTTATTATCTCGATTTAAAGAAAATGAAAGTATAATCTTTTTTTTTTCCAGTTTTCAAATGAGATCCAAACAGTGTATGAAAGAAGAGATTTGATTGGCAGATTAGCTCAAGTGTATTTTGCACCTGCCTTACCAAGAGATAAAAAACCAAGTTCTCCAATATCTGGCAAAAATTTAGAAGAATTACAAAGACCAAAACTCAGATTAAGATTTTTAGCAAGTTATTCAACAATGTTATATTTAGCTATATTGTTTGTGTTTTTAAATGTGTGGTTAGGTGTTGGACCAGGACAGTATTTATTATTGTTACTTGCCTGTACATTGTTCTTTGGATTATTACGGGCATTAGTTATATCTTCGTAACACCAGACATTTTTATGTACATTAATTTAAACAAGCAGTTTCTGGCTTTAGTTTCATATAATATTTCAATATAAGATTTCCTATAATCAGGATATTAAACTTGGTCAAAATACCACTCCCCTGAATACCATTTTGTTACTGTAAATTCAGAAAATAATGTGAATTGGGGAGTATTGCAGTAATAAGGAAGTGCATTCTGATATCTGATATATATATATCTGTATGCAGATATTTCCAAAATCGCAATAATTAATCTTTCATTTTGTCCATTCTTCAAAAATCACAATAACAAATGTATGCAATAATTTCTGAATTTTCAGTATTAAAATGGTTAAAAGCAAATTATACTTTTGTAAGTGACTTTGTTTATGAAAGGAAATAAAGATCTTATTAAGTTCGATATATGAATGCAAGAAATCTTCAGATTTGTAATATTTTATGAAGCTGTAACATGTCAAAAGCTTTGATTCTTAAAATGTGCTTGAAGGAATGTATGTTAAAATTATAGTCAAGTTGACCTAAATATAATTTTTAAAACAATGAAGGATCAAATGTTTCAGCCAAATATTGTTTTATTGTCTGTGCATCCGTCATGTATCAGGATCAAGTTTAGTATAAGGTTGTTTACCATGAAGTCATGGCTACATCTACTGGAAAAAGATGCACATGTTCATTATGACGAGAACTTTTCTAAATATATGCCAAATTAGTTTTGACCTAGATTTCCTGCTTCAATGAACATTGAAATGTATAACTGTTAGCAGGGCACCATGTCATATGGACACATATTCATGTTTACTAAGTAAGCAATTACTGATACCAAAACAATTTCAAAAAAATTTGAATATATTCTCTTTCACGAAAAAAAATAATGGTTTTAATACTACCAAAACAGATATTTGGGGTTCCATTGACATGCATGCAACCATGGACTTTCTTGGTTGACTATTTAAATTATCTTCACTATTTCAGTTAAATACATTCGTCCATTATCACTGAACTAGTATACATATTTGTTTAGGGGCCAGCTGAAGGACGCCTCCGGGTGCGGGAGTTTCTCTCTGCATTGAAGACCCATTGGTGGCCTTCGGCTGTTGTCTGCTCTATGGTCGGGTTGTTGTCTCTTTGACACATTCCCCATTTCCATTCTCAATTTTATTCAAGCACACGAATACTGTTTTGCTAATTGAAATGTATATTTTTTGTATGGAATGAAATAATCTCTTGGTATGATTTTAAATAACAACATTTACAATAGAACGGTCATTGTCAAATATATGTATCAAATATCTATAGAGTGTATTAAAATTAAATATGGTTGTTGTACCGGTAAAAGAAATCATATCCTTCTAAAGGAATCAAAAATTTTCATGAATTTTATGTCTGAATGAATTGAATGAATTTAAATAATGAATTTAAGAACTGACATTTTATATTTATATAACATGTATATCATATTTATATGTATTATAATTGTAAATTCAGAAATTCTTACATGTTTTAATTATTGCAATAATAGTTGGGGTAGATTTCGCTAAAAAAAAAGGTCACATTTTAAATTTTGAAAGCATTATTTGTTTTGCAACATTACCTGAAATTATTATTGATTATCTCATGTTTTTTCCCCTGTTTACCAATTGCAATAATAAATGCTTAAAGAAATGTCTGATTTCCAGCATATCATCCACATCAGCAGTAAAAAGGAAGCACTTCTATAAGCAAGGCAACTCATTTGTTTCATATTTTAATATCTGTAGATAGTGAACTTATGTTGATATTACATGTATGTGTAAATGATGGTGTCAAAATAGATTTGATTAAGAAAAGCATTATAATTGTTATGCTTTAATTTAAGGGAAAAAGTGTTGTTCCTAATCCCATGGTGCTATTTGAAAATACCTTGTAAATTCTGTGAAATTGAAAATGGACTTTAATACATTTTCACGACTAGTTAAATAAAATGTAAACAATTTGGAAAAGGAAATTTATAATTTACATCAAATTTCTTTAGTCAAAGACTTTGGAAATATATACTAATGAATATTCTGGTATTAAAAATCATTGGCGCATTAATATAGAAATTAATTTGACGATTTTCTGTTTGTTTGTGGAAAGTAAGTGTCAAAATTTAGGATTTTCTGGCAAAATGCTAGTTATAAAAAGTATGTTAAGGTCAAACCTTCTAAATAATGGTCAAAGTTTAGGTTTGGTAAGGATATTTATTGATGATTTTAAATATCTTAATTTTAAATGTCTGGGTATTATGTTGCCAAAAAGTTGTTTATTGTACCTTGTTGAATCCAATTAATGTCGGCAAATATTGAAATGCAATTATTAAATACAGGTGAAATGAATATATGTATATCTGAAATGTCATGACAACACAAAATAAATGCTTAGTTTCTCAAATACCTTTTCTATCTATTTATGATCTAGCCTATTGTTCATTGTTGTAGATATTTTTTTAGAATTACTGTACTCAGGCATGAGTTGATTAGATTTTTATATATATTTATGTAAAGACCAAATCATGTCAATGCTCATCAGCTTAGTATTGGATTTGGCCTCCCAACTGTTTTGACACTGACAAGTCTTATGTAGACAAATCACGTAACTTACATACTAAATTGTATGCCTGGTTTCTTTAATGAGTTTTTTTTTTATGATGAAAACAAAACACCACATGTGAAATCTTTCTTCTCTAAACTATCTGCTATGCATGAAAAAATGCTTTCAAAAACTATTTCTAACAAAATGCAAATTATTGTTAAACTATCACAGTTTCTTGTGAAAACTTTGTTTTAAACATTGTACTGTGATCAAGAGAATCAAGCTACTTTTATTTGACACATAATAATTTGTTTCAAAAACTGTTTTCAGAGAAATTTAAAAAAATATTCATCCCTTCGTAAATTTTATGGATGCCATCACGAGTTGGAATAACTGTTTGACAGATGATATCGGATATGTTCCATATGTCGTAACTACAATACCTTTCCCTTTTCACGAATGTGACCTACCGAATTAGACTATTTACCGGATTTGTAATAACATAAGCAACATGTCGGGTGCCACATGTGGAGCAGGATCTGCTTACCCTTCCGGAGCACCTGAGATCACCCCCAGTTTTTAGTGGGGTTCGTGTTGCTAAGTCTTTAGTTTTCTGTGTTGTGTCGTCTGTGCTGTTGTTTGTCTGTTTGTCTTTTTGTTTTGGCCATGGCGATGTCAGTTTGTTTTCGATCTGTGAGTTTGACTGTCCCTCTGGTGTCTTTCGTCCCTCTTTTACAATAGGTTTGAAAAAAAAATGATACAACAGAACAAAATTACAAACATATATACTAAAGTATCAATGATTTTATGAGTAAAAAAGAGAGAAAACTGACATAAAGAGGATAACTTCCATGAACTATATAGATAGTGTGCCACTATTTAGTCATTATTCTGCCTCTGAAGAAGCTCAACAGTGGACCAAAACTGGTTGAGCTATGATTTTTCACCAGGCACTATTAATCATGTGTTTTGGCATTACCTACTTTACATACTATGAGATCTCAGTTTCTCTGGTGCAAAGAGCCTATCTGACTGCTATCACTACCACCCATTGTTAATCCTGTGTCCATTCAGTAATTCTTCTCAGTGTTTTCTCTTTCATAACTACTAGGCCAGTTTTCAATGTTACAAGATAATTATGATCTTAGTTTGTTTTGTTTCAGTATTTTTAAACCGATGACTGCTGAACATGTCAATTAAATCCACTGATTATAAAAGTAAATAACAAAACCTTTATATTAAAAAAATACATTTATAATCTGTTTAAGAATTATGGATGATGCCACCCATCTTTCTTCCCAGAGTCTGTCAGTTTATCAGTCTATCCTGTAGCAGGTTTAAGTTTTGGTTTACGGTAGTTTAAGCTGATAATGTAATAATACAAATTTAAACATTGTACACATGTTCGTTATGATGTGAACTTTAATTAAAACATATGCCAAATTGAGATTTTGACCTTAATTTTATAGCTCACTGATTAGGTTAAATATCTTTGTCTTCTTGATCCCTGTTGACCATGTGATCTTTTGCCATCTCTTGGCCACCGTTGTTAGTTGTCTGTCCTTTGCGTCCATTGCCATTAACTGTTTTGAAAATCTTCTCTGAAACCACTGTAGCAATTTCAACCAAACTTTGCCTTATTGATCTTTAGCATACCTTGTATAAAGTTTGTGATTTTTATTCCTGCTAATCATCCACCATTGCGGCCATGACTAAAAATAGAATCTATGATAAAATTTTTGTTAGTTGTCTAATTTCTTGAAAACTATGATAAATATAGAAAATTGGACAGGGTCAAAAATGTCCAGTATCAAGATCTACCTTTTTAGCTCACCTGGTCCAAAGGGTCAAGTGAGCTTTTCTCATCACTTGGGGTCTGTCTTCCATCATTGTCGTCTCCGTCCGTCGTCATCTGTTAACTTTTACAAAAATCTTCTCCTCTGAAACTAATGGGCCAAATTTAACCAAACTTGGCCACAATCATCATTGGGGTATCTAGTTTTAAAAATGTGTCCGATGACCCGCCCCCCTCCCCCCCTTGCCAAATAAGATGGCTGACGTGGCTAAAAATAGAACATAGGGATAAAATGCAAGTTTTGTCTATTATTCTGAAAACCGTTATTAATGGAGGAAATCTGACTGGCGTAAAAATGTTCAGAATGTCAAGCTCTACCAATTAATTGTCCTTATACGTCAAACTCTCAGACGATTTCCTATAGGAGTTATTGCCACTAAATGACAAATTTTACCATTTTTTTTCATTTTTGCCTATTATCAAGTTCTACATATAAGTCTAATGGTCGAAATCGTCACTTGACTCCTTATTAGAGTTATTGCCCTTTGATGACGATTTGTACAATTTTTTGCGTTTTTGCCTTATATCTTAAAAATTATAATAGATAGAAAGAAACTTAAATAAGCAAAAATGATCAGCAAGACAAGATCTACTGTTAAGACAATATGTGGAATTGTCTGACTTCTCCTTATTGGAGTTATAGCCCTTTAATGACCATTTTTACCATGTTTTTGCATTTTTCCTTATAGGATAAAAATTATAATAGATAGATAGAAACTAAAATAAAAAAAAATGATAAACAAAACAAGATCTACAAACAAGTCAAATTTTGACGATATAGTTAGAAGACTGTCACTCTTTATAGGTTGCATTTCTGTAAATATTGACAATGCAATTTCCCATAGGAACTCCTTTTACGGCTAAAACTGTACCACTTTTACTTTGAAGTTTTGAAAAAAATCATATCCTAAAATGGAAAGTTCATATGCACTACTGTTTTTTTTAAAGGTCAAAATATAGGGCTGTGTGGCATATTTTCAACGTTTATATGCCCCGAACTTCTAAGAGTTTAAACTAACACTAAATTTCTTAACTACCCCTACCTTAATTGTAGGATTACCACAGATTTCAATATAAATAATATGCATATGTATATTTACTGGTAACATTCCCAAGTTATGTCTCTATGAGATGAAACATAGAGATCATAACTGGGAACCAGTATGTAAACAAATTAATTATCTATGAATATTCTATATCTCCCCAAAAGAGGCGTGGTTTGAGAAACAGATGTATTTACAAAGTGCAACGTATACAGACATTTATTCAAATAGAAAACTCTCTAAAAACACTTTTTCTCACATTAATACTTATTTATCAGAATTATAGCCTTAAAGAAATCACTGCATATACTCTCAGTTTTCTTTTACTGTTCATTTTATACCCCCTCCCCTGTTTCAGTTTTTTAAAGAATTTGAAAACAATACTTTATTTATTGCCAGCTTACCCTATTTGCATGTTTTCTGACATGAAATGCCTAGAACCTGTTTAAAACTGTTCTGATAACAAACTGAAAGCATTTCAGAATACTGTAAATGTAATGTTTAGCAGTCAATCATTCCAACATTCAAGATTATATAAAGTATCCAATCCTGCCTCTGTCTCCAGTCCACATCTTACTGTATGCCTATTTGTCAATGAAAGTTCACAATTTCTTGCTCAAATGGTCAGTTTAGAATTTTTATCACAACAGTATCATCTCCAACCATATATCTGACATAATTTAGCTAATATATGAACTAGAAGTGTTAAAACAAAGCCATATTTGCAATAGTTGTATGTATGCAGATACCAGTCTGATGTACAAATTCACTTAAAATTTTATAGAAATAACTGCTAACATCTGATTTTTGCATAACTTCCAAGCACAGTTATTGTTTTCTATATAAAGACCTTTAAAATCATAAAATCATAGCATTTACTAGTTATATTATTTGTTTTATGAACCAGGGGGTAGGCAATTTTCTCTGTTTTTTGCCCCTGGGGCCTCAAATTTCCTAAATTATTCTGCTGTTTCTAGCAATATGGAATATTTAGTACATATTCAGGATTGCACACACTATTGTAAGTTTTGTTGAGATATTTTTGTATTTCTAGCTTGTATTTTTTATTGTGCGGTAACAAAAAAGCAGATTTAGGTGTTATGGCTTATTTTTTGGTTATCAACAGGACAAAAACATCCCACCAATAATATTCAGGAAGGATCTATGAGTTTCAATGACTGCAAAGAGTAAATATAAAAACTTCTAAACAATTTAATTTACAAATATGCATATATTATGAATTTATTTTGCATTCAGGGCTTTAAGTAAACTATGCATACTGTAAACTGTGAATTTATGCTGAATCATCATAGTTAAGGCCCAGGATTTTCTCAATCTTCATTAAATATTTATTAAACTTCATATTTGAGTTGATTTCATTAAAATCTGTGAGATAAACCAAATTTGGTTAAATTCTAAAATTGAGAATGGAAATGGGGAATGTGTCAAAGAGACAACAACCCGACCACAGAGCAGACAACAACCGAAGGCCACCAATGGGTCTTCAATGCAGCCAGAAACTCCCGCACCCGGAGGCGTCCTTCAGCTGGCCCCCAAACAAACATGTACACCAGTTCAGTGATAATGGACGTCATACATAACTCCAAATTATACACAGGAAACTAAAATTAAAAATGATACAAGACTAACAAAGGCCAGAGGCTCCTGACTTGGGACAGGCGCAAAAATGCGGCGGGGTTAAACATGTTTTTTGAGATCTCAACCCTCCCTTATACCTCTAGCCAATGTAGAAAAAACAAACGCACAACAGTACGCACAGTAAAACTCAGTATAAGAGAAGTCCGAGTCTGATGTCAGAATAGGAAACAAAAGAAAATAAACAAAATGACAATAATACATAAATAACAACAGACTACTAGCAGTTACTGACATGCCAGCTCCAGACCTCAATTAAACTGATTGAAAGAGTATGTCTTCATCATATGAATATCAGGCACAAT